CCCTGGCCCTGTGCCAGTTATGGACTGGTTGTAAAGACAAAACCCATTCGCCGCATGAGCTGAGAACACCTTGAGGCTTTTTTGCCTAAGGGCTGCGACAGCTAAACAAAAGAAGCATCAACACGCGACCGAGCGAGAGGCAACGCTGCAGCGGTGTGAAGCAAAGAATGGGGCGACGTGTTCAGTGTCATTTAGTGAAATTGCCTGTAATGTCTCTGTGCCCCTGTCCCTGAATGGCAAAAGCATCTTCATCTCACTTTCTCGCCATCTCTCCCCCTCTCTCTCTCTCTCTCTCTCTTTATTTCCTAGGCAGCTGCATTGTCTAAACGCCACTCGTTGGTTTTGGGTTTTCCATTCTTTATGCGCTTTTCCGTGTGTCAGTGCCAGCTGTGGCTGCCACTGCTGCAGCTGCATATTTCATTAGCCTGCGCACTTTTTGCTTGCAACACAGGCTTCGCTGCCAGCCCACCTGTAAAACTTCTACAAGCTGCCCAACCGCTACCTATACCTGTCCCTGTCACCGTCCCAAAGTCTCTGATTGTTGATTTTTCAAGTGCATTTTACACTTGATTCAGACCAGCTCTCAACTCGGCTCAACTCAACTCAACTCAAGTCGTTTCTTTCGAGATACATAATAAAATTGCACACATGCCAAGTTTCAAGTCAGTACCTGCTGACATGTGCATTAACTTCCTTAAGTATGCTGAACTATGGTCTTTGCTTAGACTATCTACCCTATTTATCTATATGTATTTATTTGGCTTGTTGTCTTGTATGTTCATAGACATTTGTAATCAATGAACCTTTAAATTTGTGTAAGAATAAATTTTTGTCTGACTGGAATACTTTAGTCAGTGCTTGTAAAAAAGTTAAAAATATTTTTTTAACGGCATTTTATAACATCATGGAATAATATATAATATAATTCTTAACTGAATACCCAATATGATAAAATTTAAATCTAGGTCAGTGAATTTTTCCATATCATTAATTATTTCAAGCGATTAGCCAATTTAATACAATTCTCACTTATTGTGTTTAGAACTAGGCCAGTGCATTTTTTCCATGTCATTGACTATTTAAAGTTAAATCTCTATAACGGATTCAAAACGCGCCTTCCGCATTTTACAGCACCATTTCCGCTGTTTCCGATTACAGCTTCAATCGTAAACGAAACTACCAAATCAACATATCCATATCTAATTCATGATAAATCTCTAATTAAGCCGAGCTCATATTTTATTCAAGCCAAGTATTTACAGCCAAGTTAACAGCAAGCAAAGCAACGAAAAAAAAAGAACAACAGCCGACAAGAATCTGAACAATCAATGAACCAAAATAAATGGCTGTCATTAATGTGCGACATTTCCTGATAGCCCCAGTAAGAAGGGGATTGGAAATACATGTTAATTTGTAGCGCCACAACAATTCATTATTATGCAACAAATCAACGGCGGCACTTAAAGTAGCCTGCCCAAGTCCCAAACCAACAGCTAAATACATATCATTATTAAAAGTTCAGCTACAATCAACTTGAGTACGTCTGAAATTGTTGCGAGAAATTGTTATTAATACAAGTTAACAGAAGTTAAGCGAAGGCTTAGTCTTTGGCTCTGCTTGTTAGGAAGCTCCTAAAACAAAAATTATATTGTTACTTTTAGAAGAATCGAACAGCAATTTTCCATCTTGAACAAGTCGTGGCAAATGTCTAGAAAATGTTTTCTGGTCTTGAAAATAGAACCTGCACCAATTATTTTTCTAGCGAATCAGTCTAATTCTCTTCTAACTTCGAAATTTTACTCCTCTGCCACGAAACTGAACTCGAAAATTAAGTTTTACTTCATGACGCATTAGTGCAATTGCATTTGGCAGCTACTCTTAATCCATTTAGGGTGACCATATTTTCGATTTGCCATAAAGGCATTGAACACATAACATAAAATGTTGTAGCGCACTTTTTGGGGCAGCGACATTTTTGGGCATCAGATTGGCTGCCATTGGCTTCCGTGTGCTGTGTTCATTAGCGTTTTGTCACCCATCTACAAGAAATACAACAACAGTAGCAGTAGCTAGCGACAAAATCAAGCTAAGGCAAAAAAACAATACATATATATACATATATATATATACATTTTGTACATATGTTTAGCGGGGTTTTGCAGTAATTTCTACAACATTCTTGACTACGTTGCGTGTGCTTAAGAGCGCTGAGTATGTGTGTGTGTGTGAATTGAGAAGGCGGGGTGACTAAGAATTTTAGGCGTTAGCTTGTGTTAGTTCGTCAATATGTATGTATTTATAAATAGCGTTAATATGTTGTGAAATGTATTTTATATGCTTAGCGATTAGTTGCAAAAGGTGAAAGTTTAATGAACATCTAGCGTGCCTGTGGTAAAATGCAAATAAATAATATGCAAAATACAGGTTATATTTTCTATATGTGTATTTCGAGTGGAAATTTGCAATATGTTTGCGACACGTGTCGCTGTCTCACAAACAATAATAATAATTATATTTGTTGGCTCAAAATTGGCTATTGCTTTTGCTGCATGGATGGATAATGCCAACAGAAGGCAAAACAAACACACCTGTCAGGCGTACTTGCTATATGGGGGTCAACTATTCAGCAATAGTATTTTGTTTACCTAACCCTAACAGACCAACTTCCTTCCTTCCCCTCCCCCCTTCCACCCACCTGCCGTAACTGCGTGAATGCGTGACAGTTAGTTTTGAGGTTGAGGGCGCCTTCGTCATTCGTCAATCAGCGTCGCAAATTGTTGATTACACCTACTACAACAAGAGCAACAACAATAAAAAAAAGCAACAGCAACAGCAAGTCAAGGGCAGTTACAGTTACAGCTCTGGTTTATATATGGAGCACTCAGTAGGGCCACATAGTTCCGATCGATAGTCTCCATGTGGCTGCGATTTTGCACACGAAAAGCAAACGAAACCAGAAACGAGAAACAGAACCTAAAAAAGAACCGAAAGCAAAACTCAACTCCGTAGAGCGTGCGACCTGAGGCTATCACATATAACAACTGCTATATATGATATATATACATATATATATATATATATATATATATACATAAAACACCTATATATCTGTTAGTTGTGTATATAGGACGCTCTCTGTCTACGTTTGCAAGTGTGTGTGTGTGTGTGTCATTTTATTTGCCTTATTACTAACACGCAGCATATTTAGTAGCTTGCTTAGCGGCACTGCCTTGTTCATCGTATAGTCTATGGCTCTGAGCTAAGGTTTGTAGCGCCCACCAGTCGCGACTTGCGATTCGCTTCGACTCATTAGGTCTGTCTAGTTGTAGGTGTGTAGCCCCTGCCTCAGTCTCTGACTTTGTGTACGCGCGTGTGTGTATGTGTGTCTGTGTGTGTGTGCGAACTAAAATGGCATTGACTTTTGTTTGTCTGATTTAACGGCGAGTTCACTTTAAAAAGCAAATAAATAAATCATACATGGTGTATCACGTAAATTGCGCGCTTGCCTACTGTGGTTTAAGATCAATGAAAATATAAAATTGTTTCAATTGTGTTCAATTGTTCTTTGTTTTTTACAATGCTCTTTGCATTTTATTTGTTAGTAATATTTAAATTGAATATCATATTTTTATAAGTGTTTTATTAATTGATAAATAAATATTTTTACATCACATATATAATTTTAAAACGTAATTTTAATTTTTAATCAGTGTATCACTAAATATTTATTTCAAATACTACTTATACTTTTCTTTCCAAATAACCAAACAAATAATATTGCTATAATTTAGTTTCATTATATTTTTGTTTTTAACTAGTCATTTTTTATTAAATGCTATAGTCATTTCTATTTGAAAATTAAAAGTTTTATCAAAGTTTTGTGCTGAGGTTTCGAATTTCTGTGTATGCAAGATACTGGTCCACACACTCTCTAAATGGGGTTTCTCTATAATTTTGCTGCATGAGTGATCTGGGGAATTAAATAGTCGATATATACTTATATATTTATGTCTTGCTGTGAGCTTTACAATTTACAATATGTCTGCTGCGGCATGAGAAAATACGCACATGAAATTATGAATACTTAATAATTTTGTTTGAATGCAGTTCAAGTTCTGCCTTGCCGTGTTCTCGCCCCCTTCTAATCAATTATTTATATCATTTACCAAACTGATTTGTATATGTTTTTATGTTTGTTTTATGTGTTGACAATTTTCACTTCTTCTCCCTAAACCAAACTATATTCCCCAGTTTACTTGGTGTGTTTTTTTGTCATATTCTATATTCATAACTGTTTCCTAACTGTTAACTGTTTACTCCTACTTAACTCTATGTGTGTTTATGCCTTTTAAAAATACTGATGAAAAAAAAAACAAAAAAATACAGACTGAAAACGAAGTCTTTCTAATTGGCTGCCAAGTATATTATTATTGTTGTTGTAATTGATGGCGAATTTGTAACCCAAAACCGCAAACAACTTTATGAAATTGAATATTGAATTGAGTATTGAAAATCCAAAATTACAAATTTGATTGCTTATGCATTAGTCGTTACTCTTGTGAGATGAGTTGTACTTGTTTGTTTATTTCTATTTTCTGTTTCCTGTATGCTTTTGAATAAATATTTATAATAGTCCAAAGAAAACAAAAAATTGAAAGAAAAATAAAATCCACCGAGCTCTGCTCTCACACAGTTGAACTAATCACAGTAACTGTATATATTTTCTATGCATTTGCCCACCACCAACACCACCAAAACAACCACCGCCGCCAACAACAACGACAACGACAACACCATGCAACTATACCACGCTTCATTGTGTGTGCGTGTGTGTGTGTCTGTGCGTATGTTCCTGCGCGGGTTGTGTGTGTGTGTGTGTGTGTGTGTACGCGCGTGTTGTATACGTCGTCATCGCTGTTATCGATATCAATATCGTCTTTGATGTTCGTGCTCGTTGTCCATATCGATAAACCCGATCACCCGATTACCCGATCACACAGTGCGCTCAGGGACGCGCCGCATGGCTGGAGCGCGGCCGCCGCTGCAGCGTACAGGAGCAGCAACAGCAACAGGCCACCTACCACAGACGCTGGGTGAAGCGCAACCGAGTAAGTTCATCACGTAGAGCAACTCACATAGCGCTGTGTACATACATGCATATTTTGTATACTTTTGTACTTAACCAACATCTTCTAACAACAACCAGTAATCGTGCAAAAATACCAACAAAATAAATTCCCCCAATAAATTCCTCTTTCTCTCTCACAAAAAAAACACACACACACCTTTTTTCCTTCAACTGCATAATTTATGTATTTCTTTTCGATCACATATCAAGCTGAGCAAACGTTCAGCGCATTCGACGCTTGGTGGCGCAGGATAACAACTTATAGAAGCCATATGCCATTATTATCCAACAAAAAAAAACCCTATTGCCCAACATTTTCATTTTAACTGCGATTTTCATGCCCTTCTTAAGCATTGTACCATATGATAAATAAATAAATAGCTAGCAGAGTGCTGTCCCTAACAAGAACTGAGATAACTTAACATTCATTTAAATGGAATCATATTGAAAAATATATATAGATATCATATATGATTCTAACTAATCCAAATTTAAATTATATTTGACAAGCAGTTTATGGACAGCACTCTAATCTAATCGCTAGTACACATCACTGATGATAACAATACTTCTATATGCACTTCCATTTGCCAGATACAAGATGCCTCATTGGGCGGCTCATCGGACGATGAAGATTTTCTGGGCGTACTACGAGGCCCCAGCACATTTGCGAATGCCTTTCTCTATGTGGGCCTCGGAACTGTCGCACTGGGACTGGTCATTGCATTTGTCGGCACCGGCGAGAAGGGTTTTAAAACAGTGGAGCTAAGACTTATAGGGCCCTCTCTCATAGGCAATACAATTCTTTTTCGCATATCCAAAAATTGTCGCATTATTCATTTGGGTTTGTTTTTTATTCAGGTTTGGGTCTGATCTGTTGCATTTTACGCATTCTCTTCTGCATTTGCCCATCACACTGCATCTCATCCAGCAAAAAGACGCGCAAGAAAAATGGTAACAAGATCGATGCGGATCACACAACCTCGCTGCTGCGAAATGAGAGCAAACGCGTTTCAATAGCTAGAGGACCCTCTATACAGGTACGCTTCACCACAGATTTCTAAAATGATGCTACTATCCCATTATTATTAGAAAGAGTTTCCATTAGAAAGAGTTTCGAGAAATTACAATTATCGGATTCTTATATACATATTAGAAATACACTATAACTTAACAAATGATGTCACACTAATAATAAGAAAGAAATCATTTTTTTACAACTTTCGGTTATGTATTGTACAACTTAGATTACATATTATATAGTATTTTTAAAGAATTTAATGCTATGAATATTACATTAAATTGAATTCAATAATATTAAATTATATTTTACTTTCAACTTGAAAAACGATTCATTCATCGTGTTTGTAATCAATTTTATCTGCAATCTAATATTGTAAAAAGTACTTGTTTGTATTAAATGTATTCAAATATGTCTGTGAATGATTTCTGAACAGACGAAATATCCGATTGCGCATAAGCGTAGTCAGAGCAAGATGCTTAATGAGGGAATGGAGGCACTGCGACAAATAGCGACCACATCGCTCTTCATGCAGAACGAACAGAAAACGGCCATAAATCGTGTAGTGCCCATCATTAACGAACCGGAGACCATGGATCACATGGGTGGTAAGAGATTGGAGGCCTCAATCCGTGATTTTCACTATTTAACATTTTAAATTCGACTTTATAGCAGATGCGCCGCTGGAGATGAAGAAGCTGCAGACGGCGCTGAATTTGTGCGAGATGAGCGATGAGGAGCAAGAGGAGCAGCAACCACAGCAGCAGCAGCCAGTGCAGCTAGCCAAACGTACAACAACAACAACTGCCGTTACGAGTAGTACCACCAAAGAAACAACCATAACCATCCAACCAAGAGCAACAACATCCCTGAGCACCGTAGATGAGCGACCCAATAGCAAATTGTTGCGCCAACGTGTCGCACTCCAGCAGCAGCGACAACAACAGCAACAGTCATCGTTGGCACAGCAACAACAGGAAGCGGAACAATCTCAATCGCTGTCGTCGTCCTCCACGATCAAAGATTCACTGGATGGCGTTGTGGTTGTGGAGGAAACCTCTCTGATGGACACTGATGTGGCTACGATAGTGCCAATGCCGAATAGTTGCAGCACTGGCGCCATACCCCGGCTCAAAAGCAACAGCACGCAGGCATCGCAACGACCGGGCATTTCGACGGGTGCCACGCCCAAGACAACGCCCACCACCACCACCTCCGCCGCGGCCAGCAACAGCAGCTACACCAGCAGCTATAGCACGCGCCTGACCAGCTCCCAATCGCATCCGACTAGCTACGATCTGCCGCCGGCGCTGCCGCACACCTATTCCGCTGCGGCGACGGTGCGCGGTCCACTCGGCATGACGCTGACCGGCTCCAGTTCCGTATATGCCATGCCCGCCATGAGCAGTCGGATGAGCACGCTCGCCACGCCGCCCACCACAACGACGATTAGTCTGCTGCCGCTGCCAGCGCCGCCACTGGCGAGCATTGCAAACAGTGGATCCTCCGCTGCAGGCAGCTTAATACCCGGCCAGGTGCCGGAGCCAACGACGGGCATGGCCACCACAAGTCTGAGCATACTGCAGCCGATGCGACCAGCGACGGCATCCTCGATAACGGCCACCACATCATCGTCCATATTCGATAGCATGGTGCACAAATCACAGCCGTCATCCGCCAGCGCAACAATGATGAGTCGTGGCAGCAGTTTGCTACTGGCGCCCAGCAAGCTGGAGCCGGAGCTGGTGCTCAGTCCAGCGAAGCTTGGCCAGTAGACCTATGCGACACAAGTTAGTTACGATTTTAGTTAGGATTTCATGCAGCCACAAACTTATTAACTACTTATTGTATATGTCTAGGTTCCATTTGTATGTGTGAGTGAGTGTGTGGGTGTAAATGTGTGAGTGTGTGCCCGTTTGTATGTGAATGTGTATGTGTGTAGCTAATCTCTTTTGAATGTGCCACAAAGAACAAGCTAAACAGATGACAAAAAAACAAAAACGCCCAACAATCATGTTCTAAATTCCCAAAGCGAATTACATCCTTCAAGACTTACTTTGTAAAAATCCTAAAAAGAAACCGATTCGAATAGTTTTATAATTTAAATACCTTTAGATTTTAGTTGCATACTCTAAGTATAAAGTATTTTTATATATTATAAAAGATATACTCGTCTATATAAAATTGTACTAAATTAGTTTCGTAATTTTGAGCTTTGGTGAATTTGGTGCATGATTGCAAATACAACAAAAATATTGTTCAACCTTATACAGCTTTCAGTGTCTATTTCCTAGGGCTTGCTCCTTTTATATATATACATTTATATATGTATGTATAGATTTGGCAATTTCCAAAGACTTCTCGACTAAATGCACTTTCCTGACCGGATCCTTTTAAAGTTTCGGCCCTTTCAGTGGCATCAATTTGGCCAAGTGCTCAGCAAATAAAAATTGCCAACCCGCGCTGTCTAAAGCTATCCCTATTTTAGTCAGGGTATTATAAAGTTTGTATACCAACATATCGTTAAATAAATATACAAAAAATAATAATAATAATAATAGAATATTTATAACAATAACTAAACACTGTTGCCATAGCAAAGTGCGAAAACCGTCGTCCAGTTGGTCTTGTGCATGGGCATTATGAAAATTAAGAAACCTACATGCATATTATATGTAAAACTAATTAGATATGTACTATTCCGAAATTGAATGTCGATGTAGTTGAATGTAACAAATGGATAAAAATATAATGGCCCAGGTCTAACAATTAGTACCCCCACATCCCAAAACGCCATTGGGTACCATACCAAGAAGACAACCCAAATCCCAGATAGTTCCAAAAAAAATATGTGTTGAAAGAGCTCTTTAGCAATAATATGAGTACCATGAGTATAAAAAAAAAAAAAAGGGATGATTCAATTTCGTTGAATCTCAATGCAATAACTTAATTTTAACAAATGATTTATTTTCATACCGATTATTTAAATTTAAAAGATTTTATCACTTCTTAAGGCACTTTTTAATATCTATGGCAACATTCGAAATGCAAACAATAATTCCTGGCTCCAACCAGAGAAAAATGATTGAAAATCATATTAAATAAGCCCAGAGAATATTAAATCGGAAATCAAGGAAATTACATAAACTTACAACTATCCATTTGGGCAAATAATAGAAAACATGTGTAACAAAAGAGACAAAACCAAATGCAACTAATAGAAACAACATAACAAAAAATGATTTATGAATTAGTATGTATGTCAATATATGTATGTGCAGAATAAAACCGAAATGCAAAACTATTATTCTGAATTTGATTCCTATAAGAGTCGCAGTTTTATATCAAACACCTGTCTGCAACGTTCGAATTTAACGAACTCATTGCTTTTAGTGGCGGCTGGTCGATAAATCATTGTATAGAACGATAACGAAAAGTTTCGATGCCAAACAGCTGAGTAGTCTAAAAATAGAGTAAACAACGCCACCGCACGTGCTGCATTTGAATTTAAATAAGTTAATTAGAACATGGCTGGTCGAATGGAGCTGCTTAGTGAGCAGGGATTGCGTCTGGATGGTCGCCGGCCACACGAACTCCGCCATATCAAGTGCAAGCTGGGCGTCTTCGAACAGCCCGATGGCAGCGCCTACATGGAACAGGGCAACACCAAGGTGCTGGCCGCCGTCTACGGGCCGCATCAGGCCAAGGCCAAGAAAAGCGAAGGCAACGATCTGATCATAAACTGCCAATACAGCCAGGCGACTTTCTCCACGGCGGAGCGCAAGAACCGACCACGCGGCGATCGCAAATCGCAAGAATTCAAAATGTATTTGCAACAGGCGCTGAGTGCAGCGATTAAATCCGAACTCTATCCACGCTCCCAGATCGACATCTATGTGGAGGTGTTGCAGGCGGATGGTGCCAACTATGCGGTGTCTCTAAACGCCGCCACACTGGCCCTAATTGATGCGGGCATCTGCCTAAACGAATTTGTTGTCGCCTGCACCGCATCGTTGAGTAAATCCAACATTCCACTGACGGACATCTCCCACATTGAGGAGGTGTCGGGTGGCCCAAAGCTCACGATAGCCGCATTGCCCACAGCCGAGAAAATTGCCTTTATGGAGATGAGCGAGCGTTTTCACATCGATCAGTTGGAGACCGTGATTGAGACAGCGATGGCCGGTTGTCGGGAAATCCGAGATATTCTCGAGGCTGCCGTCAAGGAGCATCTCATTCACATTGGCAGTGCCGCCGACTGGGCGCGTGTATGTTAACATAAATGCATATTTATACAAAAACAATTATTATATTTTTATTTCCCTCTGCCTGGGCAACATATTTAGTTTAGTTTCTTTTCGAACGCTTCTTGTGGCGCCTGCCACGTCTCGAGTAACTCCACTAGCTTCGATTTGCGCTGCTCCAACTGCAGACGTTCGATGAGCACGCTTAGCTGCTGGCCACCCGCGAGGAAGCCGCTCAGATTGTGCAGCGTGCCGCCCTGCTGCACACGATGATCAGTGACGCGATCCTGCATAAAATTGTAAGTGCGAATCTTCTCGTTGCGATTGAGATTGCCCTGCTGCGACTTGCGCGTGGCCTGTTTGCTCGCCTCGGCGCTCTCTAGCTGCTGCTGCATGAGCTTGGCCTGCAGCCGCTTGAGTGCCAGTTCTCGGTTCTTAAGCTGTGACCTTTCCGACTGGCATTCCACGGCCAGGCCCGTGGGCAGATGCACAATGCGCACGGCAGAATCTGTGGTGTTCACATGCTGTCCACCGGCTCCACTAGCGCGTTTCGTCTCGATCTTGAGATCGCGATCCGTGAGATGCACATGCACATCGGCCGGACGGGGTATCACAGTGATTGAGGCGGTGCTGGTGTGCATGCGACCGGATTTCTCTGTGGTCGGCACACGCTGCACCCGATGCACGCCCGCCTCGTAGCGCAGCCAGTTGTACGCCTCGGGATCACTGACCAACAGATTGGCATGTCGCAGTCCCCCAATGTCGGTCGTCTCGTATGCAAACTCCTCGTACTCCCAGCCCATGTGCTCAAAGTAACTGGTGTACATGTCGTACAGTTCCTGGGCAAAGAGCATCGCCTCCTGCCCACCGGCACCGGCCTTCACCTCGAATATCAACGCCGGATAGTCAACATTGTCAGCCAGCGTGAGCAGTTCCTGCAACATGTCCTCTTCCTGTTTACGCAACAGATCTGCGTACACGTTGTTCTCCTCCTGCATCAGCGCACGCATATCCTCATCCTTCTCGGCAGCCAGCTCCTGCTTGGGCGTTATGTTGCGCTGCAGGGCGCGGTGCTTCTCCAGCGAATTAACAACGGGATCCAGGCGGGAGAGGCGTTCGTAGAGGCTGCTGTTGCCAGCTGCATTGACGCGCAGAGCGTAGTATTCCTGACGCAGTGACTCCAGATATGCTTGCAGTTTCTCGTTCTGTAAACTAAGTGAATCTGTGCTAGCCCAGCGTCGCACTAGGCAACTGTAGCGCACATTCAACAATTTACGAAGCAACATTCTCAAGCAAAAAACATTAACAATAACAAAATTTGTGGTTAAATAACTGCTTAGTAGAAATGTTGCTGGCTGATATGAAATCGCTAAGCAGTTAGAAATTGTCAGTGAGCACACACACTGTTATCGATTCAAATCTAAATCTCTGCTACACTCAAGTTGATTATGCTAGCTAGCGTTGAATTATTAACATTTATTTTGGTTATTTTCATTAATCAGCTGTTCAGAACCAGTTAATTTACAGGTCAAAATTCGTTCTGATTGGAAGCAAAGCCAACACCTGTACAATTAACAGCTGTTCTGTTACGGCTCTATTATGACCCATTTAACAGCTGTTAAAATTGTATTTGCAGTGTTTTTCGGCTATTTCCCAAATGTTAAGTATATGGGTGACCACAGCTGTAGTGTTGTGTGAGTTAGTGTTGTGTAAAACATCATCGCTCATCAAAGTGAACATGTTCACTTGAGAGAAGCAAACTATTTGTAGTAAATTCATAATATTTAGTCACATATCAGTGCATTAAAAAGTGCATGCCCAAGGAAGTGACCACGCCTCAAGCAATAATAGCAAAAACAACCAGTGCAACACAATATGAACAAGCTAACGACGACTGCTTAGTTAGTTTTCATCTCTGCGCGCTTCTGCATGTGTGCGTGTGTCTCCGTGTGTGCGTGTGTGTGTGAGTTGAGCGTGTGTGTGTGTGTGCATGGTGGTGCTTGATTAATGGAAACAGTTGTATTCGTAGTGGTGTGCTGAAGTGCAACAACAATAGCAATTAAGTTTAATTAACTCATCATCAATTGGATGTGAACAGGCTGCCAAAGTGCATTTATTATATAGAGAGAAGCCAGCAGAGATCGTAGCCAGCGCAGCACTAACAACAACGAGATGCCACCACTGAAGAGCTACTCCATACACCATGAATTCAATGCGAATGCAAATTGTCACAACGGCAATGACAATACCACCGATAACGATAACGATAACGATTACTTCAGCCAGCAGACTGTAGCAGCCGCCGCTGCCGCTGCTAGCACACAACGTACAAATCGACCCACTTATTGCAACGCCCAATATCCGTTCAAGGTGCTGGCCAATCTGAATCAATTGCGGGAGCAATCGCGCTTCTGCGACATCGAAATCATCGCTGGCGAATCCACATTCAATGCACACCGTGCTGTCCTCAGCGCTGCCAGTGCTTACTTCGAGGCAATGTTCCGACCCGAACTGGGCCTCAATGAAGTCAAACAGAAATCGGTCGTGTTGCACACAATCGATGGCGACATCTTGCACATACTGCTGGAGTTCGTCTACTCAGGTCGCTGCGAAATTACGCAGGTAAACTTTTCATATTCGATGCTAACCAATGTAGTTTACAATATTGAATTTTGTTTTTGCCTTCTTTCTCTGCATCAGTCCAATGTGCAGGAACTGCTTGCGGCCGCGGATATGCTGCAGTTGAACGAGGTGGTCGATGGCTGTTGTGAGTTTTTGTGCCGGGAGTTGCATGCCACGAATGCATTGGGCATTTTGCGCTTCGCGGAGGCCCACAATTGTGAATCACTAGCAAAGAGTGCAATGAGCTTTGTGCAAGCCAACTTTCCAGCGGTAAATAGCAAATTGATTGTTGTTTTTCTCGGTTTTTATTATTATAGATTTTAGCTAAGACTTTTAAGAAAAAAAGTTTTGTTCCCGCCCGGGTTCGAACCGGGGACCTTGTGCGTGTGAAGCACACGTGATAACCGCTACACTACGGAAACGACGGAATGTAGCTCGCAATATGAAACTCTTCTGTCGATATGGCTCTGAATTGTCAAATTAAATTGTGTTTTTTATGCACCCGGTTCGTGTGCACTAGTAACAAAATGGCACAATCGATATTTCAAACAAATTGGGCTGAGATGGTGTGAATATGGAAATGGTTCTTTTTGTACTGATTAGAAAAGTGAATGTCTTAGGACTAATTATATATGTACAATTAGACAATCAATCATTTTCTATGAGAGCCTACAAATGCAGTGTCTTAATATTATCTTATTTACGAGACGCGCCCCCGACAGATGATGCGAAACCCATATCTAAGTGCAAGTCGTCTGTGAGCTATCTGCTCTTGAATAAATCAATCGTAGATCTTCACAATTCGCGAATTGTGCATTTTAGAAAGACACATTTTCAATTATTAAATACTAATATGTAAAGAAACACCTTTATTAACAAGTTGATGGTGATCTCTTTTTATGCGATGAAATGTTTATAATCAGGCTATTAATACAATGAACAACATAAAATTGTGTCTCATATTTCGTTATTTATGACGATATACCTAGTTAGCGTTAAGCAACAGCATAACCAGTTGTATACATATTTCTTAACCTTAACAAAATCTCGATTCATCATATTCCATATATCCCACAATTTCAAACAAATGCATTCATTATGACCCAGCCAGACAAGTCCAGCTAGGCACCACAAAAAATTCAATTAAGACTCATTAGAGTGCTCCTCTCCACGGAAATCTTTAGTAAAAGGCGAAAGATTTATTCGACAACTGAAGAGAAGCCAGAGTAACTTAACATGCGCAACCACCCAGCTCTAGTCCCTGCGCAAGCTTAAACTGCTTGCGAATCATAAGATAAATGTACATTACACATGCGCCTTAAAATAGGCAATTATAAAAATACTCAATTGTTCGTAATTCCCAACTGGTTCTGACTGTATGCTGTCAGTTGGTTATCGTTCTGAACAGACTAGGTGTTGGGAATTCCACCTTGGTCGCGGGTCGGCCCGGCATTGCAAAATCGCCGGGAATTCGACCCCAACTAAATAATACATTAAAATAGTAGAAAACAGATAATTTGTTAATAGACGTTTTAAAAGTTAAAAGATCTGTTGTTGTGTATTGCGTGTTAGGTTTATTTAATCTAAAACGTATGTTTTTATACAAATACACGTTTCTAGTTTGAATGAGTGATTTAAAATTTTAATTAATACAATTCTTACAAGAATTAACTGTATACATTTTTAAAAATAGTAATTGATATAGAAAACTATAACTATCCTTTTTATATTTTTGATTAGTAGTAAGTTCCAAGCTTGTTTGACTAACGTCCTTTTCCATCTTACTTCTTCGAATCGCAGATAACGCTAGAAGATGAGTTCCTGGAGACACCGCAGACTTTGTTGTCACAGTTATTGAACTCGGAACTGTTGCGCGTTGACTCCGAGTCGCAGGTGTTCCAGGCAGCGCTGCGTTGGATCAAGCACGATGTTACGCAACGTCGCTGCTATGTCTTCGACATACTGTCGCATGTCCGCATGGCCCTGGTGCCGGTCAAGGTGATCGACAAGGCGTTAAAGGACGATTGTCGCGACATGTCCGTGAAGATAGCGCTGCGCTCCATCTGCCGGGACATTGCATCGAAACGGGGCCAACTGGTGCCGTTGCGCGTCTGCCCACGCCAACTGGCCAAGAAGAACATCTACATCATCGGTGGCTCACATCGCGACACACCGCGCACATGGAACTCGGCAGACTGCACCTTCGAGACGGTGGCCAAGTTCGATATATTTCGCCGAGAGTGGACGGAAACGGCGCCCATGGAGGTGGGACGCATTCTGCCGGGCGTGTCGGCACTGAATGGCAAAATCTATGTGGTGGGCGGCGAGCGAGGCTCGCAGATTCTGGCCAATGGCGAGGTGTACGATCCACAGAATGATATTTGGCAGCCCATCGCACCGATGATTGTGCCGCGCTGCGAGTTCGGACTGTGCACCATGGGTGGCAATCTGTTTGCAGTCGGCGGCTGGATTGGTGACGACATCGGCGGCACCATGGAATGCTATGATCCCGAGAAGAATGTATGGAAACTGATTGGCAGCATGCCACAGCCTCGCTTCAGCATGGGCGTCGTCAGTTTCGAGGGACTCATCTACATAGTGGGTGGGTGCACCACAACCACAAGACACTTGCCGGATTTGATAAGGTATTTGATTGAGATTGGACTCATCTTGTGTCGGCTATTAATGATATCATCTTTTCTTGCTATGTGCAGCTACAATCCCGTGACCAAGGAGTGGACGCAATTGGCACGCATGCAAACGGCACGCTGTCAAATGGGCGTGGCTGTGCTGGATCGCTATTTGTATGTGGTTGGCGGCAGCAGCATTAGCCAGGACGTGCTGAGCTCTGTGGAGCGCTACAACTTTGACGATGATAAATGGTCGACAGTCTGTGCGCTGAACGTGCCACGCGCTATACCCGCTGTGGCCGCTGCCGATGGTCTGCTCTACGTAGCCGGTGGGGATCAGGTGGGTTATTTTGATATATCCACAAACTAGATCTAAAACATAAATATTATTTTGTATTTTTCGTAGCCCTGTGAGGCGAACTTCTACCGCGCTCAAGTCACCATCAGCGCCGTCGAATGTTATGATCCATTGTCGGACACTTGGAAGAACTGCCCCGACTTGCCGGTTAGTCGTTCCGAGGCAGGCGCTGTAGTTGTTTAAGACGAACTCCTCCAACACCCTTAGTTGACCTGCCTTAACTCTCCAGCAACGTTCTCACTCACTTTCTACTATATTTAGTGCACTACACAGCCACTCATTTACACCTCGATTGCATATGTGCATTGTGTATTGCATTGTATACGCTAGAAACATAAATAACTACATAACACAACACATGGCAAACTCTCCGATTTCTCTATTTGAAAGTTGAACGTAGTGCTTTATCTGTTAGCCAAAGCTAGACGCTCTGTTGCAGTTAACGTTTTCGAAGCTATTCTATCACCCAGTGTTTAGTATTATTATCTAGTAGGTAGTCAGGAAAGTAACAGCAGCAACAGCCGGCCTCTGATTGTTCCGTAGTAGTTGAAAGTTGACCTTTATAAAAGCGAAAACCAAAATTCATGTGGCGAAAATGAAATGTATATCAATCGTATGTATCGTATTTGCTGAATCAAATTGTTCAACTCGAGCCTATGTTTATGTTTAAAAAATTGTTTAATCATTACAAATATAAGTGAAATCAAAGATCGCATCACTGGCGGTGCGTTTTTGTAAAGTGCGACCCAAATAACATTGCAACTGTATGATTTAAATAATGTACCAAAATCGAAAAGCAACATTCAAAAAAGAAACAAACTGTATTAATAATAGGTGTATTTACCAATAATAAATGTACGACTAAAATAACTACACAATGTTTATATAAATAGCTGTGATATTGGGCATCGTATAGCATATCTTATGATGATCTAAAACCGTTCACATAAAATTATTGGTTTCACTTACTACGGCGGCACCTCGGAGAAAATGTTTAAATGTGATCCAAGTTTGGCCAAGAAACATTAACAACGAACGCAATTTTTCAAAAATATTTTCACCTTATCACATGCTTCCACTGCTCGAGCTCGATTCGAATTAACAATCACACGTTGAAGACTCATCTTAATACTAGTTTCTTTTTTTTTTCAAATTAATTATTTAGTTGGGCCGAAATCCCGGCGGTACTGCAATACCGGGCCAACCCGCGACAGAGGTGGAGCAAGCCCCTAGCACTCCGTCTGATTCCAAAAATCAGTTTAACATTTGTTGTTCTCCAATGGAGAAACTATCAGATGTTAAGCTGATAAGAACAGATACTACACTTTGATCTTAGCCATAAGGCCGAGAAGCGATAACTAATCTCACGAAAACTCTAACACTATAACAGCATACAGTCAGAACCTGTTGTGAATTATAAGAACGCAAAATGTGAACATCCACAATTCTGTTACAATTGTACAGTGTTGCAAAAGTCAAGACAGCAAAATATAGCCGTACGTGAGATTATATCGATTGCTATTAATCGATTTACACTATTTTATTGCTTATTTTGGTTACACACGAGAATGCTCAAAGAATAATTCCTTTTAATTTAAAATAGATACACCCAGTAGTCTTTTTATGAGTTATGATGTAGCTTCAAACAAGTTTCGTTAATATTTAGATATTTCAGTCTGTTTATATATTTTTTTAAAATTATGTTGCCATATTAAGAGTTTGTGCGGTTTCATAATGGAACCCGCCATGTCCCACGGCCTAGCTGATGGCTCGGAAACTGAGTCACTGCCAACAAGCAGCGAGAGCAAGTGGCGTCGTCGCCAAGAGAAGCGCCAGAAACGTTTAGCGGACACAAGGCATATGCTGTTCACCAAGAATTTCTCAAACTATCGCTTGCCGGTACCGGTGACCACAACAGATTCCAATATTGTGCATCTAAGCCGATATGAATCCATTGATGAGCGACACCGGCACCCGCCTGTTGTTGTGGTACCCGACCAGAAGTCGAAATGGGCGCAATTAAGACTGGCTGCATGTCCATGTCACGGCTGCACCTCTCCTTTAGATCCAAATGCGTGGCTGGCGCACTATCTGAATGTGCATATGCCCATTTTGGGGGTGCCATTTGTGGAGGTATCGTTTCCCATCGAAAAGAAGACGTTGCACGCCACCTGCAATGTGGGTAGTCTCGAGCTGGATGTTAACACTTTATTGGGCGTATTTGGCTATCAGCGATTTGGGCTCAATCCGCTCAACTGCCAACGCAATACGTTGCTGCCACAAGAATACCGAAAGTTTTCGAAGCATGGCGTCCTTTTGCTCTTTGCTTGCCATACGCGTCATTCGCTACTTTGGCAACGCAAGCGAACTGATGATGTGGTTGTCATCTGGGTGTCGACGTCGCTGAAGAACGTATCCGTATCAGTGCGCTGTGTCGTGCAGATCTCGCAATCGACCCGATACTATGCCAAGACCTTGAGCGCGCGTCCGTTGCCGGCATCAGCGGTGCAAGCGTTGCCACAATGCCGCGAGTTAATCAAGACGGACTGCAACGTGATCATAATCAGCTATCAAGATTTGAGCCAGCTTATGTTGCTGAATCATGGACAGCAGCTGCTCAATGTGGAGCTGCACATAAGGGGCGAGCAAAAGATTTAATATACAGCACATTTGGCATTAAGTCTATAAATAATTTTTATTGTTTTTGGCAATAGTATATTACGCTTAATTGTGTAAAACTAAACATGGAGACATAATTATGATACGCAGACATAAATTTGAACTAAGGAAATTATAAATTTAACAAGCACATTATTATTTGGAGATTACCGCTTGACCAAAGACTGTAAATATGTTTGGAACTCATCTTTGCCGCACAGTTATTCGCACTTTTCCACGTGTATAGCCGAGTAGAAGTTTCAATATAATATTCAAGCAATCCATATACATATTTTCATAATTCTCACTTAAAATATATTTTCGTACAATTTCGTCGAGTTTCACACGCGATCGCTACTAAAACATAGTAAACGAATATACAAATTTTGAACCTACATACATACAATTTAGATTTTCATAAGCTATTTTAGGATATTGTTTGTGTACATATATAAGTTTGTATAGAACTGTGTGTTTGTGTGTGTGTGTGTGGCGGGCAATCAGTAATGACCCGCAGCAATATATCAATTGCTTAACACAAAACAAAACAAATATGCAAAATGCAATAGTATTTGAGAACGATAAAAACAAAATAAACTAAACGAGTAAAATGGTGGGGGTAACTATAAAAGAAGGGACATTATCTATTGGGTTAAAATCTGGTTTTATCCCGCCTTTTGCGTTTGCTTTTGTCGCTGCAGCGCCTCGAATGCTTCAATTTCCTTCTTTTCTTTGGCTTTATTACGGCGCTCGTACTCCAAGCGATGCGAGATGATGCGCTCCACAATGCGCTCTGTGGTCATGTCGTTGCCCGAGTCGAGCAACTCGAAAATGGCACGCGTTTTCGGCACTGCATACGGATCAATTTTTCCATTCTCGAGTGCAATGGGCGTCCGGCCGTGGCACACAATATCAATCTTAAAGTGATCCACAAGATCCTCTGTGACGCAATAGGGTGCACCAATAACAACCTCGTTGACAAACTGAATAATACAATCAAAAGAATTAATCGATTACTAAACAGACGCCTCTGATAAGTAAACGTTGTGGGAATAGCTAACCTTGCAGGCCAGAACGCTGAGCACACGCTCATGCAGATTCATAATGGGATAGTTGCTCCCCTTATATGAGTTAACAACGGGATCGGTATGCAGGCCCACAATCAGATAGTCGCCAAATTTGCTGGCCTTTTCCAGAAAATCTAAGTGACCCACATGGAAGAGATCAAAAGCGCCGGCAACATAAACCTGAAAGTGAAATTATTAAGGTTTATTCGTAAATTCGTGATGAGATTTTGTCAAATATTTACAATTTTATCGCCGGGATTTGGTGATTTGCCATCGCTAAACTGTATGATCTTCTGCGTTGTGGGCAAGAACTGACTGCATCCGGTCCAGGGACTCTTGGCCGTCGAGTCCTGACCCATGTTCGATGAACCTAAACGGGATTGCAGTGGTTGATGTTTTAAAATTTTTGCTGTTTTCGATTTGTTTAAGATTATCAGGTTGTTGTCGTTATATTATTTATATATATATATATATATACGAGCATCGCATTACATAGCGCATTTTACAGTTACATATGTTTTCGATTTGACATTTTGAGATTCGTTTGATTTTTTTTTTTGGGATATTTATTTTGGTTTGAACGCGGGGCATCAGCACGCACGGGATTTTGAGATTTTAGTTCATTGGGGTTTTTGATTTGATTTTTGAGTATTGGTTAGTGGTAAACAGTGCGCACATAGAAATAAAAAGAAGAGAAATAGTAAAGATGTAGAGAGCAAAATAAAGCAAATGTTTCTGTTACGTTTCAAAAAGAAATACGACGGAAAACAATCCAACCAACTAAGAACTATGCGTGCGTGGCCCAGGTTCGTATTAAACATGTATGTATGTAAGTATATCTATAAAAAAAACATACAAGCATTAAACTTGGCTTCTCTCTTCATACTTGGAGCTGTTTCTTTTTGTTTGTTTTTGAGTTGTTTTGTGTGCGTGTGTGTGTGTTAGAGCAGCATGCAGGGAAATAAAAAAAGTATCGTAAAAAAGAAAGTACCAGACGAAAGTAATATTAAACGTTAGCTTGGGGTAAAGTAAATATGAAAACCATGAATGGCAAGCTGGCTGATGAGGGGAACGGGGGCATACAAAACATTAAAGAATGCAACTTAAATTGAACAGAAAAGAAAACGATCTCAGAGTTTAGGAATCAGACTCTACCTTCTTTCTCGATATCATATTCGGCGGAACCCTGTCGGAAGTGATTCCGTGTGAGCAGCAACATGCGACCAACTAGGTCTGTGGTTGATACGCCGGCGGTCCGCTTGACTTCCCTGCAGTGAGCGAGACGAGAATTATATACCAAACAATCGAAAGGTTAGTCATATAAATAGACGCCCATATAATTATTAAGTAGGCCAGCACTTACTTGTAACGATTGGCCGACTTGACCAGATGATAGGTGTCGACACCCTCTGCTGTCATTGTGATGTCATCTGCAAGGTTCAAAAAGAGTTGAAGATAATTGAAGTAATTACTATAATTTAAGCATAATTAACTAGAATGGAAAAATCATTTATAACGATAATTATTGTTAATGATACCATTTTTTGGATATTTCTTCTTTCTTCATTCCAACTGTAAACTTACCGCCATGCACACAAAAATCGCAGTTATTATCATCGAGCACTTCTAGGGTGGTCACATAGGGCGCACCGAGAACCACCTCGTCCACCCATTTGATGCCGCTAACCATCTTGACCCGTTCCTTCTCGGTGAAGACGGGAGGGCCCTTATTTTTGGTGATCTCCTCATCGGTGTGAATGCCCACAATTACTTTATCGCCAAGTGCTTTGGCTTGTCGCAGTGAATTGGCATGTCCGAAGTGAACCATGTCGTAGCTAGAAACGAAAACATTCTAATTAATAATATTGCACAAGCTGCAGAAGAGTCGTGCTCCAAGATACACCATTGTACTTTTTAATTTAATAATACATTCTCGTTCGTTATCAAACTCTCTAAGCGGAAGCGAGATAGAAGTGAAACAACCAGGAAATGTATTTAATTTGTTTGTTTTTATCATTAGACCAACTAACACAGCGCGTGCAGCTGGAAATGAACTTGCCAAACAATTAGTTGGACAAAAAGAAACATTGATGCATTGCTACATTTTCAGACGAAACTCATTTTGCTGTTATGAGTTTTCATTATCAATGAACAGAAACGATCTTGCTGCGGTAATATTGGCATTCAATGAAGCGATCCCAGGCGCTGATTCATGGGGGAACGTCGTTAGCGAAATGTGTTAGATAACCCTGGCGATAATGGAAGCTAAAGTAGTGTTTGGCACGCAGTAGTCCGTGTAGCCGAGTTCAAATACCCCAAGGACTAGCGGAACATCGATCAGGCCACGTGTGACTTTTGACATCTTTATAGTAAAAAATCGAGATTATTTGCGCAGTGTTTTCAAACCACATTCATTTTTGCAATTGCTGCGCTAAACACTGATCAATGCATCTGGCAAACAAGTTAAATATTCCCAATTACCGCACGGCATTTAAATAGGCAAATCAAGCCAAACGCATTCATTTAGCATATCACTTGTGCAAAGTTCGCTGCACAATTCAAGGTCTGACCAAGCTGCGAAAGCTTCGTGTTGTTGTTCCCGCTGGCTCCGCTTGCTCCACTTTTGGTCTCTTCAGAAAGCCCCATGGGCACAAGATCGCACTTTGAACACGATCATCAGGTTGTGCTTTGTCAAACAGACACAGAGCCACACATACCAGAGATAGGTTTCGTTGACTTCTTTATATAGATGTATATGTATGTTTCTATGTCTGTGGTACTATTAATATATTTAGAGAGCATATGCTCGTGGAATACTGGAATCGCCCAGCAATTCTAGGCAACACGTGCCACGCTTTTGGGCAGCAACTGCTTTCGACGTGACAAGCCACTCAAAGTGTATCTTATGCCATTTTCGCGTTGAATTTTTCCAAGCAATCGTGCCACTCTTATGAAATAAATTCGTGCAAATATTGTCGTAGACATTTAATTGTTATTTACATTCAAATATGAATGCTAAAAGCGCACGAATTGAAAATTAAGATTTTGCAAAGTCTATAACTATAACTTTATAAACAAATTATTGATTAAAAGAGAACAATATGTGGCTACATATAATATATAACAGCTCTATGATATATTTTGGTTATCTCTTATGGTAAACACATCGATCTTTGTCATATACTCGTATAAAGCTTGTTATTCTCATTAAAGAAATTAAATATTATTTAAGTGATTTAGCATATAATTCTTCCGCGCTTCTTTTTTAGAATTATTTCCATAAGACAAGGCCACATATAAAAATAAACCAAAGCAAAATACGCAACTGAAAATATTATGACAAGTCACCAACACTCGATAATGGTAATCAAATTCCAATCCAATGGCATAAAAACATTTAAAGATAACCGTCTGAAACGTCACCTTTATCAAACCGGCAGACAGGGTAGCCTTATTGGGCCACGCCAATTACTAATACAAGACGTAATCAATTCGAGACAGAGAATTATTTAAGTCACCAAAATAGAAAAATACATAAATAAGTCACACTCGGAACCAAACCGTGCCAAATATCGAGCAACCACTGTATACAAGACACAAATACATATTATATATATATATATATATGTATGTATATATTTGCATATGTTCTTTTATGCATAATCAAGGCTGTCTGACAACCTAAACCAGTTTGGCAAATGAATCGCCTGGCCAATCAACAAACGACGTCATTCGATCAGCATCAAGTGAATATAATCGAAAATATTTATTAACAAATTCAATGGAGCTGATAAGGGCTGAAATCTGGCATAACAACGAATCGAAACTGTTTGTTTGAGCCATTCATTAAAACGACAATGTGAGGAGAGCCAGCATCAACCTTTGCTCCCGGAGATTTTGCGACACTCAAGAAAAATCTATGCCGAATGGGGATGGACATATGCATATATTATATGTATACACACAAGGGGATCAAGTACAACATCACAATGTACTGGGGCCTTAATCAATTGAGTTAAAGTCGACCACTGCTGATTAAAAAATATCACGCGATTCAGAGTAGAATTTGCGCTCTCGCGATAACCGCTGCAACACATAAAAGGCAACGAAGCATTATTACCCCACATATACATATACATAACCATACATATATATATATATATATATATTTATATATATACATAAACATTCAGTGAGGCAACAAGTGTCCTAAGGAATTTACAGTTGCGTTGAAAATGATATAGGGCCCAAGAGTTCATTGACTGGGCGACAACAATATTTGAAAGTATCCATAATGAAGCTGTCTGAAGCTGGAACTTGATCAGCTCAATGATCTTTGACATCCCCAGGAAAACGATTTCACTTCCCAGGGGTTATTGGGCCGTGATTCCAAATAAAACGGTACACCATTTAATTTAATGACGCACGTATCAGCGACATGTGCTGTGTGAATTTGACGTGATGTTCTACCTAGGCATTGTTTCTTATCAGGCGACTGACCCACATAATCCCCACCCATCTCGAGACCCTAGTTTCTAAATTTACCCGGAAATAGATTAATTTCGGACATGATTTTTGTTATGAATTTACATTTGATTATTTTGATAATTTAAAAAACATATTTTTTTACATCAACCTTATTATTAGATGACCTTATTTGTATATCCGTTATTTATTAAAGACGTAGGAAAAATGGTATAACAGGTTAACGCTTTCCTCTTCTTTTATAATGGGAATATTTTAAACTTTGATTCGGCTCCGCGCTTTTGCCCTTTTACCCCCTTTCAACTTTTGGCCATTTGACCTTATCGAAATCTCTTCGTAACGTTATTGTTGTCCACGTGCTGTTTTAGCGCTGACCTTTAAAATATCAATTCCATAATACAAATTCACTGCAAAATAGACTGCCGACTAGGGAATACCCTGTAATATGTTTAGATCATATCCTACTCTAGTATACATAAGTGTATAAATAAATTATTTAGGATAATCAAAAAAATACACAATTTAAGGCTAATTTAAATTTTTAAAGCATATTATACCCTATAAACCGATTGAAATATTATTATTATTTTCCATGTCATACAGGGTATTCAAAATTAAGTGCAATGCGAGTTGCGGCTCTGGCAATGACGACATCGATTCGCCAGTTGGGTCAATGGCGCGTCTGGCGTCCAAGCAAACTAGGCCGTCATCATTGCGGGACATTTCGCTGGTGAGCATGCGCGAAAATAAATCACGTGATGTTTGGCCAGACAAGGCACCGGCCCACACTCAACATTGGGCCACGTAAACCTTGCCCAAATTAAAATCGTGCAGAATACATGAAGACGACAAAAAATATAAGAATCAAAGAGCAATAAAGAGGAGAAAGATGGGGGAATGTCGGCTTGATGCTGATGCTGCTGCCGTTGCTGCCGTTGCTGCTGAGACAGCTGTACACAACATATTGTGCACATACAGAGAATCATGCGATGCTGGTCGTTTGGGCGTGTGCCAGTCTCTTGTATGCAGGAGGGGGAGAAAGCGAAACGGTACGGGAGAGAGACAGAGAGAGAGAGAGAGAGAGAGAGAGTTGTTCTATGTATGCGCGAGCCATTCCGGAAGCGTCTTGATTGATATAAAAATACATATGTATGCACATTCAAACACATAAGCACAGTGGTCTCTCGCATAAAATAACTTTTTAAAGATTTCGAGTTTATTTCGTAATTTGTTGATTTTCGAATAGAACAACTCGTCGCACAATGCGAGTAATCACTGTACTGCACATATAGAAAAGTGAATCGCTTTTACTTAACCCGGTCTGTCTGCCGATAAAAACCGGTCAAACGGGCTGCGTAGAAAATCGAATAGTGTCATTCAAGCGCATCGCACACCATAATTAGACAATTTTATATTGACCCCCGAAGCGAATCATTTGCAAAACAACAAATGCCATGTTTAACTACGTAATAAAAAGCACAAAGCAAACAATGAACAATTTAAATACAACTGCAGATTTCCATTTAGTTGACCTTGAACCTGAACGGATTTAAACGATCTAGTTATATTAAAAACATTTAGTTCTACGTACATCCAAATTATCCACACACACACAAATATATATATATATTTATGCGATAAATAGTATGAGAAATCTGTGGAATTTGTATTAAATGCCAACTGCCGATAGTCAACACAAAAAAGTGACGCAATGTAGTGGAAACTACCGTTATGATTAGAAGAGGAATATTACAAATATATAAACAACAGAACTACATACACACATATGTATAAATGTGTATTTTTTACACTGTCCATTTCAATGTCAATATATGTAATACACACACATGTCACTTGCACACATATGTACATACATATGTCTGCGTTAACTGACTCACCAGCCATCACACCATACGCGTACTTCCTTTTTTGTACCGTTGCATTTGTTGTTGCTGCCATCGCTGTTACCGTTGCCATTGCAGTTACCGTTCATTAATTTCTCACTCATTATTATAAATTATTAATTTTTTTTTTTTGTTATTTTTCTTTTTCAACCTAAACGAGAATCACAAACTAAGCATATATTTACAATATATATATTTTTATTTACACTGAGAATACCGAACAACTTATAAGCACATTGATTATTGTACGAAAAATAACATAGACGACGTGCACAGTTCAAGCGCCAAATGATGTTTGTGACGAGTTGTGTGTACGTTCAATACTTTTATTTTGACAGCAGCAGCTACTTAGGTTTTGTTTTGCTTATCAGCGCGCGAACGCTTTTATTTTTCCCCCAAGTGTGTCTGTGTGTAAATTTAGTTCTAGTGGCGCTATAAATGTATTGCTCAATTGACGTTCCCTTAAAGCATCACTAACAGCTGACTGCCAGTGTGACCGCAATTGCAAGGGCGCTGACATACCAAAATTGCCATTCGCACAAAATATTTACATGCCAATTGATTACACATATTGCTTTTGGCAATATATCTTAGGGACTAGTACGTAATGCAGGTTGGTTAAATTTAAAAGCATTCCAGCTAAGTCAGCGAAAGCAAAATACAGTGTCTTATGTTAATTAACAAACAATTTCGTGTGTCTGTTATCGCGTTAAGGTTCATCGCATAAGCGATAGGCAGTGCTTCTTCTTCACATACCGACCAGTGCCGCGATTTGTTGCTCCCAAAGAAATTTGTTTTTCGTACGTTCTTAAGAAAGAATTAACTACAAATTAAAGACCTAATGAAAATGAGTGCGTTCGGATTTCAGTTCAAAAACAGGCGCCGCGAATCATGTCATATTTGATTTCGGTATTGTTTTGAAGACATTGTTAAGAGATTGATCTATTTTATTTAAATTTCACGTGCTAAATTCCGAAAAATATAATTTACTATCTATCTGAAGCCTTGTTATTTAAATTAAACGCTGCGTTTCGAGTGCAAGTGCGCTGCTCACAGCTCGATCGATCAATACCCAAATGTCGAAGCGGAAAGTAGCCACGGGAACTTCACGGCGGGAATATGCAGCAGCCGAGGAGCGTTTGCTCGACATTTTCTCGCCACTAAGCGGTGCCCAGGAGGTGACCACAAGCGGAGCTGATGCAATGCCTAATGCAGTTGATGCGGCCAATGCAGCGTCTCCTGCTGCTGCTATGCGGGGCGAGTTTGACGTGGATCCCTCGAGAGACAACATGATGCACTTTATATCGGACGACCTGGAAATACGCAGCCTGTTGGCCAGCTCCAATAGCAGTCCCTTTAACGGTTTCTGCGATGACATGGTCGATTATCCCGATGAAGGCAAAACGGTCCAACAATCCCTAGTCTTCGGGACAGCGCCAAAACGGGCCAGCGCCCTGCTCAGTCCGCTGTCCAATGCGGGTAAGTCGTCAGTCATCTTTTCACAATCCCCATTAAATTTGTTATTTGCTTCGCAGGGTCACCTTTGGATATGCCAGAGGCAGACGCAGGCACATCTGCTGGCTACATGCAGCACATCACAAATGGCAATCTCAATGGCAGGCAGTCGGAGCTGGAGCCGTCGCATGAGCAGCAGAAGCAGCAGCAACAGCAGCAGTTAGTCATGGATTGTCAAAATGTTATCGTTGAAGAACACGCAGAATGCGTCATCTATGATGATGAGGATGATAATGTGGTGCTGCTAAACGATGATGATCACTGCTGCGAGATCATTGTGGCTGCCCATGGCGGCCACCCGGAGCAGGAAATCGAACGTTCCTATCTATTGGGACTGCAGCATGTGCCGAGCAACGAGCAGGAGCCGCTTAATAATGGCGTCAACTATGGCAGCGAGCAGGAGCTGGAGCACAGTGGCGAGCCGCACGTTTATCTGAGTGATGCGGCTCTCGATCACCAGCAGCACCATTATTACCAGCAGCAGCAGCAGCATCACCACCAGCACCATCACCAGCAGCTGGAGGAAGAGCAGCTACAGCTCGATGCTTCCGACGAGGATCAGGTTTGTGACGCATTTGTTGACGAGCAGCCGGACATTTGTGATGTGTACGAGCACGAGTTGGAGGATAATGATCAGGACGATCAAGATAGCAGCTTGCAACTGGAATTGCAGCCAGAGCAGCAGGTGGCCATGGTGCAGCTGGAGATCAGTAGCGAAGAGCATCAGCAGCAGGATGAAGAAGAGGAGCAGGCTGCTGTAGCTGCAACTGCCGCTGCCGTACCACACAGCAGCACTACAGAGTTTCCAGTCAGCTCCACTTCGTTGACAAATGGCAGCGACTACGATGACTACGACGATGACCAAGGCACCGCCGAAGAACAATCCCCACCGGTGCTGCGCAAGTATATTCCCCTGCTGAAGAATACACTGTCAGCGGAGGCTATGGATCGTCGGCTGGCGAGCATTTGTCAGTCGCAGCCGCAGATGACACTCAGCGAGAAGCTGGCTAGTTGGAATTGTTCGACCGTCTGTGAGGCTGTGGAGGATGTGGAGAATTTTGACGCAGTCTTCGCGGCGCAAGAAGCTGAGCCCGCCAAGCGACCCAAGTTTAACGAGTTTCATGAGTTTTTGCGACAGAGCTCCATCAAAAGCAAACAGGAGTTGAACGAACGCACTAGAGGCGACACAATGGACACGGCTATTGCACCGGATACGCCGTACTCCAGCGAAGATGCGGCCATGCAGAAGCGCCCAAACTATCGACGCCTACTGCCAATCATTCCGCCCGCTGAACTGGTCGAGCCCATTGTGCTGGATGATGATGAAGATGAGGATGACAATGATTGCTACGAGGTCGTCGTTAATCCATCCACTATGACGCTGGTGCCAGAGCGGAAGCAGCAACAGCAGCAACCTAACGTTAAAACAATGCAGACCCAAACGCTTCTGCCACTTCCGCGGGAAACAAAGGAAACATCCACCACAGATCTGGTCAATCAAAGCACGCCATCTGTACCCATGGACTGCTTGGGGCAAGTGGAGGTGCCACATCAGCAAATTGGCGAATCTCAAGAGTTGCATGCCACCGCAGCCCAGACACATCTGCAACTGCAGCAACAGCACGAAGAACAACATCAGCCACCAGGTGAGTTCAAATTTCCTCTCTCTCTCTCTCTCTCTCTCTAATTCTATCTCTTTCGCATTCCCACAGTGCACTCGAATGATGCACAATTCTATGAGCAGCACGAGTTCTGCAATTACCTGGGCCTCACCGAGCTGGCAACGGCCAATGCGGTCGCAACTGCCATGCGGGAACTGGCCAACAGTAATCTGGCGCGTCGCTCGCTTCGGGTGCGCACGCAACAGCAGCTGGACAGGATGCGCAGCGATGTGCGGGGCAAAAGGCGAGGGGGCAAGCAACGGGAGCAGCTGCAGCAACAGCAACTGCAGCAGCTTCAGCAACCGGAGGCAATTGGTCAGGAGTTGAACAGCGACACGAGCAGCATCAGCAGCAATGCGAGCAGATCCAAGAAGAGCACAACTGCATTGGACGCTTTCTCGGTGGAGCCGCAAAGCGGTAACTTTGTCTTTCCGATGTTTGCCACAATGGGCACCGTTAGCGATACTAGCAAGTACTACTGCAGTGCCCAGGGCGATGTGATGCAGCTGCATGAGCAGCAGCAGCAAGAGTCACACTTCCATGCCCATTCCCAGTTGCCTGCCAGCGATTTTCATACAATGTCCTTGGAGGCGGCGTTCGCAAAGGTTTATGCCGCCGCCGCGCCCACCCAGAGCGATCTCTATGAGAGCATTCAGAATCGCTTGCGACAGGCGCGCGAAAGGAAGCCCGACATTTACATAGTGAAAGCCACCAACAATGCCATGCCCACCAGCCCCAAACCACCGAGCACAGTCAAGGCGCCGCACATTGCGCCAGATCGCCGCAGCCCACAGTACAACAACAACAACGATAAACCGGAGCAAGCTGCTCCGCCCGACAAGGGCAACCGCAAGACCCACAAAAAAATGGTGGCAAAGACGTCGAAACGTCGTCGCGCCCCCAGCAAGACAACGGGTCGGCCTGAACGGGATCTGGTCACGCGTTCGACGACGCACATGAACTCGAAACTGCTGCGCAATCGCAAGGTGAATCTACTCCAGAGCTACCAGTTGTCCGATGCGCGTGGCAAGCAGCGCCTCAGCGGCGGCACACAGCCGACCCTCAAACGCCGCAGCACTCCCAAGGTGGACAAGCGAAGTGCGAAGAAAGCGAAGATGTTGCACGAGCAGATAGTGATCAGTCAGGCGACATCGTTGCCCAAGCTGCACAAGCTGAAATCATCAAAGCAGCTGTCGCCTTCAGTGCAGAAGCAGCCGCCGGTGCAGGTGCAACCAAAGGCGAACACGAAGCGAATGCGTTTGCGTACCAACTCTCTGCCGACGGCGTTGGTCGTTGGCGACTGCGATGTGGTGCGAGCCACACCCGAGTTGAGCCCCAAGAAACCACAGACCAAGCTGTTCATGGATCCGCAGGAGTTCCTCACGCTCAAGGGTGTGGTCAGTCCGCCCCATTACAGTGCGGCAGTGCGTCGCTATGTGAATGCTGTGTGCAAGCCCAGCGAACTGATTTCTGGAGGAGAACAGCAGGAGCAATTGCAACAGCAACTGTCACAGCAAAGACAAGCAAAACCGCAGCAGCAGGAGAATCAGTCGCCTGAGATCAGCTTCAATGCTGTAGCCACACCAACATTAATCCAATATCCGCCATTATCGCCACCCCCATCGCAGCGGGCACCGCATTTCTCGCGCCGCACACGCCAATTGGCCGGCTTCACTCCCCGCAGAGACGAACCGATTGAGCCCAATGTACCGTTGAGGCCATCGGGTGGACTCTTATCCCTCAGCCAGGGCTCGACGGCACTGCGCAACCCGCTGGCGGGCAAGAATGGCAAGGTGCTGTACATGTATTATGAGCTGGATCAGCTCATTGTGCTGCAGGAGAAATTCATCTCGTTCTGGAAGTACTCGAATCTTTTCGGTGTACTTCGCAAAGAGACACCAGAAGCCAGCCGTGCTGCAGCAACCCAACATAACGCCTACAACATATTCAACACACCAAACCCAAATCAGAATACCCGAAAGACATCGACAGACTCGGACAAATCAGATGGCATCGATGCACCGCGCTGGATTTATTTAGGAGGAACGCGACGCGTTACAAACGGTGAGCAATCCCCACATCATTATTTCTCGCAACTCCCAACTCTATGCCCTTATTAAACTATTCTCGCTCCAAATAGATGTTGAGGTACCAACGCCACATAGTAATCGGCTGTGCACGCACAACGCGACGCCCGTCTACATCGAGATGCGCAGCCATCTGCTGGAGCAGCTTAAGCGAGAGAGCAAACTGTTATCGCTGTACGTGAACGTCTACTACTACTGCGAGGAGGAGCTCCGTCCCAAAATGCACTCGGTGCATTTGGATGCAGTCAATTGGTAACCTACAAAAAACCGTGGCATTTATCAATTTTATATTTACATTTATTATCCATGTAGCGATTGGAACGAGGTGATCTATACGAGCATTCGGGATTCGCGCTACTTTGTGATGGCACACCAGCAGGAGATGGTGCTGGGCAAACCGCGGACTGGCATGTGCAAATACTCGTTGACGCCCACACTGGATACGCTGGCCAGCATACGGGAGTTCAAACCGATGCGCCATGTGCTGAGGCATATTGAGTGTTTGACGGAGGATCGACTGATTGGTTACGGGCAGACGCGCATTACTATTTGGGATCATCGCAGCGGCGATATGTTGATGAACTATGATTTCGGCTTTGAGCTTGGCCACAATCTGGGCGCCATGCATTTTCCAAGCTTCGATATGGAGCAAAGCAGCATGCTCGTCCTCTATCAGCATATCAAGGAGCCAAACAATTGGCCCGAATTGCGCATAATTGCGTGCGAGCTGTCGCATGCAACACCTTCGCATCGCTTGCTGCACGTGCACCATCTGCCTTCCCCACAGTTTGACTGTCAACTGATGACCTTCAATACTGGCGATCATCTGATACTTATAGCGCCAACGGACGACGAAGTCTGGATTAGCACCTCCGATCCACGACAGCTCACATATGTGGCGCCACAGGGCACTCAGCGCTTCTACACGCGTCAAAAGTCACAGATCATCACAATGACGCAGACAACGCTCGCCGTGGACAGCATTGCCAATCATGTGCTGAAACTGTCCACAGAGCATCAGGATAAAATGATGATGGCGGCATCTTCCAGCCCACAGCTTGCCGTGTCCACATAAGAAAATATGAAAACAAGCAAAACAACAAAAACATAAAACAAACCTAATTTCAAAAAAACAAACAATACAATTCAAAATGTCCCGTCGCTAAAATGTAGTTTGGGAGCAACATACACACAAGTGCATATAATTTTTAGTTGCTATTTTAATAAACCCCTATTTGATTACCAAAATTTTTCATAAAACCATAACATCTAATTTTAAATATAGATTTTTATATCACAGATGCTCTTTAAGTAGTATCCGTTTCTAACCTGTTTTAATTCAACCTTGTAGCTGTAAATCTACGTATACATATAACAATATATATATATATAAACGTTACATTTACTTTTATCTACCTATAAAGGAGATCCAATTAATGTATATCAATCGATGTCCAGGAGTCAGTTGATTTATTTGATACTTTAGTATAAACTTCGAAGTCAAGCTTTAAGTTGTAACGTGTTTATTTTTATTTTCTAAAAGAAAAATAAAGCTTTAGGCTTAACTCTAGCATACTGCTAGCTATGTACTATATTTAGAGTGGAGATGTGTTACTCTTGGTAAACAATTAAAAAAACAAAACCAAAATGAATGCAAAAGCGTATAAATTAAAATAAAATCTAGAATTATATCAAAGCATGTGGTGAGTTTTTCTTCAATTAATCGACAGTAAAAGGAAAGTTGTTAATTGCACAAACACGGTTAATTTTTTAAAATTGAATGATGTATTTAGAACGCCTTTAATTTCATATAAACTAATCAATTTCAACTACACACTCCATCATTCGTTACAAATACAACTATGAGCTATTCATTTATTATTACATTATTATTATTTTAATTTCGTCCTAACAGCTAATTTTATGTACACAAGATTTACTTACACGAAAGTAAAATTCATATAAAAATTGTGAGTTTTTGGACTACAGATACACCTAGTATACATATACATATATAATATATGCGCATGCATATCTATATCATTATATCATACATATCAGATACAAACATTGGCCATATTTTAGTTTTATAGCCCGCGTTGTCGGTTTGCTGCTAGGAAACTGAGGGAACTAAGCTAATGTTTTATCTCGAAAACGTTGTTTAAATGTTTATCATCAAATGCTAAAAACTTTAAGCCACAGCGCCAATGGAGCTGATGTGCATGTTGGGGTTCCGAGTCTTAGAGTAAAGTACAACATTTTATCGCATTTTATCGCCTCTGTGAACGAAATTTGGAAATGACTTATACTTAAGTGTATGCGTGTATAATTAGTGAAATGTTTATAGAAAAGCCATTTTAGAATTTAAACAGGCGCCATTGAAGCGTTATAGCGAGGGCCCCGACCATCATTGAGCAGTCGTCACTACAATTCCTTGTCTGGCTTTTTCTTTGGCATCGCCGCCGTCGCCGTTGACGCCGCCGCTGCTGCTGCTGCCGCCGCTGCCTCATTCTGATGAGCCTCCTTGGCAAGCTGCCAGCGCTTGAACTCCACCATTTTCATGATGCGTACGCGCAGCTTTGGTTGTCGCACCATTGCGCCGGCCAGCTTGGTGGCCTCCTGGCTGTACATGAAGACAACGGGTATGGCCACATCATATTTGCCATCACCGGACATCGCAAACATCGGTTGCGTCTCCCCGGAAGAACCAGATACATTATCAAAGACGATCAACGCCAAAGCGCCCGCCTTTTGTGCCAAGCGCGCTTTGCTTACAAACGTGCAATCGCCGCGCTCCGCCACCAGAATCTTCCCAGCCACAAAATCGGCATTCTGCAGCGTGTCGTCGCAGGCACGGAATGGATGGGCCAACGTAACATCGCCCTCAACAAACATGTCGCCAAACAGCTCCGGACTGAAGTGCGATGGGCCGGCCATCAGAGCGGTCCAGTCCTGTGACTGATCATCCAATGCATAAGCAACCGCCTAGAATTTCAAACATTTTATATATTTTAAATAAATAAATTATAAAAAATATAACAGATTATCTAAAATTTCAGTTGAGTTACGAACAAATTGTCTTCAATCTTAGCATCCTCAATCTACTTTCTTCAATTTATCCAAATTATTAACACAGTTTGTTTCAAGTGTCGAATTAATAATATATTATTTAATTTGTACCCTAAAATATATACTTTTACAATTAGTCTGATCAACTTACTACATTAATTTTGGCTCTACTTTTATTGAATAGCCAATTTTTGTATTACCAATCTTACCATTGAGTTATTCGCACAATTCTCTTGTAATTTACGCACCTGCAGCTGGGCCAGTTGATTCATGCTCTGCATTTTGGTCAGCTCCAACATTTCCTGCATAAACTGCAAGCCCATTTCGCCTTCCTCCTGACTCTTGGCCTGCCGCAATAAGAATTAAATAATTAAGAATTATTTGAGTAGCTAAAGCTGATGGCATTTTAGCTATTAAACTGTTAACCAACAAATTATAATGTGTGAAGAGATCGAACAGAAAACTTACATTATAGAAACTATGAAACAGTCGCACCTTGCCTTGGCTACGGTCGCCTACCGAAACCATGGTGATGCCCATGTCGTATACAGCTCGCAGATGATCTGCATTGCTTGCCTGAAAATCCAGGGCGCTGAGTCGCTTGCCGGTTGTGGTGCGCGGACACGAGCCCGTAATGAAGTTGCGCAATGGTTTGCGTACTTTCTCAGGAAAAAGCTTATTGGAACTGGGGCAGGTTCGCATGAAGTCGAGTACATTGTGCTCGTCCGATTGCCGAAAGCCTGTAATAATTTGTACAATTTAAATGTGTCTATATTTTAAAACCAGATATGGGCATCAACAGCTGCAATATTGCCTTTGAAATGCCCACATCAGAATATTGATTGACTCACTAAAAGTGGAATTGCCCAGCTGTGCAATGGACAGCGGCAACAGATGCGCTTCAGTGGTGAAGACAAACTCATCCACATTGATGATGAGATCCTGCGGCTCGGAGAACAGCAGAAACAGATATTTAAATGTTTCGGACAGCACAAACGAGTCCATGCGATCCTCATGCTTGCCGGTGCGCACATCGTTGACAGCCGCATAGCCACAGGAGACTTTTGCATATTTCTGCAGCGTTTTAAGCGCTCGCTTGCCCACCTGCAGATAGTGATGATCACCGGTGGCACGATACAAGAAGTACGTAGACTCAATGAACTCGGGCCGCAAATGATGTTGGCCCCAATGGATTTGGAAGTCCACCGTCCACGCCTCGGGGATGAGCGTGTGCATTTGCATCACCTGATAGAGCATCTCGTGGGTTTGCACCGCCGGCTTCAGATCGCCCGAGAGCACCTGGAGGCCGGGCCAGAATGCCAGAAGTGAGTCCATGAAGTTGCGCGACTTCGCATGTGGTCGATGCATCAGCACGTCCAGTAACATCGGACCCTCGCTGACGTACTTCATTACGGCGTTGTAGTGGCGATTGAATCGCGCCAAATACTTGTCATCGCCCAGCAGCACATACGATTTGAACAGATACTCGTAGTAGCTATCAATGCCAGCACCCACGCCCGAGTCGCGACGCACCCAATCGCCCGAGTGGACATTTAGCACGGTGCCCATAAGATCAGAGCCACGGTGTCGCAACTTCCACAGGGCGTCCATGGCGGCATGTGCGCGCACCTCAAATATCGGATCACCTGTCAGCCTCGACAATGCGGCAAACTCCAATAAAATGGTGCCCGCACAGGCAGTGCATGTTTCGCGGGACTTCTTCAACTGTGGATCCTTCATGCCCAGCCGCAGATTGACCCGTGCATGGGGTATGCCCGTCGTCGTATTAAACGCCGGCAGCAGACGATAGCCCAGGTCGCGAGCCATCTCCAGCATCTCGCCCTTGTACCAGTGCATCACATCCGCCTGCTTCTGTAGATATTCGGCGAGTATGTGCGCCGACAGCAGACCGCCCACCATTCGTATGTTCGTCTCGAACACGGACACAATGATATCGCTGTCGAACTGCACGTCCCGTATGACCAGCTTCACGGCATGCTCGAACTCGGCAAAATCGCCGAGCAGCACAAGTGTGTCCAGAGCATCCACCAGCGTCATGGAGAAGCTGCAAGAGTTTGGTTTAGTTAAATATATAATAGGAAATGCTAATGAGAAATATTGTTGAAAGCATGGCAAGGACCTTAAATCCATTAACGCTATTTCATATACACAATTTGTCAGTGTCTCTCAAACTATAGAAACTTTTCAAATCTTTACTTATTCCTATATCTTATCTTGTATTTGCACAACATTAACATAGTGATCTAATCTAATCATTATAAGTATCGTTAACGCGAAAAAGAAAGAGTATATTATGTCAAAAATCTAAATCCATCGCTTCTCTTAGCATACCGAAATTTAGCTTGTTGTATTATTGATGAGTTATGTTGTACTCGTCTACAACAAATTGGATTGTTTGGTTTCTTTTCCGCTTGTACTCACTTGCCCAATATGTCGTCCATGTCGCCGCGCGAAGGCGTCACGCCGCGGTAGCGTCCCTTGCAGGAGAGTGGCATCAGTTCGTCGGCGGGATAGGCGTTCTCCATGTAGGCGTGATATGCATGATAGAACATTTCGCGCGACTCTTCACTACACATCCCCCCAAAAAAAGAATGAAATTTCCTATGGTTGAAGGTATTGAAAGAATAATTGCATTCATTTGTATTTACCGCAGTTCGGCACGTTCCTTGTGCGACATATTCTGTGTGGGAATCGTGCTGGCGTCATCGCTGATCACAGTGACGATGAGCAGAAACAGGGAGACCAGGGTGGGCAGCAACAGGCGCTGTTGTGCCACCAGCGATGACGTCGAGCCCATCATCTTGCCCATAATTTAGCTTGCGACTGCAAGTGGAAGTGGAAGGCCGAAAGCTTTGCTGGCTTGGAGTGCTAGCTCCAATTCCAAGCAGCTGGTGCTGTTCGTATTTCGTTTTGGGCAGCCACAGTTGCCGTTGCTTATCACCTTGTTGTTGGTTTTTGTTGTTGCTTCTTGCTTGTTACTTATGGCTTGTTGCTTGTGACGTTGACCTTCACTTTGAACGTGATATTTGTTGTTGCTGCTCTTGGGTAAGTTTTTGAATTTATCGCGTTCTCCGCTTTGTTTGTGTGTTTCGCTTACTTTTAATTTTAAATCAGCGTCGTCTTATTTAAATGTTTGGAGTGGAAGACTGATATAAGAAAAACAATAATTAAAATATATTATATATGCATTAATGTGCACACACACATACACATACACTCACACAAATGTTTTTTGTATGTGGATATAATTGCTTAATTTAATATTTATGACTGCTCACCCAAGAAAAAATGAATGTTTTATATGTATCGCACTTTTTCTTGCACTTGTGCGTTAGCGACATGGTCAACAGCGTTGTGAGCATGATTTTTTTCTTCTTTTTTTGCTTTCAAAGTAGTAACATTCCGAAATAGTTTATTTTTAATCTTGTTTGCTGCTGCCTGCTCCAATAACAAAACACCACGACTGCAAATCGCCGAAAAGCGAACAGCGACCGCTCGCTGCAATTTAGATTTGTACGCTTCAGATGTTTATTATTCGCATATTGTATTTAGATGAAGGGCCACACATGCAATTGTTGGCCGCAAATAATAACGCTTTGCTGGCAGTTTTTAAATTGTTAAATGGGCAGTTCTTATCAATTCCATTTACTAAAATATATTGCAAAAACACTAGTGTTGTATAAAACAGGCAAATGTATTGAAATATCGGCACATTTTAAACACAATGGTCACCTCAAATTAATAATGCCTGAATGACACTTTCAAATTTGTCTAGTAACTACAAGAAGCATGGCTGATGTTATAAAATTATAAATAACAAAAGAAAAAGATTAAAGATGTACAATATTTGTAGTGGCCTAAATGTAACGATGATGCGAAAATTAAAAGCGGACTGGCCTTCAAATAATGGTCAATCTTACATTCCCGTTTCTGGCTTTAGTGTGACCAAGGTAACGCATATTGACAGTGTTATTAAACATCTGCTTAACAGCTGATGCCCCCGCGCTTTTAAAAGTGCTTAGAAATTGATTGACTAAAATGGTAAATATTTATGCGCCTAAATTGCACTTAGACTAAACCATTTTAATTTTGTATCTTGCAGAGGCGCAGCTTGGCGCCCAGCCAACGATTGGGGGTTCGCATCAAATCAAAGGATGCCTTCACACCGCCATTGCTTAAGAAAAACAAACGCGCTTGCCAACAGGAGCTGGAGAAACGCCAAAGCGCTCTGCGCGATGCCACCAATATTGTGGAGCTACCGCTGCCCATACGATTCACGGCCAACAGTGAATATGAGCAGGCCATTGCCAAAGTGCTGGCACGCAAATTCAAGGTGCCTATAGCCAACTATGTGCCGGATTACGGTGGCAATCGTTCGTTGGGTGTGCGTCGCTCAATAGTGCGCCGGGCGCTACACGATCCTCTAGCCTGCAATGCTCTGGTACTGTTTACGCCGCCAGTCTACACGGAACACGAACGCATGTCCCTCGATCCCAGCAAGCTGCAGGTGCATGTCGTCGTGGATCCGCTGCTAAGCAACGTGTTGCGTCCACATCAGCGCGAGGGTGTGCGCTTCATGTACGAGTGTGTGGAGGGGAAACGTGGTAGTTTCAATGGCTGCATAATGGCCGATGAGATGGGTCTGGGCAAGACGTTGCAGTGCGTCACATTGACATGGACGCTGCTACGCCAGAGCGCCGATTGTAAGCCAACCATATCGAAGGCCATTGTGGTGTCGCCTTCATCGTTGGTAAAGAACTGGGAGAAGGAGTTCACCAAGTGGCTGCATGGTCGCATGCACTGCCTGGCCATGGAGGGTGGCTCCAAAGAGGAAACGACTCGCACTCTCGAACAGTTTGCCATGAACACGTCGACCCGCTGTGGCACACCCGTGCTCCTCATCAGCTACGAGACATTTCGGCTCTATGCGCACATACTCTGCAAAACGGAAGTGGGCATGGTTATCTGCGATGAGGGCCATCGGCTGAAGAACAGCGACAATCTGACCTATCAGGCCCTCATGGGTCTCAAGACCAAGCGACGCGTTCTACTCTCCGGCACTCCGATACAAAACGATCTGACCGAATATTTCAGTTTGGTGAACTTCGTCAATCCGGAGATGCTTGGCACTGCCACGGATTTTAAGCGTAACTTCGAGAATGCCATTCTGCGCGGTCAGAATGCCGACTCCACGGATACGGAACGCGAGCGTGCGCTGCTCAAGACACAAGAGCTAATTGGTTTGGTCAATCAGTGCATCATACGTCGCACCAATCAGATTCTAACCAAATATTTGCCGGTTAAGTTTGAAATGGTCGTCTGTGCCAAGCTAACAGCGGTGCAGCTTCAGATCTATACGAACTTTCTCAAATCGGATCAGGTGTGTCGCAGCCTGGCAGGTAAGTTGTTAACAGGTTCTGCGCAATTAAAGATCGAAAACCCAGCTCCAAATTCACTTAATAAACTTCTCTGATTCGAAATAGCGTTACTAAGTCAGTCAAATTCATCAACTTCAATAGTTATACAGCATATAATTAATGATTGTTTTAATATTTATAGATTGTAACGAGAAGACATCATTGACGGCCTTGTCGGATATTACCACACTCAAGAAATTGTGCAATCATCCGGATCTAATCTACGAAAAGTTGGCTGCCCGTGAAAAAGGCTTCGAGAACTCACAGAATGTGCTTCCGGCCAACTACAAACCGAAGTGGGTACGAAACCATCAAAATCTCCGCATATCATTAATGTTTGTCCGTCCATTTATAGAGACATCAATCCGGAGCTGAGTGGAAAGTTTATGCTACTGGATTTCATGCTGGCTGCCATACGCGCCAATAGCGATGACAAAGTGGTGCTCATCTCGAACTATACACAGACGCTGGATCTGTTCGAGCAGCTGGCGCGCAAGCGCAAATACAGCTATGTGCGTCTGGATGGCACCATGACGATTAAGAAGCGCTCGAAAGTTGTGGACAGGTTCAATGATCCCAGCTCGGACTGTTTCCTGTTTATGCTCAGCAGCAAAGCGGGTGGTTGCGGTTTAAATTTGATTGGCGCCAATCGCTTGTTTATGTTTGATCCCGACTGGAATCCGGCTAACGATGAGCAGGCCATGGCCCGTGTCTGGCGTGATGGCCAGAAGAAACCGTGCTACATCTATCGCCTGGTGGCGGTAAGTTTGATGATAAAAAATGCTACTTCTCCAATTTTCAATTCATTTCACGAATCCCACAGAGTGGCTCCATTGAGGAGAAAATACTGCAGCGACAGACGCATAAGAAATCGTTATCGAGCACAATTATAGACAATAATGAGTCGGTGGAGAAGCATTTCACACGCGATGATCTCAAGGATTTGTTTAGCTTCGAGGCCAATGTGCTATCCGACACGCACAACAAGTGGGTGAACTTTTAATTATATTTTGCATTTGTCATTTTGAATATATATTTTTATGTTTTCTGTTGTAGACTTAAGTGTAAGCGATGTTTCCAAGATGTGCAAAGACAGCCACCGGCAGACAACACCGATTGCACCTCCCATTTATCGCAGTGGTTTCACTGCTCCAATAATCGCGGCCTTCCCGATACTATACTCTCCCAGGCTTGGACTGCGAGTAAATGCGTTTCTTTTGTCTTCCATCATCGCTCACAGGCAGAGGCCAAGCCAGCAGCTACAACAACAGACGAGGACGAGGAACTGTCGGACTCCAAACGGAAAGCCAAGAAGACATTGGCCAGCGATGATGATGATGATGAAGACTTCGTGTTAAATTGTAGTAGTGGTGAAGAATTTAGTGGTTTTTAGCTGCTTTAAGTTTAAAAATAATTTATTGTTTTAGCATTTGCGGAACCTGATTTAGATTTAAGGCTAACCTAAAGCTAATTCTTTCTTTAATTTTTAACAATTATTCTAAAATACATAAGTAGTTTAACATTTAAAATATGGAACCCACAGCACACAATGCTTGTTATCTCCATAAACACAACTACAAGCGCCTAAAATAGCTTAACCTAAGTGCACACTTCAGATTTATAAAACACTGATCTGATATTAGTAGTATAGCAACGCAGTGTTAACACAGTCAATAGAACACTTTTGTGTGAGGGAGTGTATACAGAATGGGGATTAAACATCAATAATTTTATGTTCCAGTTCTATCCAAACATTGCTCTTTTCCGGCGGTTTTTGCAACGGAGATGGCTGTTGTTGTAGCTCAAGCAAAAAGCCTCCAATACTCTGGTAGTAACTGCAAAATCGATTGGAGATTAAATTAAATGAATTAAAGAAAGTACATAACTTCTTTTGATATGAAATCCTTACAAAATGTGTTAAATACAAACGAATTTATTGCAGATTTTAAATAGCTTACCCATCCACTATCCAGGTGTCGTTGTGTGAGCCTCCCGGGAGCTCAATCATACGCTTCTGTTCGCTACCGCAATTATTATACAAGGCACGCATCATGTGCGGTGGCACAAGGTTATCCGCAAGGCCCGATATAAATAGAAAAGGTACCGAGCACTTGCTTATCTTATTAAGTGAATGATACTGAAAGGGAGTAACAGATATGATATGATATAAATATGAAATTGGTAAAGAACTCTCTATGAATCACCTTATTTTTATATAGTAGATTTGGTATGTATTTCACAGTTGGATGCACCAGCTCCACGGCCATATCACGTATGCTGGTGAACGTATTTTCCACAATGGCACACATCAGTTTTTGGCCATAGACAGTATCGGCGGCAGCATCAATTACAACGGCGCCGCCCAATGAACGACCAAAGAGTATAAGCTGTGAATGATCCAGGTCGTGCCGTGTTTGCAAATAATCAATTGCAGCGCGTGCATCTGTGACCAGGCCACGTTCCGAAGGTACGCCCGTCGATAGGCCGTAGCCACGATACTCGACCATCAAGATGTTACAATGGAGATGATGATAAATGCCCCAGACCTAGAAATCAAGAAATCAACATTAATGCAAGACTAACAAAATCTTATTCGATTCACACGCATTACATTTTGCATCCGATGCCCCATGTTGCCAGCGTTGCCATGGAAGTAGAGCAATGTGGGCACCGATTTACAACGCTCCGCGGGCTGACTGATCCAGAAGGCGTGCAACGTCACATCATCGGGCGTCTTAATGCTAACGGTAAGATGTGGCAGATTATGCATGGTTGGGATGGGTACATAAATGCGTGAGTTTGTTGGCAAGTCCGGATGATACAAGAGCAGGTCTTGTGCATGGTAGAAAATGACTGTAAGTGGAGAAAGACTTTAGTAAGACCCATGGCAGATTTGTTATCGTCTACATACGTAATAGAATGACTGCAAAGAGCGTAAGTGTCATGTAACCCCCATAAAAGTAGTAGAAAATGAAAATAAGCAGAAATGCGCCCACAATGCCCACGCCAACGCCGCGCGATTTGGGCAGCGCAATGCCCACTTCTTTCATTATGTACTCGTTTATATGTATGCACAAGAGCTACATGCTGCGATTCGGGCAGTTTCAAAGGCAAAAACACAAAAATATATTGAAAATAGATGGATCGAAAATCGTATGCGTAAGTGTAATTGTCGTGGGACTGCCAACTTGATCTTGTTGTACTGCTGTCCGATACATAATCAGCTGGTAATAATCGGAAACAGGTGTGTAGGATGCGATGAAGCTATCGCATAATGCAACTCTGGTGAATTCGATAAATGCTTGCTGTAATGCAACTTTGCGTAAAACAAAATGGCGTATTTTTTACAGTAATAGACTAAGACGACGTGAACATCTTTTATGTAGTTGAAAACTGCATTTAAAAACAAGTGGCTCATTTTAAGAAACAAAATAAACATTCATTAGAACCGTTAACAAGTGTATTGCATGTTTAATGAGCGCTACAAGGCAACTCAGTGTGCTTCCACGAAAATATAATGAGCCAGGTAAGTAGGCCTTGAAAAAGCTGTGACAGTGAACGTCGTGTAAGAGTAAAAAAAATAACAAGAAACTATGAAAACTTTTAATCATTCGAAACAAACCGTTATTAGTCAAACGAATTCAAGTCGTCGTGTGAGTATAATTCTCAAAAACTGTGTCATCAATTTCAACACAACTTTTGTGGGTGTGGCAAGCAAAAGTCACATAGATGGACCCAAGAGGTGTCCCCCCCGTTTGAGACTCCGTCACTTGTACGGCAATTGGTGCGTTAGCCAGAGTGGCTTTTTGCCTAAAAGTGCCTAAATCACACTTTATCCAACGGTGTTTCAACATTTTAACAACGCCAAACGATGCCTGAGGATCCAACGTGGCAGCCAGTATCAATTTTTTGGAAATCCATTGGGTACCCATTTTCGCAAAATTCGTTTGAATTTGGGCATTTCGGTTTGTTTTCATTGAATGCCGCATCGAAAATGCACTAAAATGCATTATTTTCGTACAATTCCAGTGGCAATTGAAAATTTTCATCGATTACGTAATCACATTTTGTCAGGTGCAAAGTTTTCCTCGTGCTCCAATCCATGGATTTCTGGCCAATTTTCAGTGGCAATCAGCCCGCCAAAAGAGAACTGCTAAGGAAATAACCTTGTTTTCAACTAATTTTTGTATAAAAACATATTTCAAGCAATTGTGGCCTAATACCATCGTATTTTTTCAAGAACCTGGTGTGTTTTGACCAAGAAAACTCCTTCAGAAGCAAGAAATCCGCGTATTTCTGATGGTTTTACCGTCTTTTCTGGTCAGGATCCTGTATAAAGGGTATTTTCACCCATTTCTGTGTAGTAGACCTGTGTACCGATGGCTGACAACGAGTAGAAACCATTAACTTTGGATATTTTCAAGTAAAAAACGCTTTTGTTAGACTACAAACTGCATTTCTGGAAAGGATTGGCCATATATATGCTGTACACATCTGTGTTTTGCTTTGCAACACAAGGCAAATATTTTACATTCTCAACAGAGGCAACAGCCACTATTCCATCATTTTATGTGAGTTTTGGAAGTATTTTCGAGGATTCTTGTATTGCTTCTGTTTCTGGACAGGATTAAGTGTGTTTTTAGTCACTTTACTCTTTACAAATCGTTAAATTATGCTTCGACTTATTACAAGAGTGTGTGGTAAGTTATCGGAGTTCCTAAATCATTTTGAAGACTAGAAACTTTATGGATATGAGATTAATCAGAACATGTTCCTGTGGAAAGCTGGAGAGGATTACGTCAAGTTCCAGTAATATCTCTGTATCATTATACAGTTTATCGTTGGTGTGATTTAACATCAACCTAATTAAAGCTCTTCCGGAATTCTGTATAGAAAATTTTAAACTAAATTGAAGTGCATCTATATTCTGGAGAGGATTATCCGTCTTTTACGAACTTGATTCGAGTCCGAATTGGGAAACTGGAAACTGTATATTGTTCAGCAGAATAGTTATGGGATCTACGAACTGTCTCTCAAGACATATTAATCGTGGTTTAGAATTCTTTCCTCATTCTTATAGTTTTGTAAACATTTCTGGTTTGGGATTCTGGTTGACGAATCGTGGGCTTCATTTATTTTGATTTTGGGAAACGATTTACGAATACAACTAAGTTTGAGTTCGGGTTTGGAAAGTTATAGCGTGGTTTGGTGTATCTCTTAAAATAATTCAGTGACATTTGAAGTGGTTCCAAAACGGATTGCAGGCTTAATACAATTTTGTCATTCTTGTTTCACACAGGCACTCAATGAATCGTCTCAAAGTATAGGCTCAGACGAACAAGATGACACACGTGAAGATGTCAGTGGCAGTGGAAGCGGCAGTGGAAGTGGCTCTTCCGGTTCCGACTCCGATTCGGACAGTTCCTCAGGTAATTCCAGCGATGGACGCAGCTCTCCGCCAACGGTTGCCAAAACGGCGGTGGCTGGTTTTCCACCAACTGCAGCGGCCGCTCAAGCAGATACCAAAACAAATGGCTTTACGGATGGGAATGAAGATGACAGCTCCAGTGCTGGGTCCAGCGCCAGTGATTCCGACTCTGAGCCGGAGGCCGAGGGCGAGCCAGATGGAACAAATAACAATAACACCAGCAGCAGCAATAAATTGCACACGAGTAGCAGTAGCAGTTCCTCGGCCACAACCTTGCCAAAGGCTATCGAGGAGGATGACGATGACGATGATGATGAGGATGCTGATGATGAAGTGCAGCAGCCGACACAATCGCAGGCCGCCAGCGAAGCCAGCGTCGATGAAGATGATGCCAGTGACAGCTCCGCCAATGCCTCGCCCACATCCTCCAGCAGCAGTAGCAGTAGCGTAAGTTCTTAATGCTTGTCACCCAGATATGAGCTTTTCATTTACTCTCCTAATATTGTTCAGGAGGATGAGGAGGATGATTACAGACCTCAGCGATCCACGCGGCAGCCGCGCAGAGGACCGCCACAAGCTGCAGACAAATCGAAGCGACCACAGCCTGCCAAAAAGAAGAAAAAGCAAAAGTAAGTTATTTTTATTTAGTGCAAGTTCGATTGCAAGAATCATAAATCATAAAGAACCAAAATCTTTTCATTAAAATCGATTCAATTTGGGTGTTTTGCTTTCGATTAGTATATAATGATATTGATATAACTATTTCATTTGAAAACCTTTAATCCCAAACACAACAGTTGGGACTCGGACGAGAGCGATGAGAGCGACGACGCTGACAGCGATGAGGTGCCGTTTGGATCACAGAAGCGCAAGTGCAATGCCCGCTCCGGCAGCAACAAACAGTCACAACAACAGCAGCAGCGACGCCGTGTGAAACCCTTCAGTTCCGAGGACAGCGATGATGATGACGCAAGCAAACGGTGAGTTCATATCCCAAAACTATAAGACAATATGTGAACGGTGTTATATGTGCAACGCTTGAAAATTAGCTGTGCAACTCGTCGCACCGCCGCTGCTGTCAGTTACAAAGAGACGTCTGAGAACGAAGCTACCGACTCAGAGGATCTGCTAGAATTTGAATACGATGAGAGTCAGGCGGCGGCGAATGCGGCTGCTGCTGAGGAAGACGAGAAGTGCGAGACCATTGAACGCATACTTGCACAGCGTGTCGGCAAGAAGGGCTGCACCGGCAATCAGACAACGATTTATGCCATCGAGGAGAGTGGGTGCGATCCGAATGCCGGTTTCGATGACGCCTCAGATGATGCGTCAGAGGTGCAATTCCTGATCAAATGGAAGGGTTGGAGCTACATACACAATACCTGGGAGTCGGAGACGACGCTCCGAGACATGAAGGCCAAGGGCATGAAAAAGCTGGACAATTTCATTAAAAAGGAGCAGGATACAGCGTGCTGGCGTCGCTATGCCGGGCCCGAGGACATTGATTACTTTGAGTGCCAACTGGAGCTGCAGCATGATCTGCTCAAATCATACAACAATGTGGATAGGATTATTGCACGCGGCACCAAACCCGATGACGGCAGCGAGGAGTTCTTCTGCAAATGGCAATCGTTGCCGTATGCCGAGTCCACATGGGAGGATGCGGCACTTGTGCTGCGCAAATGGCAGCGCTGCGTGGAGCAGTTTACCGAGCGAGAAAACTCCAAATGGACACCATCGCGTCACTGTCGTGTGATCAAATATCGTCCTAAATTTTCACGTATCAAATTACAGCCAGAATTCCTGGCGGAGGGTCTCACGCTCCGAGACTATCAAATGGATGGTCTCAACTGGCTGCTGCATTCGTGGTGCAAGGAGAATTCGGTCATATTGGCCGACGAAATGGGTCTGGGCAAGACCATTCAGACCATATGCTTTCTCTATTCGCTATTCAAGATCCATCACTTATACGGTCCATTTTTATGCGTGGTGCCGCTCAGTACAATGACCGCCTGGCAGCGTGAGTTTGATTTGTGGGCGCCCGACATGAATGTGGTCACCTACCTGGGCGATGTGAAGTCGCGTGAGCTCATTCATCAGTACGAGTGGCAGTTTGAGGGCTCGAAAAGACTGAAATTCAATTGTATACTGACCACCTATGAGATTGTGCTGAAGGACAAGCAATATTTGGGCGCACTCCAGTGGGCGGCATTGCTGGTGGATGAGGCGCATCGCCTGAAGAACGATGACTCGCTGTTGTACAAGTCGCTCAAGGAGTTCGAGACAAATCATCGATTGCTCATTACGGGCACACCCCTGCAAAATTCGCTCAAGGAGCTGTGGGCGCTGCTGCACTTCATTATGCCCGCCAAATTCGATACGTGGGAGAACTTTGAGCTGCAGCATGGTAATGCCGAGGATAAGGGCTATACGCGTCTCCATCAACAGCTCGAGCCGTACATACTGCGGCGTGTGAAGAAGGATGTGGAGAAATCGCTGCCCGCCAAGGTAGAGCAGATACTTCGCGTGGAGATGACATCGCTGCAGAAGCAGTATTACAAATGGATTCTGACCAAAAATTTTGATGCCTTACGCAAAGGCAAACGAGGTTCCACCTCCACCTTCCTTAACATTGTCATCGAGCTGAAAAAGTGCTGCAATCATGCAGCGCTCATCCGACCCTCAGAGTTTGAGCTGTTCGGCCTGCAGCAGGACGAGGCGCTTCAGACGCTGCTCAAGGGCTCGGGCAAGCTGGTGCTCTTGGACAAGCTCCTGTGCAAGCTCAAGGATACGGGCCATCGTGTCCTCATCTTTTCCCAGATGGTTCGCATGTTGGACGTGCTCGCTGATTATCTGCAGAAGAGGCACTTTTCGTTCCAGCGCCTGGATGGCAGCATAAAGGGTGAGATGCGACGGCAGGCGCTCGATCATTTCAATGCTGAGGGAAGTCAGGATTTTTGCTTTCTGCTGTCAACACGGGCTGGGGGTCTGGGCATTAATTTGGCCACAGCCGATACGGTCATTATATTTGATTCGGATTGGAATCCGCAGAATGATTTGCAGGCGCAGGCGCGTGCCCATCGCATTGGCCAAAAGAATCAGGTGAACATATATCGTCTGGTCACTGCACGCTCCGTCGAGGAGCAGATTGTGGAACGGGCCAAGCAGAAAATGGTGCTCGATCATTTGGTGATACAACGCATGGATACCACGGGACGCACGGTGCTGGATAAGAGCGGGAATGGTCATTCCTCCAATTCGAATCCCTTCAACAAAGACGACTTGTCGGCCATACTCAAATTTGGCGCCGAAGAGCTGTTCAAGGACGAGCAGGAGCACGAGGAGGAGCTCGTTTGCGATATCGATGAAATACTGCGACGCGCCGAGACCCGCAACGAAGATCCCGAAATGCCCGGCGATGATCTGCTTTCCGCGTTCAAGGTGGCCAGCATTGCTGCATTCCAGGAGGACGAGCCGAACGAAACGGCGGGTAAGGATCAGCAGGCAGCCGATGAGGAGGATGACAGCAAGGATTGGGACGACATTATACCCGAGGGCTTCCGCAAGGTCATCGAGGATGAGGAGCGTGCCAAGGAAATGGAAGATTTGTACCTGCCGCCGCGTCGCAAAACCGCCACCGCCAATAAAAACGATGCCGGCAAACGGGGCACAGCCAAAAGTGGTGCACGCTCCAAGCAGCAGGGTGACGACTCAGCCGATTCGGATTATGAGCTGGGCTCCGATGCCAGCGGCGGCGGCGGCGACGAGGGTAGGCAGCGCAAACGTGGCCGTCCCGCAATGAAAGAGAAAATCAATGGATTTACCGATGCCGAGCTACGTCGCTTTATACGCAGCTATAAGAAGTTTCCGGCTCCGCTGCTGCGACTGGAGGCGATTGCATGCGATGCGGAGCTGCAGGAGAAACCGCTGGCCGAATTGAAGCGCATTGGCGAAATGCTGCATGATCGTTGCGTGCAGTTCCTAGACGAGCACAAGGAGGAAGAGATCAAGACTGTCAAGGACGAGGAGCAGCAGTCGGGCAACAACAACAACAAACAACGACGCACACGCGCCACATACTCGGTGAAGCTGGGCGGCGTGTCGTTCAATGCGAAAACGCTGCTCGCCTGCGAGGAGGAGCTGCAGCCGCTCAATGAGCTCCTGCCGAGCGCGGCGCACGAGCGACAGCAGTGGACGTTCAATATTAAGACGCGTTCGGCCAACTTCGATGTGGAGTGGGGCGCCGATGAGGATACCCACTTGCTGCGTGGCATTTATCAATACGGCATTGGCTCCTGGGAGCAAATGAAGCTCGATCCGACCCTTAAGCTCAGCGAAAAGATACTGCTCAACGATACGCGGAAGCCACAGGCGAAGCACTTGCAGTCCCGAGCCGAGTACCTGCTCAAGATCATCAAGAAGAATGTGGAACTAACGAAAGGCGAGAAGCGACGTCAGCGACGACCGCGAAAGCTGAAAACCAATCTCAACTCGAGCACAACAGCTGTCAGCACGCCGGAGAGTAAAGAGGCTGCTACCGAGCAGGAGGGCAGCACCTCGCTGCCGGGCGACAACATAGCCAGGCAGGCGGCAGATGGCAGCAGCATTGTTGCCTCTCCCATAGCGACATCTGCGGCCGTGGAGCATGCTAGCACACAACAGAAAAAGAAGAAATCCAAGGGGCGCAGCAAGAAAACAAGCGCATCAGACAACAATGGCAACAAGCCCATGCATTTTACGGCAAACAACGAGCCCAGAGCCCTGGAAGTGCTGGGCGATCTGGATCCCAGCATATTCAATGAATGCAAGGAGAAGATGCGACCGGTGAAGAAAGCGCTGAAGGCACTCGATCAGCCCGATATCAGTTTGTCCGATCAGGATCAATTGCAGCATACACGGGATTGTCTGTTCCAGATCGGGCGACAGATTGATGTGTGTCTGCAGCCATATGGGGAGACCGAGAAGAAGGAGTGGCGCAGCAATCTGTGGTACTTTGTGTCCAAATTTACGGAACTGGATGCTAAGCGACTGTTCAAGATCTATAAGAATGCGCTCAAACAGCAGACGCAAGCGGACACTCCGAAGGATTCGGCAACCTCCGATGGCGGCAAATCGAAGCGAGCACGTACCGAAAATGGAGCTACCGTTGACAAAGAGAAGGAGCGCGACAAGAGTGGTAAAAAGAAGAAAAAGGACAAGGATAAGGAGCGGCAGGGACGCTATTCCTCCGGTGCTCCTGCCGAGGAAAAGTCAGCTCGACGCTTTGCCAGCGATTCGCCGATCAAAAGAAAACGCGATGAAGACGATGCGGAAGGTGGCAGCATGGGCGGCATGCCCATGAGCAGTGCTGGTATCAGCGACAACCTCAAGTCAATGTCGTTCAAGCGCCTCAACATGGATGCGGCGACGGCCTCCTCACGCCATGGCAGCCATGACAAGAAGCATCACAGAGGCGATGATTACTATGCCAGCGGCGGAGGCGGGGGTGCATCCAGCGGCTACGAGGGCAGCAGCTCACGTCGCTCGGGTCTTAACTCGCCATCAACTATTGGCAGCAGTCGGCGCTTCGAGCCGCCTCCCGTGGGCTTCAGCTACCCGGCAGAGATGGACCGCTGGCGTGATCGGTATGTGCAGCACAATGCAGCAAAATGCTGCACAATTGAATATTTTTGTGATAAACCTTTTTTTTTCATTGACTGTGTACAGGTACAACTTTGATTACAAGCGCGAACGATATGATCCGGTGGTTTATCAGCGCAGCGGAGGAGGTGGTGGTGCTGCCGGCGGTGGTTATCACCGGGATCATCGCGAGCGTGATCGCGAACGGCGACCAGGCGAGCGCAGGTGAGTTGAAAGCAACAAATTCCTCAGGTCTGCCATTAAATATATATAATTATATTTAGTTGAAATTGTGCTGATAATTTTTAAATTTAATTGGAAAAATGCGAATTACTTGCTAAGTAGCAATTAGTTCGAAACTTGAACGACTCTCGATGCACTTTTAAATTGATAATTAATGTGATGTTGTCAACATCAAATATCGCAGATAACGCATATCGCACAACAAATACGATATCTCCTTGATTTGTTAACTTTTCTTTCGATTTGTTCAGTTATTCAATTATGATGAGAGCATATCGCTGTCGGCGAGGTCCAATTGTACCATTCATCATTCTGATTGTTTTATTTTCTGTGATTTATAAAAATTGTATGATATTTCTTATGCAGATACTCCGTCCTGCCGTCGCACGCCGCCTACTCGAGCCATTACCTGCCGCCCAATTACTATGTGCCGAATGGCATTGCCGGATTGCCGCCACCGCCGCCAGGCTATCGAAATGAACCACGCGGCTATCCGGTCAAGCCGCGCGACTATCCCGCTGACTACAGACGCAGCGAATACGAGCGACGCACTCAGACGTGAGAGGACTGAGGAGTAAGCGTCATCAGCAGCAATTGTAAATACATTAGATTAGGTTCGTTTTAAGCTTGGCTGTGGTGTCTGTGTCGAACGCAGCTAATTGATTAGTCTTTGTCATAACGATCTTGACACAACACACGCAAATCAACACAGACACACACACTACACACACACACACAAATACAGAAGCAGAAGCACTTATGGATATATAAATGATATACATTAGTTACCATTAATAGGTAAACATTTGTACAAGTAATATAAAGCAGCTACTTATAAAATCTACTATATATAAGGGAAAAAATGAACCGCACATTGTATAAATGGCGGTAATTCAGGCAAATTCACGTAAATAAGCTAAAAATTACAATTTACCTTGTATAAAGCAAAAGTATAGGCTTTAAGTTTTGTTCATTAAGCCTCTTTTTATACTGTACAGTTAATTTCGTGCATACGCCTATTTAACAAGTCTTTTGAAAGCTTTTAAAATATAAAACAATTCTCACTATATTTATAAATACAACAATGAATAAAGCAATTATGTTAATTATCAAAACGTAATAATTAAAGCAAAGTGCAAGAATTCGTTTCTATGTCTGTGCATCTGCACTTTTATATACCATATATAGAGATACCGCCGGAGAAGACGTGTATGTAATGTAGTTAACTTTAAACTATATAATACTAGGTATATAACGTATATTGTAGTGTCTGAAGTATATAAATATGTAAATTATTAAATTATAAAACATATTGCATTACATGTTCGATTATTCAATACGATCGAAAGGTGCGGGAATAATGAGTACAGTAAATTCAAACTAAAAGAATTGCATTCATGAATAGATTTTTACAGTTATTGTTGTCATAACTTCTACAAATTTGATAATTTTGAATTCACCTTAGGCATGGGTTTTATAATTTCAGCATATGTGGTGGGCACATTGACTACGGTCTGGAAGGGTATGTTATCTACGTCGTGCCGTTCGTTATTTTTTTCTTTCTTGATTTTGTTCTGCACCGGACGTACCCCAAGCGGCACATATATATGTGTATACTTATAATCAAATAATAAGTAGTACAGATCAGCTAAGCCTTACAGAATATATGTAGACTGGGAGTTCAAGATAGTGATGAGGCCACGCAGTGCCAGATTACGCTTATAGTTTCGCACTGATAACGTTTGCCTATATAGTTTTTAGCATACTTGCCTTTGCTAGTATAATGGCAATATACGAGGTTAACTCAACAGATGCCACATTTGTCTGTGCAACATAATATTGTGCAGGACAAAAGGATCGAAAATTACTTGTGCAGCTTACTTTTGCATTCACAGTTAGCATGGTCTATTCTTTTAAATTAGTAAATAAAAATGTATATTTTTGTTTATTTGGTATATTTAAGTAACATTTAACATGGATTTGATACAAGGCTTTAAATACATGAGGAGGATAAAGCAACGTTTAATGATATGCACGCTGCAGCACAAAAATTGACGAAGCCAAGAGATTATGTAAAGTAAAATTACAGAGATACAAACATATATACGATTTCGTACTACGGTTATATGAAAGTTTAAATCTAACGGAAAGCTACAAAGCTCTTCGCTTGGCTAGGAGCCGCTTTGGAATTGTTACATTACAAATTCGAATCTGAGTGTCATGTGGGGACCGCTCATTCAATTTCTATACACAAATCGTTGTTATTTGTCGACGTTCTGATCGAATTTTGATCGGTCGTTGGATCATTAAATTCTGCCGAATTGTGTTCGATATTAAAGGTGTTGAAGTACGGCGACTCTGGCACTCCCGATAGAGACGATTCTGTCGCATTTGGCGTGTGAGCGTCTATGAAAAAGTCTGTAAAACAGAAGTATTATTAAAAATCGTAAAGTTATTCGATTATGTTCGGAAAATAATAAGAGCAAATCAGATGGATCCAAAAACTACCCGTGGCTATTGATATGGAAATGTGCCAAATATACCTGACAAATGATATGAACTATTGTTTAATCGTTTATGATTTGCCAATTCGTAGCTGTATGTGTGCGAGTTCGAATGCTTTAAAATGCGACATCGTGTAATTCAGGTGTGGTGGGCATTATTTGTACTGTAAGAAATGTCTTAGTGATTTTTATGAAGCTAAATGGATTTGATAACTGATGATCCGGTGAACTAACATGACCGTGTGTACTGACCGGACTCGACCCCATTCCATTCGCTGACGACTGCATTGTGTGAATGTGGCTGGCGAGGATTCGGATGATCCTCGACAGAGCCTTCATATAGCTGTAAATCTGTACCCAGTTCACCATTTTCCGTCATTTCATCATAATCAAAAATTTCGGTCACTTTGACCTGATTAGTGCTATTATCGGTGTAGTAGTAGGCATATAATGCGTCATTATGCGTGCTCATTTTCAGAACATGTTCGAAATTATCAACATCCACATTCAGTGGTGTGGCGCCACTGTAAATTAAAAGTTATATTTGATAAGAATACGTAAGCAAAAATATAAAGGACCCACTTACCACTCATCAACGAGTATCGAAACACGCGGCCCATATAAGCGACTGGAGTGCAGCAGGCCTGTGGCATCAAAATGTGGCGGATCGTAGAGCGTAAATTTACTAAAGAGTCGCATTTGAATGGCAGTATTGAACTGGGCTACCAGTTGTCGCACTTGCTTCGTCAGTTTTGGTGTCAGGCTGGTGATTTTGTATACGGTAGCCAGCAAAAAGTCCATTGGAACTGTTGCTGGCAGCGAGAGCAATTTAATGCCACGATGCCTGAAGATCCAGTTGGCTAATCCCTTATTTGCCTGCTCAATGTAGTCCTGTATTACATCGAGCACTGTCTGCGGCATATTTGAACTCAAAGCGTCCTGCCAAAATTCAAGAAAATTATTGCATGCCGAGAATTATACACAGGTCAATTAAATTAAATAGAACTCATAAAAAAGTTGGTAAACAAAAAGACATTTGTCACAATATAAATATAATAAAATACAAACAACTGATATACATATGTACATTGAAAATTATAGAGATTAAATAGGATTGGTTCAAAATAATACATAAATACATAAACAATGCTCACGCGAATGTAAATATATATTAACGAAGGGTCTTCAATTCGAGGAATTATCAAGCCATATATTTATTGTCATACATACCTTTCTATGCTTTTTACACTCATGGCACTCTGGATCGAATTCAGGTGGCTGTGCTATTGCTTCCGATACAACAAATGTCGACTGAACAGCAACGCATCGTCTGCAGTTGATTAGATTATTGCGATGTAGAAATTGCAGTGCATCATCGAAGCCCTGCTGGCAGAATTTGGAGAGGAACTCGGGTCGCGGCGGAAACAGAATGCGCACAAATCGGTTGACGTTTTGCCGCGAAATCTCAATGCTTGTGTTGGCCCAATTAAAGTGAAACAACTGCGAGCTTTGGTCGCGTGGACAGATATCACTTTCGCCACAGAAGGGACTAACCGTGATTGTGTTCTCGTCCAGAATCGGTAGATTGTTCGAAAAGGCGCCGTCCATGTACCGCACTCCACGAAAACGAGGTGGCAAAATGCCAGAGAAGCCAGGTATAAAACAGGCGCAGAGCAGCGCTTGCAAAACCTCCTCGCGCGACTCAAACTCCGATATGATCACGTTCTGGCCATCGAAGACGCTTGTCAGCGAGATGTGTAGGCGTCCATTGACACGCTTGTGTGCATCGTCGGGCAGATGCTTCTGTAGACCCTCGAGCAGGCAGGTCTGTATGTTGAACGACGGACTGAAAGGGCCTAGCGAATGGCGTCGCGCTTCGTTCACCACCCGAAAGAAGTCGGATGTCATGCTGCCCAGGGGCAGATCGCACAGCAGACAGCAAGCGGCCAGCGAGCCAGCCGATGCCCCACCTATTTTCTCTAGCAATAGATGCGGCGCATAATTCTTAAAACAGACGGCCACACCGACATGATAAATGCCGAGGAAACCGCAGCCAGCGAAGGATAAATTCATAATTCACTGATTTCTGATATTCTCAGTGCTTTTTGGAAAGTGTCGTGTGTGTCAAATTATGTACCTATCTGCTTGTGATTTCACTAGTACTTGTTGTATTTTGATCTTTGTTCGTTTTATCTGTGCCGTTTTTCGCAACGTAAATTGTTCTGATTCTTTGTTTGGGAACAGCTGATTTGGGAGCACTTTCCATTGACTTATCGAATTGCGTACATATAATTGTGAGTGTACAAACTATCGAGCACACAGTGAATATATGCCTATCGATATATTTATCTTTATAAATAGCATTTCATCGAAAGTTGATGAGATTGGCAACTTATCGAAATTATGTTTCTAAATTTATCCAAACTATGAAGCACTTTCGGTTAAATACGTTACTAATGGGCAGCAGTCTTTCGTTTGAAAAAGAAATCATCGATACACATCTTCTGCCCACTGCAGCTCGTCCAGAATAAATTCACAAATAAAAATTGTAATTTCTTGGAGTTTGAATTGCATATTTTATACATGTATCGCACAGCTCACTAGAGAATTGAGACTATCAGTTAAACTGAATTTAATCACAAAAGGTCTTTCGGAATCTAAAAAATGATTCTGAAAGACCAACAGATCTTCTTCTATGTAATTAAAAAAACATTTATTTAAAAAAAATTCGCTTATAATTATCAATTTATGTAATAACGAACGATCCAAAAATCTACTGCAAACAAGAGATATTAGGATTAATAAATTCCACCAATGTTTATTGAAAAAAATTTAATTTTAAATGTAAATATATTTAATTGTAAAATATAAAAATGTTCAAATATAAAAATATATTGCGCTATTTAAAAATATTAACACTTTCAAATAATCACGCAGGTGTTCTGTATTTAAAATTTATACTGCATAGAAGAAGACAAGTGGTACACCAACTTTGAATGGAATGGCTTGCAACGTGTACACCAAAAATGAATACTATTTTGAAGACTTGCTACCAAGTGGTACAACATCTTTGAATGGAATGGCTTGCTCCTCGGCAAATGCAAGAAAATCAACACCATAGCGTTGAATGAGCCTTGTGAGCATTATTACATCCGCTTCAGCTTGATGACAATTTTCTGCCGGCTGCTCGAATGTGCGTTCATATAGATGGGATAATCTATACCGTCCGCGTGGTGGATAACGTTTAGTTTGCGCACATTTCAGGCCAGTGAATAGTTGTCGGCGTACTCGCAAGTCTCCTGAACTACGCTTGGCATCCGAACAAATTGTGTCTGCATCTTTATCGTCATCTTCATCGTTTAAAATCTTGCGCTTGAGACTAGCATTTTCTTGCGACAGAATTGGTCGCTTCGGTGTTGTTTCGTTAACTGCCTGCCAGTTTGTGTTTGATTCTGATGTCTGCTTCGGTTCAATATTAAAATTAGGCGGTAAATCCTCATTTTTCACTGATAGTTTATCATCGATTTCCATAAAGGCGCGCAACGAGTCCACACACAGAATGGATGGGGGTGAATTCAACTTTAACTTCTCAAATACGTTCCTAACAATGGGAAAATCAAACTCCCAGCCATTATGTGCCACCAGACAAACTGGTGGGGGCAAATGCTCCAAGAATTTCAATACAATATGGGCCGCGTTCTCGTCCAGCTTTGATTCGCGTTCCAGTATGTAGTTATTTAAACCTGTCAAAAACAAAATAATCATATTGAGTAATTTGCAAGTTTGCGTAAATGAGTGAACTTAGTTTTCTTTAACCTGTGACTCTCTCTGCGTCCGGATGCACCATCATTGACGGCTGGAATAGTAAATTAAGCTTGTGCATTACTCTCGGCGGCTCTGGTACCCTATTCGTGAGGATCGGTGATGAAATCCTGCCCAGTGTTTGCAGCTCCTCCTGCGTTTCTGCGCTGCCTTTTAAAACTGCAGGATCGAATGCGTAGATGCAAAGTTCGGTGATGCTAACCCGATTACGGTTATGCACTGGCAAATTCGACGTTTCCAGGTCAAGCACTGCGAATGTGGAGATTTGTGCTGGCAGCCCTGGGCTTGCAATCTCAACAGGTGCATTTGGGTTCATTGAAGCTGTTTACGAACAAATGGAAGATGCAGCACCATTCACAAGCATACGCATAGACAAATGCAATTTCAACAATTGTTGCAATGTTATTATATAGCAGACTACTTTTTTTTTAACTTAGAAAAAAGTTAATGTAGAAGTAGTCATCTAAGAAAATTTCCTCGCTGACTCATATTGATTTTAAATTAAATTGAATCCGGAAAAGATTGGACTGGAGATTAGAATAATGTTAGCCAGAGCAGTTGATGCCATTCACATGTGAAATGTTTGAATACCAATTTATCGACCAGCCACCACAATATATCGATAAGTTAACAATCCATTGAAACTAAGCCGCTTTTTCGAACATTTGGTCCGTTTTCTAGTTTAATATCCATAAATTTGCCTGTTCAGGAGTCTAAATAAAAGGCGATTTCTGTTTATTTTTTGTGCACATTTTAATTAGCATAAAATGACAAAATGTGCAAACATAAAAGCTCTTACTTTTAATAACATTTACACGTATATATGTAAGTATGTAGTTAAAACAATTTATGCTGATTAAATACTTGAAGGATTTTGAATCCTTTCGTGTCAATAATTTGTAAATAATTACACATAATGTAAATGTAAATAATTATATATAAATATATATTCGAGCAAGTGAAGAATACTTTGATCATGGTACGCATATGGCACAAGTAATTGTTATTCGGCTTAAAAACCGACGCTATTCATCGATTTGGGTTCCTCAGATCGTGCATCGCCATCCACTTTGGGATCACGTTTGTTCGCCGAAAACTCCAAGTAGTTCATGCGCGTGGCCGCTTCGTACTCTTGCACGAGACCATCCACGATCTCTCGCGACTCGTCCAATTCGTTCAGATCATCCTTGAAGATATCCTCGCGACGAAATTGATCCAGGAATGCGCCACGCTTTCGCAGCTTATCATATTGGCTCAAGGTGCGCTCGAACAGCGAGCAGATGCTTGTATGATTGGCCAGCATCAAGCCCGAGACACGATGGCTGCTTTGCACGTATGGCGAAGAGCGGGATAGCGCCACCTGTATGGACGTCGGACCCCACGGTATAAACTGTGCCAATTTGCGCTCACGTATGCGCTGCAGCGATTTGTGCACCTGTGTCGGATCCACCTCGCCCTGTATGATGTTCAATATGGAGATGTAGCAATGATGATTGCTTTTGTCCGGGCCGGTGGACACCATCATGTTCTTTGGTTGCAGCAAACGGCGCATCACGTCCAGCACGGTGGTCTTGCGCACGTTAACGGCCTGATGCGAAGACAAGGGATTATGCTATAATAATTGTTTTATGAACATTATTGAATGAAATGAAATGAAAAATTAAAAAATTATAATGATATAGATAAAGAACCAAAATTGATATAGTGTTGAAGTGTTAAATTCTGAAATAGAATTGATTTTTATGTGCAATTGAAAATGATAAGGATAAAACAAATGCAGTAAAGTAATAAATTATTATTCGTTACCTTAAATAATATGTTAACTATTTATAGATATCGATTATATCATTTGCACTTAACTCACATTGTTACTGAGATTCGAGTCGCTGGTCAGAGGTGTGTAGCCAGTCATCAGGAAGTGGAGCTGAGGTGTTGGTATTAATGGTGCCGTGAGGCCAATGAGATTATTGTTCATGTACGACGGATAACGCAGCGTCGTTGTGCTCACACTCATGATAGTCGAGACTAGAGTATTGATCTGTGTAAAGGTTGGATTTTGTATGTGCAAACGATCGCAGGCAATGCGATTAAGAGCCGTATTGTCCAGTACGACGACGCTGTCCGCAGCGGTGGTCAGGCGACGGAGGGTCAACATTGAGTTGTATGGTTGCACGACAACATCGCTAATCTCGTCCTGATTTGGAAACACGCTGTATGTTTGAATGAGTTTCTTGGGATAGCGATCTGCCAGGCGTTCCATTAGGAATGAGCCCATACCCGAGCCCGTGCCGCCAGCAATAGAATGACAGAGAACAAAACCTTCAAGCGAATCGCTTCCGTCCGCCTCGCGGTCGATTATGTCAAAAATCTCCTCCTGCAATTTGTCGCCCTGACCGTAACCGGATGCCCAGTTGTTGCCAGCACCGCCGCCATGCTTGGACAGATATACGTTCTCAGGATTGTAAAGCTGAATAAAATTTGAATCGAATTGCAATTTAAGAACGCCTGACAAGATGGCTACTCACCTTGGAGTAAGCAGATGTCATAATGGTGTTTATAACACGTGGCTCCAAATCTAGCAGCACTGCCCGTGGTATATAGTGATCATCATCCGCCTGATAGAAGAACACATCCTTTCGATCCATGCCATCAGTTGCAAAGTCTTCCAGCACGCCGCTCGGTGAGATGCCATGTTCCAGGCACAGCCGCTTCCAAAACTCAAAGCCAACTGAAGATAGAGGTCTTAAATTAAGAGTATCCTGTCACTCAGAACCACAAATTCTACATACTTTGATTGCCGCATTGGCCCAGCTGTAGTGTAATTATTTCACTTGGCATTTTTACGAGATGCGGTTTTGTTGGTAACTGATGTGATTCCTCTTTACGTTTTCTGCTTAGTTGTGCGTCTTGTCGTTAAATGCGGCTAAGCGCAGTTCAATTTATATGCTAATTAAACTAAGAATACTAAAAATTGGTAACAAAACGAATTGTTTATATGATAAAACTTAAATAAAAGATACAGCGGGTATTGTCTAAAAGACAATCGAAGACACAATCGATGTCATCTGTGGTTGGCTTCTCGTTTCTTATCGATTAGATTTCTATCGATATCGATATCGCGCATATAAATGAATACTTATTTAAGGCCTGGTATGCAGTTCCCAACTCTTGCTGTTAAATTTGACAAGCTTTTTTGAATATAGAGAAATATGTTTGAAGTTAGGAATATTCATTGTTATAAGTGGAGGGTGTTATCGAGTTCATTCAAGTACAGCAAGGTACAAAATGATTATAAGAATAGTACTATAAATATACAAGAATTTTAGATTAAGCACAAGTGGATTAAGCTGCAGGACGGATACCCAATAGTTAAATAAATTAAAATTTGAAAATTCTGCAACAATCGAAAATATCGAATGAAAGCATTTACGATTGTTTTTTTTGCCAACTTCACGCGGGTCAGTAAAGGTGCCGGCTTGTGATAGCATTGCTATTGCCCGCGCAGAGCTAATAGTCGGTTGTCGTTTCTTCTTTATTTTTTTGTTGGCATTGGCATTTGAAACATTTTAAAAAGCAAGACAAAAGCAAGAGCATTTTGAAAAAGAGTTTCTGTTTTTTTGTGACTTATTAAAAGAGAAAATTTTGAGAATTATGCCACGCGCAAAAGTTGCAAAAAAAGCAACGGCCTCAGAGTTGCTTGCAACAAATGGCAATGATGCGTCGTCCTCAACTGGGACTGCGGGCATCGATCTGGTCGCTGATGCCATCAAACAGCCACCTAAAAGCAAAGCGCGCGGCAAGAAAATGGCAGCTGCAACGGCTGCTGGCGAAGCGAACGATGCAGAGGCGAACGAGACTGAAGTTGTTAAGAAGACTGCGTCGCGGGGCAAAAAGAAAGAGACTGAAAAAGAGGAAGTCGTGGTAGAGGTTGCAGAGCTACCTAAGCCGAGGGGCCGCACCCGAAGGCCGACTACTAAGGTGAGTGAGGCCGAACCACCTAAAACTAAAATCACAAAGTCGCGCGCCAAAAAAGATAAAACTCCTGCGCCCGAGGAGACTGAACTAAGTAAGGGACGCGCCAAGAAAGACAAAGCATTCCTTAAGGAGGAGGACGGTGTCGCACTAATCAAGGAGACGGCGTCCAAGGCGCGCGGACGCAAAATTAAGGAAGCAGAGCAGAATGATGCGACTGAATCGGCTGAGCCCTCAGCGGCAGGACGTGCCAAAAAGGATGTGTCTGTGACAGCCACCAAAAGCAAGGCACAAATAGCCGAGACAGATGCTCCACCACAAACATCAACAACAGCTACAGCAGCAGCCACAACTAAGCGTGCACGCGCCGCTATGCATTTAGCAACCATAAAAATGACTGCGGTTCTAGAGGTCAAGGAGGATCAAAAACCTGAAGACGAGCTAGCGAGCAACAAGCGTGCGAGGTCAGCGAAGACCAGCAATGAGAACGCTGAGGTGCCCGTCAAGAAACGGGGAAGGAAAGTGGCAAGTGTTGAGGCACCACCGATAGAGATGCGTGAGGTCCCAGCACCTAGCACCAGCAGGAAACGTGCACAGAAGCGTGTCAATGAGGAACAGGATGAGGAACTAAACGTGCCAAAGCCAACGCCAGAGAGCAAACCAGGTTAGTGGCACAGAGAGAAACTATTAATACTTGAATGGAGTTCAACTCATCAATATATCTCTTGCAGCACGCGGTCGCAAGCGTCAAGCGGCAGTCATCGAAGAGGATGCTGATGCCATTGCAGCCGACGCAGCTGATGGCTCGAAAAGTACGTTGGTTGAGCCCGGCTGTGGCGGTGTGGTATTGAAAAGTTTGCAAAATGTGCTTAACTTTTGTTTTCCAGTGTCCAAGACCAAAAAGCCAACAACACAAAAGGTGGATGCTGCTGGCAGCTATGATAAAAGTCTATTCACGTCGCCAACAGATAAGACATTCAATTTGAAAATCTCCAGCTGGAATGTGGCTGGCCTGCGCGCCTGGTTAAAGAAGGATGGCCTTAAGTTTGTGGAAGTTGAGGAACCGGACATATTTTGTTTGCAGGTAAATATCTTACGAGCTGCTATGATCTCATGTAAGTCATAATTCAACATAAGTTCAAAGGGAAACAGAATATCTTATGTTTGTATATAATTCTATAACTTTAGAAAGTGATTTGTATGCATTTATGTACTTAATATGATTTATCACTTTGCAGGAAACTAAGTGCATCAACGATCAGCTACCCGATGAGATTACACGCTTGGCCGGATACCATCCGTACTGGCTCTGCATGCCCGGCGGCTATGCTGGCGTCGCAATTTACAGCAAAGTAATGCCCATAAATGTGGAGTATGGCATTGGCAACCAGGAGTTTGATGATGTGGGCCGCATGATCACCGCCGAGTATGAGAAATACTTTTTGATCAATGTGTATGTGCCGAATTCGGGTCGCAAGCTGGTTAACTTGGAGATGCGCATGCGCTGGGAGAAGCTATTCCAAGCGTATGTACAAAAGTTAGATGCACGCAAGCCGGTCGTCATCTGTGGCGACATGAACGTCTCACATTTGGAAATTGATTTGGCCAACCCAAAGGCGAACACACGCAACGCTGGCTTCACCAAGGAGGAGCGCGATAAGATGACTGAACTGTTGTCCCTTGGCTATGTAGATACCTTCCGGCAATTGTATCCCGATCGCACTGGTGCCTACACCTTCTGGACATATATGTCCAATTCTCGTGCCCGAAACGTTGGCTGGCGTTTGGATTACTGCATTGTCTCGGAGCGCTTTGTTCCACGCATTGTGGACAATGTGATGCGCAGCCATTGTCTGGGCAGTGATCATTGCCCCATAACTGTATTTTTAAATGTCTAAGAACCAATACACAAAAATGTACTTCATTCCATGTTTTCACAATGTGTGTATTTTTCTTTTCTGTACTAATGTTTTAAAATCAGGGCCCGTTGTTTGCGTTTGTTTTAAATATTTTTTGTTATAATTTAAACATATTAATTAATTAATGCTTCAACATTCTATTGCATTTTGTATTTCAATAAAGTAAAAAGAGTACTCACAACACTGGACACGCTCTTTAATTTTGTTTATTTCGTCAATTTTCTGGCAATTTAGGCACGACTATGTGTCATTATAATGGATGACATTTAACTGTTAACTGTACTTTGTTTTTTAATGTGTACTTTAAATAGTTGTCTAACTGTTAAAATAGTTTTGCAGTTTATGTATATCATTAGATGGTCAACTAAAGAATGTTATATACAAAAGAAGGATATTAAAAATAGATAACAAATACGTGTGTATTTTTAATTGCCAAACAATATATCATCTATGTAGATACCATCTGGTTTATAATCATATTAATATACTAATGCATTTATAGGAGCGCTGTTGCGGTACAGTAACTGTTTAATTTCCGCATTTTTCAATTGCCTGAATATTTGTTTTGTTGAAAATGTAGTAGGCTTTGCTTTTTGCTTTAGAAATTGAAGGAATTTTGTAATAGTTTTACACAGTTGGTCGAGTTTATTTCTTGTGTTCGAATTAGTCAGTTTATTTGGAAAAATTTAACGCACGTATAAATTTAAAATTTTCCAAATACTTGCTAAAAAGTATTCATCTGAGAGAGGCGTTATTGCAAATTCATAACTTAGCCAAGCCGACGATATCTGCACTTGGTGACCGGCATGTGTCCTAATCAGCAACAGGAACTCTTGCCTGACTGCCAAATTTCCAATCGAATGTTGATGTATTCGATGCTGCAATCGCTGCAGGAAGAGAATCAGGACGCCGAGAAGGTGGACACCCAGTTACGTGATCGTTTCGAGGTGTTTCGCCAGGTGACGGTCAACTTCCCAATGCCGCTGCACGCCGGACTCATCTACGAGTACGTCGACGATCTATCCGGTGCGGAAAGCAGCATCTCGCTGGAGAACAATACGAGTGGATCGAGTGACAACATGTCCAATGAAAGCAGTAGCTCCAACTTGTTCGCTCACTGTGATTACAACAAGGATGCTGTGCGCAGTGCTCTGGAAGAGGAACAGGAAGAGAAACAATTACTTGACCGCGATGAAGCAACCTGAACAAATCGTCTAGTCAAGAAATGCGTAAATAATGTGCAGCACTTGTTATTTTTGCTGTAAAAGCGCGATAAATGATGTTAATCACAACGAAAGTAAAATTTACCATTAACTAAAAAAAAAAAAGAAAACGAATTAGCTTAGTACAAGCACACACACATTTACACACATGTCCATATATATATGTATATGTGCAATAAAACATTAAAACATTTTAATGTGCATTTTGTCGCGCTTGTTTTCATGTTTAAAAAAGTGGAACCGTCGCTCTACTCACTCGGCCGCTTATCAAATCAAAATGATCTCATTCCAAATAGTTTATTATAATATATATGCATACATATGTACGCACATGTATAAAACAAGTAAAACTAACTTAAATAACTTCGTACTCGCGGCCAGAAGAAAGCTTCGGCTAACTGGAATTGGGATGTGCGCTGCGTGTAGAATGTGTTAACATTTTTATTTTTCAACTAAAGCACGTTTCATACATTATAATTAAATACACGATAAGCATATATATTTAATCATATGCTTATGGTTTCTTATTTATATATCTTTTAAAAATTACTTATTATTAATAGTTATTTGAATTTCTTGATTTTGATGCCAACTTCGAGCGAAAACCAGAAGCTTACTTGAAACAAGATAACTTTCAGTCTCTATCCACATAAAACTTTCAATTTATATGTTGTTTAAAGCACTTTCTAGATTATTATATTAAATTGATATCAATTATTTGCTGGGAATCAATTGTACCACTGTGTAGCTATGCGCATCCCAATAATTTATATTATTTTCATTAGTATTAACAATTACGGAAAAAAGTGCAACTAACTGTCGCATCATTTACTCATTATGCCCCGCCCTGCCAGACTAGCCATATTACAAATAAACTGATTTTCCTACATTTGTGTGGAAATATGTAGATGTGAATGCTCTCGACCACAATTCTGTAACGTGTGGTAGGCATAATAACACAATATAAAAAAAATGCAACCAGACTCATGCATTAAAACTAACTATCTAATGACTATGTATGGATATATATATGTGCATGTGATCCACATATCATTCATGAAACAGCGACTCATCTGCTATCAGAGTAATGAAAACTATCTACAAACAAACGAAACAAAACAAAACGACAACGTGGAACGTGGAAATGGTTGCGAATTGAGACCAAACTGTCATAAAAATCAGTTAATAACCAGCGAAGAGTAAACGAGTAGCAGTTCCCGCACCTGACCATTCAAATTTCGTTTTCATTTGGCACGATCTTTAATAGCAGGTCCAACGTCGAGCCGTTTAGTCGAAAAAGTTTTGTGAACGCGCACGGTTCGAAAGTAATACAAAAGCGGCAGTTATGTAAACAGTTCCAACAACAGAAATATATTCAAAACATTTTTGTCAAATCGTCCAATTGCTGTTGGCTCAGCTCAAATAATAATGCGTTCGTTATCTGCAACTATTTTCGTTATTTGCAATATATTTGCAAGCATTCGAAGTGAAGCTGGTGAATTTGGTAGGTCATTCTGCGGAGAGCTTTAAAGAATTAGAGCAAAAATGATAGTAAAATTTTCAACTTGAAAACGCACTTTGAATTGATATATATGTAATAAATAAAATGATCGACTAACTAACCATTATTTGTCACAAGTTCTGTCAGAACAATATTTCATGCTTAGATAAAATCTATCTCGAACTCGTTAAATTCAGTGAAAATACAAAATATATTCTTGCTATCAAATCGATGGAGTCAAAAAGCTTGAAAGTTTTCTTAAATTATCAAACAAAATTTAAACAATTTTCTTATTACCACATTTTCCCATTCGGACAGACAGTAGGAAATTGTACAAAAACCTTTTACCTTCCTATAAATATAACAAAAATACTTAGAGCTAAATGTAAAATCCCAGAAATATATAAACTAATATGAAATATTAAAATGTTGGCAGATTAAGTTATAAAAATAATGAAACCAATCACCAAACCCTACCCACTTTACCTCCAGAAAAATTAGTTATTCCACCAACTTATGGGGGCGTGTCCAAGGGGAATACAAGCGCCGCCCATTCGGTGGCTGCTCGCTCCTATATCGGGGGCCATGCCGCGAATACGGAGTGCTCCTTTGGCACAGAATGCACACCGCTGCACGACTGCACCACTATGATTTACGAGGTGGCCAAGAATTGTTATTACGGTGACAAGTCGCTCTACTGCGGCAGCGGCGAAGAGATGCCCTACGTGTGCTGTCCCAGCAGTCCGCTCGAGAAGAATCAGGTGTGCGGCAAATCCCTGGTGCAGGGTCATTTCTACAAGGGACTCGGCTCGTATCCATTTGTTGCCCGTGTGGGCTTCAAGCGTAAGTAGCTGATTATCTGAACTTAAATTTAATACCCAGAAAGTACAGTTTGCAGACCACAAGCACAGATCAACGGTTGTAGTCAAAATAATAAAATAATAATAAAGACAATAAAATGTCAAAAAATGGGGATTTATATTGTGCTAATACGACTGAGTCAAAAATGCTTGACACATCATTCAAATAACATAATTATAAAAGATTAAAGTTAATAAAGAGTATACTACTATTATTTTGAGCGAGAGTTCAAGTTCAATTATAAAATTGCGAAACCGATATATATAAATATTAAAATATATATATACGTTATTATTATATATGTATCTATCATATTCAAATATGTATAACAGATGTACAAAATGTTTTTTTTATTTATTATAAGTTATCAACATATAAGTAATTATAATAGATGTTGATCATTTTTTATGTCTACATTTTTTTACACCTTATAAGACTGTAAATTTGTCAGTTTGATTAAGCAAAAAGTTTGATTAAGCAAAAGAATTCTAAATTCCGCTCCATCCGTATCTATACCAAAATGTTATCAAGATATATAATATCTTTTACAAGTGCTGATCAAGAATAATTATACATATATTCTTTTTTTGGGTGTCGGCAAAGACTTCTTCAGATATACATATTTTACTGGTGCGAATCAAGAATATATATATAATTTCATGTGTGTCGGCAAATCTTCTTCAATGCGGTACACACTCCACGACATAATTATACAACCCTCTACAAGATTATATTATATTATATACCTATCCCTTACATCTTAAGCAATATCTCAACCATTTCTTTAGCATAATCATATTTTTAATATTTATTTTATGATAAAAATGTAACAGAAGGCGGCAGTAGCCAATCGAAAATAGCCCTTAATTTACATATATTATTTTATTGTATAAAATATATATTGTATATCTGTAAGTAATAATTGTAATAATTTTGTACCTTTCAATTTCAGATATCAATACGGGCGCCTTTGCTTATCCGTGTGCTGGCTCGATCATTGCCCGACGGGTTGTCCTAACCGCTGCTCATTGTGCCTTGGCCAAGGCCGATGGCCATCGACTGTAAGTGTGCCAAAGGTTATTGTGTGCAACTGCAACTGTAACTGCAACTGCATCACTTTCCCTTGCAGGTCGTCGGTGCGCGTTGGCGAGTATGACACCTCCAGTGATCCGGACTGTGCCAGCACTGGCTTCTGTGCACCGCGCTCTGTCAATCATGCCATCAGTCATGTGATTGTGCATCCAGACTATAAGCAAGGCCAATATCATCATGACATTGCGCTGCTAGTGCTCAAAACCCCCCTCAACTACTCGGGTAAGCATCGATGCCGGGTGGGACTGTGGGACTAGGAGACTAGGGGGAGGGTGACACAGGGACTGTACGCTGGTTACGCTTCGCAGTGTCAACGTTAATTAAAAATCGTTTTGCTCTATGATATTTTTCGAGTCGCACTCGCTGCCCAAGTTCAATAATGTCAACTGCGTCTCTCATATTGCATGTCGCTAATTTGAGGTTAAGCCAAGGCAAGCGGGTGTGTGGAAGGGCTGGTGGGGTTAACTTAATTGGCCAACAACTAGCTTTTTGGTGTACATTTGTGCTTAGTGTAGCAAGTAATTAGCTAAAGCATTGGTCGCTGAAAATCCGTTTTCGATTTTAGCCACAGTTCAATGGGCATGGACTTTGTATTGTTTGAGGAATGAGTTGAATAGAATGAGCTGAATATTTCATTTTGGCATTAATTTGCGAGCATTTCAATTAAGTTATCGATTTTGTTATTTCTACATATTGATGCTGTACAAGAATATAAATACTTATGCCTTATACAATTGTGTATAGACATATCAATAAACAATTAAACAATAATCTGTCAATATTTATGCTAGTCTGTTAGTGCTTAATAGCTTTAAGTATGGATTCGGTATCGTTAAGCACAATCTATAGTATTACAACGTTTATCATTATTTTATAGAACATTATCGTATTCAAATTGATTGTCCTGCTCTCACACTGTTCCTGCAAATCCAATAATTGTAGTTTATTGTACAAAACTTTGCCTGTGCAGCAGCGAGTAAAAGATTTTAATTGAATTTTGATGCGCCAATATCCATGCGATCTGTACAAATAAGGGCTATTACCGCCACCTGGCCCGTTGGCAGGCAGCAAGTCTTAAAAAAACACATTAGCCTCACAACAATGGACGCGTTACCTAAATTGCTGACCAGCTTGTGTTTGCTGGTGATTTTATGGCTATATACCTGAATTGCTGACCAGCTTGTTTGCTGGTGTTTTTATGGCTTTATAATGTTTAATGGGCGTGCGTGTTCGAAAAACGAACCAAGTAAAAATGTTTTAGTTGCTCGACTAAAAAATACCCTCAAACTAGATCCATACCCATCATAATAAATTAATAGACTTGATCTGTGCGTGGTATACAAGAGCTTATCATCCACATTTGAAGATTCATTTAATGCTGATTAAGGACATAAATATATACTTTATGATGTCGATAATACTGCCTTCTGCCTGTTATACACACTTACACAACTTGATTATATCCAATCTACCCGTTTTTAATAAGTGACTGAAACAATGTTGTAAATTATCGAAGCTGAATTTGAGAGGCTCATCCTCCTGATGAATGGAGCGATACGCGTATTACTCAGTAAACTACATTTTGAACGAACTTAAAAGTTAATCACCTTTTCAATCTTGTTGATCTTCTTCAGTGGCCACACAGCCGATCTGTTTGCAAAAGACTCGTGCCAATTTGGTGGTGGGCAAACGGGCAACGATTGCCGGCTGGGGCAAGATGTCCACATCGAGCATACGCCAGCCGGAGATGTCGCATCTGGATGTGCCTCTGACTAGCTGGGATCTGTGCCTGCGCAACTATGGCTCAACGGGTGCCCTCGAATCGCCCAATTCAATTGAGGGCCAATGGATGTGTGCCGGCGGCGAGGGCAAGGATGTGTGTCAGGGCTTTGGTGGTGCGCCTCTATTCATCCAGGAGAGTGGCATCTTCTCACAGGTATGATTGATACTGATTGATACTGTCATTGATTAACTATTCAATTGTTTCTAACAACTCAATTGTTGCAGATCGGCATTATGTCCTTTGGCTCGGACAATTGTGGTGGCCTTCGCATTCCCAGCGTATACACCAGCTTGGTTTACTTCCAGGAGTGGATACACGATAATACGCCACCGGAATAGTCACGTAGCCACAAGCAATACCCTAAGTTAAGCATCGAATTCAAAACATGTATATATTGAATATACAATGCAAATTTCGTATATATTTTGTTTTGCAAACAAAAGCGTAACTATATTTTCCGATCTTTAAACAAAAGTGTGTTGATTTTAATATATAATGCCCGTATATATTGTACGTAAGTTGATATGCGACCGACCATCCCCAATACAACCACGCACACAAATAATTTAATTGAATTAATTGAACTTTGACTTATGAGCAACGGAGAAGGCCACAAATTATATAAAATGATCTTTCATACAAATAATGCTTTGCGTAGAAATTCAAGTGCACTTTCAACAAAATTTTCTTTTAATTATTTAGTAGTTTCGTAATTGATGTGACTTTATTCTATCCATCTATACTCAATATAACTGGCACCATTTAACAAATGAGTATTCCCATTTTTTTCCAAGAAATACATTTTTATTTTGGTATAGAATATCTGAAATATTTTGGATGAACATGTAGTTAAAAAAAGCATAATTGTTGCTAGAATATTTAACTTACTCTTTGCTCTGTGTATACTGAAGTCATTTTAAAAGAGAACCTCACAAAAAAATCATACGAAATGTAATTTAAAAAGTTCTGCTCAGCTAAAAATGAAGTTTTCTTTTACCCTTTTTTTTGGCATCACTCATTTCACCCATTAACATTAATAGCTTCTTGGTCTCAGCTGCTGGCCTGCATGGGAATTCTCAGTATTGATTTCCAGTTGGGCCTGGATTTTTTGTCTGCGTGTCCTGGTGAGGCTGGTAACATATGCCTAATTGGAGTCAGCTGTTTTAATGACCAGGCAGATCAGCTGCTTGTTTGTCAGGACAGGAGAGCGACTTCAATAATAGCCCTGCTGACTGCTGGCCAACAGCATACACTGTGAGAAATTCTAACCTTGATGGATGTCTACTCTCATTCTATATACGTTTTGCACAAAATTTACTTGTACGCTCATCTGCTGAGCAAGTTCTCATGAACAACATCGACGACAAATCAAACGCTTGAAATTAATTTACGGCCCGCCTTCGAATGCCGTAAGACAGGCAGATGACGCAAAGGTCCGCAACATTCCGCAACCGCAACCGCGACACGCAGTGCAGCGGAGCGGGGGCAACACTAAATGAAAAATCAATTTGATGGCTCGCACAGATCGTTACGATCCCGCCTCAGCGACGACAGCTCAGACCAGACTCTTTGGCTGTGAGTGGCCGGCAATCAGAAGTCGACAGTCGACAGTCGGCAATTGGTCGTCGAGGCGTCAAGATCGTCGGGTGCTCATTTCTCTGCAATTTGTCAAGCCAATCATTTACAAATATCAATTTTGTATTTATTATTTGATTCCATTCCACGGACATCAATTAAAAACTAATGTTCGAAATTCATTTTGCGTCAGTACGTTTACATTATGCTTTACGTGTCTATTTTATTTAAATATTAATATTAATAAGTAGTTCGTCTTCCGAAGTAATCCTCTCCAGATTTGGTATAAATATTTTTAGTGTCGATCGCTAAGCTCCTCCTGTGCTGACCAACTGAAATGATACAAATATTTAAAATAAAATTAATCTTTAAACTCAAAAGATTGTGTCAATAATTGTGTTTTAAAATGTTCAATTAAATGTTAACTTATTCAACTAAAATGTAAAAGTGATTGTGAGCTAAAAATTGTATTTTCATTTAAAAAGCTGTTTAATCTTAGTGAATAATTTGGTTTTTTTTTTACAAAATATTTATTTTTATTTAGGAATGATAGGTAAAATCAGTGCGTATTAAATAAATTAATAAGGAAATAGTTTATTAAATAATAGTCAATATCAAAGAGTTTTGCTCAAGTTAACTCAAACATAGGCTCAGAAATAAGTGGCAACCCTACGAACTAAATGATATTACCGAATAGAAAATGCACGACAAAAATCAAATAAGATCAATTCAAGACTAAGCCCTGAGTTCTTCCCGCATTTTTCAACACGACACATCGTTTTCTCTTGGGACTAGTTCAACAATTGTTTTTAACGGCGTTTGTGTGTGTGTGCGTGTGTATGTGTTTGTGTGGACACATTTTTAGACAACTAAGCGTAAAAGCAGCAGCAAAAAAAATAAATAAATAACAGAAACCCTTCGAACGATTTTCGTTGAAGATAGTGCGCAAAAAACAAAAATAAAAAGAAAATATCAACGTAAGAAACTCATAAATTGCGGGTAATCGTGAATTTGGGGGGATCGATCGCAAAGCAAATGCGCTAATTAGGCGCAAACGTCGCTAAAGAGCAAAAGAAACGGCAAATGCAATAACTGTGCGAACTACAGCAAATAAACAAATCTGATAAAAGTGCAAAAAGCTGCGCAATGTTGAAAACACATCGATGTAAACAACAGCAACAGCAACAACAAAAACAACACCAGTCCCAGCAAAAATTATAAGCACGCACAAATCTCAGACAATTCAGCAACATGTTGCCGAACAATGTTGGGCACATGTTGCTGGCGCTTGCTACCATCGGTGGGTTGCCGATAGCAACGCTGCCCAATCCGCTGGCCGAGCACAAGGAGTGCACCAGCATTGACATACGCAACGAGTGCAGCAAAATGAGTCTGCTGGACAACTGTACAGTGATCACTGGCTATGTGATGATCACCCTAATTTCCCAAATGATGTGCAACTATTCCGCGTACTCGTTTCCCAAACTGCGCGAAATCACCGACTTTATGATATTCACAGACGTGCGCGAGCTCTCCACCATCCGTAATATGTTCCCCAATCTCACTGTGATACGCGGCCGTCGACTGTTCCTTAACTATGCGCTGGGCATCAGCAATATGCCGGATCTTGAGCTGGTAAGTGCATATAGAATACAAAAATGTTTCTAATCTCGTCAGGGAATATTAATCGAAAACTTTGAATGCATATTGGTTTCTAAGTTCGATATACCCTTCTCTATTTTATTATTAATATTGTTAATAAAAACCTTTTTTTTGTTGATTTACGAGAACAACGAATTTCACCTACAACAATTTTTTTGACCTTTTAATGTTGAATGAATCTAAACTGTGACTGAAAATGAATCATAAAAAATATTCTCTCTATGGCTAATTTTTGTATTCATTTTTTTGTATTTAAATTTTAGGTAGAGTTCCCCTCACTAGTTGCCATCCAGCGTGGTCACGTCTACATCGGCACCTCCCACAAACTGTGCCAGCTGAATGGAGTAGGTAATATGGGGCAACCATCGATATGCCCACTCACACTGTCAATTATTTTGCAGATCAATTGGGATCGACTCACATTGAGTCCGGGCGAGAATCACATAATGATTGCATCCAACAAGTGCTCAAGCCGAGCCAGCTGCAAGGGTTGTCCATCGAGCTATTGCTGGTCCAATTTCATATGCCAACGCTTCGAGAATGATAATGTCGTCCATATTGATCGGTATGCGCAAGAATGTATTTCATTTGACTGTCTTTAACAGGCTGCTTCATTTTTAGACCATATCCTAAAGTGAACAACTGTTTCTCATATTCTATTCGTATCCATTCTTGATAAATGTTTGTCTAATTGAAATAAATTTGTTTTAGGAACGTACAAAGCTGCCACGAGGAGTGCCTGGGTGGTTGCCACAATGCAACTGCTGCTGGCTGTGTGGTTTGTCGTGGCCTAACCGATGCCGGTGTTTGCGTGAAACGCTGTCCGACGTACAAGTGAGTGAGCTGAGCCACGCCCGTCCTGGTGGCGTGTTGTTATTGATTGCCACTTAGTCGTAGTCCGTTCGCAGGTTTGTGCTGGAGCAGTATCAGCGCTGTTACACGCGCGAGGAGTGCGTCTCGCATCATGGCCACTTCACGTATGGGTTTGAGTGTGTCGCGTTCTGTCCCAGCGGCTACAAGGCCAATGCGGAGTCGAGTTGCGTGCGCTGCGGTGCAGAGGAGCCGTGTATTAGCGTCTGTTCGCCCGATCAGTCAGATGGCATGATTGCCATTTACAATTTGGCCGATGCGGAGGACTTGCGCGGCTGCCAGATTGTCAACGGTAGCCTCATCATCACCATACGCAACGAGGTTAACGAGCTGCAGCTGGAGGACAGTCTGAGCAGCATACGTGAGATTCGCGGACATCTCAAGATATATCGGTGATTGCAAACAAATGTTCAACTCCATCAATCAGTCAATCATTTAAACAATATATTTTTGTTGCGGCCTTTAGCTCGTCGCAGCTGAGCAGCTTAAAGTTTCTAAGCAACTTGCGTATCATCCACGGCGATCCACTGGAGAATCGTCATTACGCCTTCATACTCTACGACAACAAGCAACTGTCGGATTTGTGGGAGCCCAGAGTGAATCTGGAGTTCGTCAACGGTGGCATGTTTATGCATCGCAACAACAAGCTGTGCAACAAGCATATAAAACTATTTCAAGCCCAGGTCCAACACGACAAGGTGATGGACTCGCTGCAGACCAGCGATCAGGAAGTGCTTTGCAGTCCATCCAAGCTGCAGCTGTCCGTTCAGGTGAGTCCGCACAATGTAGATATGATTACTCTCTCATCTCCATCTCTTTGCAGGCACGCTCGCACCACACGCTACAGCTTAGTTGGCCCAAGTCGCAGATGAGTGTCGAACTGGAGTTGATATATAGAAGCATGCCGCCGGGCAAGGAGTATGCGGAACACAGTGAACTGGAGGCGCCTGTGTGCACGCGTATCAATTGGCAGCGACTGCTGCTCTTCGTCGACGATCTGCAGGCGAATGCCACACACTACAGCTACCAGCTGGAGCAACTGAAAGTGAACACACGCTACGCCTGCCTGTTGCGCACCTTTGGCGGCGATGGCCAGCACGATGCGCGCAGCGATATGATCTATGTGCAGACACAGATGGATATACCAAAGCCACCAACACTCTCGCTCACAAAGAAGACGGATAGTGTATTGACACTGCTCTTGGGTGGAGCGGAGCAGCCGTTGGATTCGTATGTGTTGAGCGTGTACAAACTGATGGATGATGCTGCGTACATAGATGAGCGCAACTATTGCCGCCAGCCGGCATTTCTGTGGCAGGACATGGATGCGATACGTTGGCGTTCGCTGCAGGAGTACGACTACTACGATTGCTGTGCCAATCGGGCGGAGCTTGCCGACGATCAGCATTTCATTGGCGAAATGGCGGAGCTCTATCGCTGCAGTCTCGATACGCCCGCCAACTGCAAGGAGTCGACGGAGCCGTTGCAACATGTACGCCTGCCTTCAAATACAACACTGTATGAGTTGCGGCAGCTGGAACGGTATCGCTTGTACTCGCTGCAGTTGCAGACATGCAATGCTGTCGGTTGCAGTAGTGCCACAACGTTAAATGAGCGCACCAATTTCACACTGGGTGCGGATCAGTTGCCACAGCTGAGTGCGTGCCGGGTGCCCAAGACAATGGAGTATGTGGTACGCTTTGCGGAGCCAGCACAACCGAATGGATTGATTCTCAATTATGTGCTGCACTATCGAAGCAATGTCTCCGAACTGGTTGCCGACACGCATCTCACATGTGTGACGCGACTTGCCCATGCCCGAGCGAACTTTGTGCACGCATCCAGATTGAATAGCAGCTACGATGAGTGTGCCGTGCGTGTCCATTCCTTGGCTGGGGATGTCATCACAAGCTATGTGCCGATCACCACGTGCGACAAGCAGCTGATCAAGTTGGCAACGGAGCAGGAGAAACTGCAGCTTATACAGCATATTGATGATGCGACAGGGGCGTCAGGGGCGGGGCAACGGGATCTACAGGAAGAGACCACCGAATTACATTCGCATGTGCATGGAATTAGCATTTTTGTGATCTGTTTTCTATTTGGATGCACGCTCTCCTTGATGTGGCTGATGTACAAGCGACGCTGCTGGCGCAAGTGGCCCGGATTGAGACGCTATGTGCCGGTGCGGGAGCAATGGTTGCGCGAGCGACAGCATACCGAGGATCGGGAGATACTCGTTGATGGCTTTGAAACGGTGCGTTTTCAAAACAACAACAGCAACAATAATAACAACAACAACAACAATAGCAGCGATGAGTACTAAATCTGAATGTTAACTGTAAACTGACATGTAAACTAATCTCCATATAAATGACCGACTTACCATATGCACCGTTAGATCTGCTTGTGCCTATGCAGCATTGTCTTTGGATGATGCATCATCTGCATCCGCATCCACTTCGTTGTTGGCGAGTAAAATTGCCGGCACACTGCTGGACGGCAACAGCATAATGTCGCTGTCCGAACTGGGCGTTGGGGTGCGTGGCGAGGAGATTTGTTGGCGCGCCTTGGCCCGTTCCAGTTTGGCCTGCTCGTACTCCTTGAGCTCGGAGAGCTTCAGTTGTATGGTTTGCAGTTCCCGGCGACGCATTTTTTCTCGCCCTTTGTTTTGTTTTCTCTCTTTGCAGGCTAGTGATGCGCAAGCTGGCACTAACAATTCGTTAGGAATTATCGAATGGCGTCTGTCGGCGTTGCATGTGAATGGCAAATCATTAATTCACAATATTTGGGACATTTTCCTTATACCTATTCGTAGGAAATTGCATTTTGAATAAATTTAGATTTGGAAAACGGTCAGTTTTTGCCGAATACATAATATATACAGTTGCGCAGTCCAACCTAAAGGTTTAATTATAATTATTTTTTTAAAACAACTTTACAAATATTGCAACATTGAAAAGTCGCATAAAAATTCCACTTTATCTCTAGCATAATCTTTAATTCCAACATCAGTCATCGCCTGCAAATAGATCACCCCACTCCAGATCCTCCGACTGCTCGGCAGATAATTTGTTAGTTTTAAACTCTGTGAAATATTTGCCATCACTTGTCGCATCCCAGCCATGCTCCTCCTCAGCCTCGGCTGCCAGGTGACGCGCATGCTTCGGCGGCGTGAAATGGTTATAGGTGCAATTTGTGTAGGGATCTGGGGAGATACCTGCACTTTGACGCACATCGTAGTGCTCGGCGAGGAATTCGAGGACCTGGGATTTGGAGCCGAGGCTATTGAATTGGACGCGCAAGGCGCGCTTCATTTCGCTGCTCCACATGAACGTGAGATGATGATGGAAACATTGGAAATGCAATCGCTCACCAGCGGATTGGGCAATGTCAAGCCACTGCTGCACACATGATTTGGGTGTGGTCTCCGCCAGCGGATAGTCGCTATTGAAAAGCGCCGGATTGGCGAGCAGGCCACGGGCAGCCATCACTCCAGCTGCTTGTGTATTGGCGTGCAATTCGCACGCATCCCGATAGCTCTCCACATTCCCATTGACTATCAGGGGAATTTGGAGGGATTGCGCCACGTCGGCCATGGCCGCAACGTTCAGCGTGTCCTTGGAATGTTTCTGGGCCGGCGTGCGTCCATGCAATGTTAGGAATGTGACGCCACAATGCTCCAGCTGCTGGGCCAGTTGGATTGTCTTTTGTAAGGATATATCACTGTCGCTGCCCTGTAGCAGACGCATTTTCACCGAAACACTGAAGCCCGTGGGCAGTGTTCGTCGCAAGCACTGGATCATATCGCGCATCTGGTCTGGCTGACGCAGCAGGCCACAGCCGTAGCCCTTGGCTATGGCCCAGGATTGAGGGCAGCCGCAGTTCAAGTCGATGCCATCGACATAGGGATAAATGAGCTGAGCCGATGTCACAAATTCTGTGGCGTCCTTGGCCGCAAACTGAGCAATGAGCGGCTGGTCATCGGGGCCAGTGGTGAACTCATTTTGTCTTGCCTTCTCGCTGTTATTTATCGAATCAGAAATCATCATTGGCGTAAAGGCCAATTGGACCCCATTCTGGCGCAGCAATCTGCGAAATTCCAGCTTGCTGTATCGCACCATTGGCGCACTGACGCGCACAAAATCCGGAGCATCGGCAAAGAGTGCGGTTATGTCATGGTGGGGTCTCTGCTTCGGCAGCTCCATTCGTACATAAATATGAATATTATTAAGTTCTGAAGTTTGCCTTCCTCGTTTGTTGTTTTTTAGCGCTCACGTTTTTCGTAATGGATTCGCGCTCAGCTGATATTCGTTGATCAGCTGCTGGATCAGCTGAGCGACACATCAAACAATTGCCACTCATTTTGAACAACTGATTTTAGTAGCATAAAAGTTGTACTAAACTTAAAGTTAAACATTAAAAAAAGAAATAATTTGTGTCTTCAATTTGAATTCAACTGGTCTGCTTGCACATGCTACAAATAACTATCGAAATGTGGTCTGGTGCTCAAGCGCGAAAAAGTAAACCTCAATGTCGATGAATAAACAGCGGCTTTTATCAATCAATGATAATTCCTAGAAGTAGAGAGTACACTTATCAGGCAAATAATTAGTAACAAATTGCAATGTCAAGCAATAAATTAAAATATCATCGTACACCAATTGTTTTTTTTTTTTAAAGGGCGTTAATCGATAGTTCTGTGAGCTATCGATATTGCCAAATATTTTTTGTCACCTCTGTCGTGTAGGTGAAAAAACTCACAATTGCAATTTCTTTAATTAATTAAATTAATATATGTACAAATCAAAACATAGTGACTAATCGGCCAACACTAGCCAAAGAACGTCAGTTCAATGACGCACAAGTCTAACGCAATGAAAAAGTGAACGCAGCACCAGCAGCGCGTCCCACAACAACAAGAACAGAAACAGCAGCAGCAACAACAGCAAGAGCAACAGTAAAAGAAAATGCATTTCTCAATACCCGACACACAGGAGCAGTATGCGGATGGGCGGGGTGGCTCGCCCACTTACACGGTTTACAACATTTATATAAATGGCAACTATCATTGCTGCCTGCGGTACAAGCAGCTGCACGCGTTGCACGAACAGCTGCGCAGCCGTTGCACAGACGCCGCCCTGCCCCCGTTTCCATCCAAGCGACTGCTGCCGCTGAGCAACAGTCAGCTGGAGGCGCGGCGTGCCGCTTTGGAGCACTATCTGCAGATCATTGGGCAGGATGCGCGCATTGCCCGCTTATCATACTTGCAACAGTTTCTGCAACGCGCCCAATTGGACACTGCGCTCGCCGAGTGCACCATCAGTGGCGAGGATGAGCAGCAGCAGCTGCAGGTAGAGGTGTACAGTGGTGGCGCGGACGGTGCACAGTTGCTGGTCAATTGTCATGTGCAGCAGAATGCGAGTGCACTGCTACAGTGCGTCTGTCGCATACTCAAGCTGCCCGACGACCTAATTCAATTCTTTTGCTTGTATCTCATGCGAAAAGTGAATGCAAACGATGATGATGCCGGCACTTCCAATTCCATGCCCACATCCAACTCCTCGCCAGATGAACCAGCAACGGTGCTGCTGTTGCGTCGTCTAATGGACTTTGAGTCACCGTTTATAACGCGGCTGCACGCCCAGCCATGTCAATTGTTGTTGCGCACCTGCTACTGGAACGCTCGCTGGGATGCCAAGCTGCTGGGCAATGGCGTCGCCCTCAAATTGCTGTACCATCAAACGCTGGCGGATGTGGCACGCGAATGGGTCATTTGTACGCCCGAGATGCGGCGCCAGTTGTACGGCCTGCAATTGCAGTCGCGACCAGTGCAATATTTGGAGCTTGTGCGTCAGCTGCCTTCCTATGGCTGTCTGCAATTTGGCGCCGCCCAAGTCGACTATCCCGATGCGGAGACCACTGCTCTGGTGACCATCGGCAATCGGGAGCTGAGCCTGCGAACGGCGCGCGGTGCCAAAATCTATGAGACGAAATTTCGGGTGACACGCATGCGTTGCTGGCGGGTGAGTGCCATGCACAACACCTTCGAGTCACGGGATCAGCCCACCCAGCTTCAGTTGTCGTTCGAGTATCTGATGTCGAAGCAAACGCTGCGCTGGATAACCATTACCAGCGAGCAGGCGATGCTCATGTCTGTCTCGCTACAGGCCATGGTCGATGAGCTGCTCCACAATGACAACAACTGTAGCAGCAGCAGCGGAACAGGTGGCAGCGATGATGAGCAGGAGGCAAGTACATCGCGTGCCGCATCGGAGTCGACCTCATCGACGCCCAGCTCGGCCTCGTCCTGCACATTTACATCCACATCGACAACAGCAACAGCTTCTCAAGCAGCGGCAGCAGCAACAACAGCAGCGGCAACACCCCCGGTCAAGTTTCTAGCGGAACGCAGCCGGCAACACCATAAACTAACAACGGCTCGCACCTTTGCGGCCGTTTTCTTTCGCAACGATGCAAATGCGGCTGCGGTGCGCAACGAGGCATTTGAGGAAATTGGCGACGATGATCTGTAATCCGTAACCCGTAATCTGTAATCTACATATGTATATGAGACGTACGTAAACTTCCTGGTAGTAGTGTCAAAACAATCGATAATTAACAGACAGTGATCGCTCCTATATTTTCCCCAATTTTATCCTATTGAAAGATATATTTTCAATATTAGTTTTAGTTTTTGACACTATAGAATATTTGAAAAATCCAATGAAATTGGTTTCTTACAAGACTTTCACCTCAGCATTGAATCACGTTTCTTTTATCGAGCGATCACTGTAATTGGTAATCCCAATTTTTTTATATTTTTATTAATACCATTGACTAACCCTTGCAATTGCAATTATTAATGGGTATGCTGTAATTATCGATCGTTATCCAGCACTACTGCACTAGTTTGTATTTATGTGTGGTAAGTAAATGTAAAAAAAATATTTGTTGTTTAGTTCATTCGTAAACAGCGCGCCGCCAAAATAGTTCTTAAACTAATTGTAACTGTTAGCACAAATCTAACCGTTAATTATATATTATATATGTATATGTATGCAGTACATAGGCATATAAGTTATATTATATTATTCCCGAATCGAACAAATCACACGGTACTTTTCGTCTCTTCCCTCCCCCACTTCCTCCCCGCCCATCATTTCCATGGTGCTGCCAAATTGTAACGACAAATATGAAACTCGGAATGTGCATTTTATTTTGTTAAAGACAAAAGTAGTTTTATTATCAAAATACATATGAAATGAACATATTATCGACATGATGATTGTTGATTCACGAAAATTGCGTTGTGTTTAAGAATGCTCAGTATAAACTATATTTATATTTATACATACATATATATGTATAAGCATTGAAACTCTTTTGTAAAGTACAATTTTGAAATAATGACTACATTTCCTTTTTATATTGTATGTATATGTATGTATATGTGCAACTATTTTTACGTTTATCATTAAAAGTTGAACAAAAAATATATATGTTATGCATTTTATAAAAATAAACGTAAACCGAAATTGTGAAAACATTTAAAACTCATTTTCATTTATAACGTCTGCCGGCAACCGACAGCTGTAATCGCATTTTAACATACTGTTAATCATCCGGCTCGTGGGGCTGCCAACCCGCTTGTAAAAATCGATAGTAAAAAGGCTGTCGATATTGCTGTCAAATGCAACAACGAAAAGAAAAAAAATAGATCACAATACTCCCAATAATAGAATTGGGATTTGTGGGATAAACATAAAAAAGGAACTCAAGCAATATTTTCAACAACGCAAATACAAAATGGACCGCAATAATGGGTAAGTACAATATTATATGTGCACTTTAACGATTGGTAAGCGACTCAAGTGACGCATACAAATTGAAAAAAAGTAAACACACAGCTCATGTGTATGTGTGTCGTAAATGTATGTAGACGTGAAAAACTAGGTGATATACACACGTAGCGCATGCATGTGTGTGTGTGTGTTTTTCGATTTTGTGGAAACTAATTTCTCTTTAACTAATATTACTACAGACGATTCCCCTATATGCGCCGTCAGGGCAGCGGCAATGGACCACACAATCATCATCACCACAACAACAATGCCAACTCGTCGTCGTCGTCGACAACAGCAACAACATCGTCAACATCATCATCAACATCTTCGGGATCGGCAGCAGCAACAAATACACAGTACTCCAATAATAGCATTAATAATGCACCAACAAACAGTAATGTGATTTATGCAGCGGCCTCGCAACAACAACAACAGCAGCAGCAGCAGGGTGTGACCATTTCGCAGCATGATGAATTAATTCGTTACATTCGCGAGGCTTGGAACAAAGTGAGTCGATTTATTTGAATTGACAGACGACAGACGCAATTTGTTGCAACTTGCGGCAGGTCACTTTTATTACTTGAGTGTGTGTGTGTGTCTTATGTTGTATTTTCGCTTAATCTTTTGCAGGTGCGCGAGCAGGACACAGAAGTTATTGACTGCAATGAATCTGATAATCAATTGAAAAATTTCAAGCCATTCGATCTGGAACAGTATTGGGGCCAGCGCCTGGTACAGAACATACATGTAACCACAACACATCAGTAGGAGAAATACAGAATAACAGACACGAAACAATTGCGACTATGACGCATAAATAACGTTAGCATATAAAATAAGTACACATTTGTAAAATGCTATATAAAAATTGCAAATGTTTTGACAAGAATTATGAGCAAATGTTATATTTTGTAAACGGGATGCTGTATTCACATTACTTGACAATTTCCTTATTATTGTTCGATGGATTTCATTTGCTTTCACATAATTCCCATTTGCTTCAAGAGAAAAACTTCGTTGAACTACAAACATAATAAAGTGTGTAAAAAATGTATTGCAAACACTGCCATTTGTGAAGCAAATAATATATTAAAATATTCTCGTTTTTGTTGTTTTCCCTCTTTAAACGGCATCATATTAGAATAAAATGAACATTTGTTTGTTTGAAGAGATTGGTAAGAGGCAAAACAATCCAGAATTTCATACAAATCTGCGAAATACAATATTAATAAACATAATTGGTAAAGTCTAGTTTCATTTTTAGTTCTGTTCTTTATCGGCTATTTGCACACTAAGGAAATGACATCTTGACAAATGAAAGGGATTTAAAAAATATAAATTTTGTTCCTTTTTTGTTTCTAAATGCAAAAAAAAAAAAACGTTGAGTTTTAAATTCTTTATCAAATTAGAGATCAATACAATATATTCTTAGCCTTGCAAAATACTGTAGTCCTTTATCCTAGACATATTAGTTGGCAGAGTAGAATAATTCGAATTAAAATTAGCAACTCGCAATAAAGTATTTAAGTATTTGTAGATTCTATTAGCAATAGGCTTAAAATCTTTAGACGCACGTCCAATTAATGACCGACTTCATTCGATTCGACGATTTTTAATTTTTTTTTATGTTTAAAGCTTGCAGCAGGAATGCATCTTTTATATTTGAATGCATCACCCAAATCGGCGACAGCTGGTTTTTTTTTATCTCGATAACTCGGTGGCCATTTTTCTGTTACCTTTTTAGATAGTTATACAGATTTCTTACAAAATGTGTAACACAAAATGCCAACAATAACAGCAATAAATAAATTAAGTATTGTATTAAATATGCAGATTCAATTAAAATGTCAAAAATCATGTTCTTGTCTATTAATTTCAAGAACGCTTTTAATGGAAGGGTATGCAAGTTTCGTGGAGAAAAGTTAACTGATTTCGGGTCATTATTGCGTCTTATTTTTGCAAAATGTTTCTAAACATGTTGATATGTGTGCATTTAACACACAACTGCATTTGTATGCAAACTACGCAGCACTAATTAAAAAACTCTGAAATGAATTGTAATTGTAAGTAAAAATTCTCAAAATAGATAATAACTGAATTTAATCGAATATTTCTGTTTTTTTTTTAAACATTCTTTCGATATTTTCAAATAGTCCGCTCTTTTTGTCACGGTTGTTTTCGATGCGTTTTTGGCGCGTAGTCTTGGCGCGTAGTCTTGGCGCGCTTTTCAGGTTCTGGCGGCATATAACTACAAATCACTCAATCTTTAACTGGCGTCAGGCAACGAAGGTTAACATTTATTTCTCATCATTTGCAAAAATGCCCTGCAGTCCCATAAAGAGAGATATATCAGAGGACGAAATTTTGAGGAGCACTTCACCGTGTTTGAAGAAGGAGAGACTGTCGCCGCCAGCGGCACCGTCGCTGGAGAAGACCACCAACAAAGATGAACAGCAGTATTTGGATTTGTTGAAGCGGATTATTAAGACAGGTGATCAGCGAATAGATCGCACAGCGGTGGGCACATTGTCAATCTTTGGCACTCAGATGCGTTTCGATTTACGCGATTCCTTTCCACTGCTGACCACCAAACGGGTCTTCTTCCGTGGCGTCGCAGAGGAGTTGTTGTGGTTTGTGGCCGGCAAAACGAATGCCAAGTTGTTGCAGGCGAAGAAGGTGCACATCTGGGATTTCAACAGCACTCGCGAGTTCCTCGACAAATGCGGTCACACAGATCGCGATGAGGGAGATCTGGGTCCCGTGTACGGTTTCCAGTGGCGTCACTTTGGGGCCGAGTATCGCGGCTGCGATGACGACTATACAGGCCAGGGCGTCGACCAGTTGCAGCAGGTGATTGACACCATACGCAACAATCCCGCGGATCGTCGCATCATAATGTCCGCATGGAATCCGTTGGATATACCTAAGATGGCGCTGCCACCGTGCCACTGCCTGGTGCAATTCTTTGTGTCGCAGTCAAGGGGCGAGCTCTCCTGCCAGATGTATCAGCGCAGTGCCGACATGGGTCTAGGTGTTCCCTTCAACATCGCATCCTACGCCCTGCTCACCTATATGATTGCACATGTGACGGGTCTGAAGCCTGGCGACTTTGTACACACGATGGGCGATACGCACGTCTATCTGAATCATGTGGAACCGTTGCAGGAGCAGATGAAACGTGTGCCACGTCCATTTCCCAAGCTCCGCATCAAGCGGCAGGTTGAAAAAATTGAGGATTTCTGTTACGATGACTTCGAAGTCGTTGACTACAACCCGTATGAAAAGATTCAAATGAAGATGGCCGTTTGACATTGGTGTTCCAGTTGTCCATGTAAAAAACCAACTAATCTCTGTTCATGGAATAAAAATGTATTCGAATTATTGTTTGCTTTTTGATTATTTGATTTACAAGGCAATTTCAAAGAGCTGTTAGGGGCATTCTAGCCGCCTTTTTGCCTTTTTCGATTTATTAATTGAAATCTTTCAAATCGAATATTCTAAGAAAAACCCTTTATATAAGCTGCCGAGCCAGGTGAACTAAACTTCGACGAGTTTAGAAATTTACTTAATTGTTAATCAGGAAAGAACGTTAATCTTTGGCAGGTAAAAGATAACGTATCGATGTAGACCCGATTCAAACTTCCAATATGTAAATTTCACTAAAAGTTTAAGAAACTACCCGATTCTTATGAAAGTTGAATGGAGTAGTAATCCGATATTAATGGTTTTTTGTTAAAGTGTTATGTTCATACAAGAACTCATTGTTAATTAGATAATTAGTCCAATCTCGATGGTTTTTCGTTAAAACATAAGGAGCATAATAATACACATATTGGGTAAGTTTGTTTCGGATATGTTGGCAAACAAAAGAGCAACGATCGTTTCTATGCCAGCTATATGACATGGTGATCCGATTCGGCCGGCTCCGACATATATACAGCCTGCAGCAATAATACAGATATGTGCCATGTTTCATCAAGGACATGACTTGATATAGCTTCGGTTAGTGAGCCTGATCAATAATAGAATCCGTAGAGAAGTTTGACTGTATTTGCAGCTTCAACTATAAAAGTGAAAACACCTTCGATTTTGTGAACGGCATTTGGATACTTTTAAAAAAGAGTTAATTTTATTTCTTTCGCTGTTGCCAGACCGTTTTGTTGTTGTTTTTTAACTATTCCTTTGCAAAGCTCTGCTCTTTAGCACTTTAGACCATCTTGCGGAGCAGTCTGTTGATCTTGTCCTCGCGATTGCCGAAATCACCGCCGTTGACGTAGTGATTGGCCTTCTTGCGCCATCCGCCGGTGGGTGTGTTCAGTTTGAACGGCCACAGGAAGTTCGAGGCGTACTTGAAGTGCGGTCCCACGGTGAAGATCTCGTGCACCAAATCCTCAACGCATTGAATGTTATGCGCCTTGCGAAGTTTGCGCTCGATAACGAAATTATCGGTGATCGGCACACGCTGGCGACTGTGCTTCACATAGCCTCGCTTGTAGATCAGCTCGCGCACTGACTTCAGATTGGGATAGCCCCAGGTGATGTAGGGTTCGGCAATGCGAAGCATGTTGATGGTCGCCTTGTTCAGCTTGATGAACACACCATTGTTGATCTGGCGCAGACGGAACAATTGCAGAACCTTGCGCACTTTCGGTGCCACCTTGTTGATACTGCAAAGCGATAAATTGAAATTAGCACAACAAAAAAAACATAGGTGGAATCGATAACAAATTGATGACTTACCCGCGGATACGGACGACGAATGCCAACTTGGCCTCGGCGGGCACATAGAACTGGTTGCGGCTCTTGGCGAGGCGACGCAACTTAATCTCGCGCTGATCGGCCTTGATGTACTCGTTTTGGTACTTCTCGGCACGCACCAGATTCTCCTTCTTGCGCAGCGCAACGACAGCGGCACGCTTCAGACGACGTTTCGTGTCCGAAACACGCTTGACGATTTGTTTCTTGCTGAACTTTAGCTTGGATTCCGGCACAGCGGGCAGCTTTTTAGCTGCTGGTTTCTTAGCGGCCGGGACTGGCATCTGTTTGGGGCACAAATTGTCAACATTTTATGTGTTGTTTTCGTTAAGAAAATTGAAAATGTGAACACTAACCTTTTACTCGACACTATGCACGTTGGTAAAAGAAAGGGAAAGAAAGAGCGGAAGCATGAAGTACGCCATGTTGCAAATGTCAAAATATACTCAAAGCAACTCTGTGTTGCAGTGTTGTGCAATGCCACATTTAGACAAGAGCAGCATTTCGATAACGACACAGCGATAAATAATCAGCTGTTTGCCTGCTGATGCCTACCCGCGCATTTTACAATATTGGCTACAATATTTTGTATTGCGTTATTGCTAAGTATTTTTTGCAATGCAGAGTCCAAGCAGCGTCGTATACAACACAAGCGTTGAGCAAAAGCGGCACGCACAAGAAGTGGCAAAGCGCCAGCGTTTGGGTGCACCAAAGCTGCGAGAGCTGCTGCGGGAGGTGAGCCAAGTGTGTATTTTTTGTAGCAAGGAATTTCATTTACTTTCTTCTCATTGAAAGAAATGTCGCATTCGCATTATAAATGCACGCAAGGACAACGTGGATGGCAATCGCAAAATGCAATTGGTAAAGCACACAACATATATATGATACTCAAAATATTAATGAATCTAATTTGATTACAGTCCGAATTGGAGCAGATTTTGCGCATGGAACTTAACGAGTTGGACCAGGATTTGGAACTTGAGCAACATGTATACGAGGAACTGTTATCGGATGTCAACGAATGGTATGCGCTTCAGGAGCAGCATCTGGAAGCACTCTACGCTGAGCCCGATGATGATGCCAAAGAACTTTCATTGCTGTGTCCCGTGTGCTTGATGAAATCGTTGCAGCGCATCAAATCCCAATACAGCTGCGAGTGTGGAGTGCGTTTTGAGCATGCAGCAGATAAGCCACAACTCCAGCAACTTATCCAACAGAAGATCAACGAGCACGAGCTCAACTGCACCCAGGCGCTAGTTTTTTTCATAGAAGAGCAATCTGTGTCGCGTTGTCTGTTTGCCATTTGCGGCAGCTGTGATTATTGCTGCTCAGTTTGACTGCAGCACAGAAAATTTCACTTGTCTAACGAATAATGCATTTTTATTTTATGTAATGCTGGCTGCGACCAGTTTGAACTTGTGTCTCGACTATTTGTATTTGTAAGTTAGCTAAATTTAAGTTTGTAATTGTAATTGTTGCTCAAAGAGATGTCTCCAATCCCAAAATACAAATATATATATTTTATCAGCATAATCAGCTCTTGGACAAATCACTATATCATATAGCTCCTGGCGTGCCTAACATAATGCTGATCGTTCCTGATTTTTCTTATGTACGTTAAACATTGGGTGCTTCGCCCACAATCTCGACCACATCCTCGCCAGCATCGATGCCGGAGTGCAGCTCGTTGGCCTGCTGATAAGCCCAGGACATGCGCCTCGATGTGAAGTATATGCCCAGCTGCCCCCGATGATCAATGGCAATTGCGCCCGCTGTTTCATTGAAACGTTTGGTCATCTGTTGTAAGACGTGCTCCGTGGCCTGTTGCATCGTCTGATTGCCGTGCTGCACAAGTGTCAATATGCGTGAGGCAACATTGAAACGCATTATGGTTTCTCCGTGTCCGGTGGCCGATATGGCGCCCGATTCATTGTCTGCATACGTGCCGGCACCCAGCACCGAGGAGTCACCAATCCGACCAGGCAGTTTGCCCATTAGGCCGCCTGTTGATGTTGCTGCTGCCACATTGCCGCAAGCATCAATTGCCACAGCGCCAACAGTGCCGGGTGGACCATATAACTGGCCACCCTGCGTACGATTCGAGTTGGTCTTAAACATCTCCAAGTGCTTGAGCGCCTTTTCCGTGACCAGCGCACCCTTGGGCAGTATATTGAATCCTTGGGCTGCGGCTAGACGCATTGCGCCCTCACCTGCCATATACAGATGCGGTGTCTTCGCCATAATCAGCCTAGCCAGCGATATGGGATGCATAATGTCCCGAGCCAGGGAGACACAGCCTGCCTCCAAATGTGCGCCATGCATGATGGACGCATCCATTTCCACATCACCCTCCCATGTCAGCACGGATCCATAGCCTGCATTGAACATGGGATTCTCTTCCATGAGTCTCACCGCCTCCTCCACGGCATCCAGCACGCTGCCCGTCTGCTGCAGTGCCTCATAGCCTTTGCTGGCCGCTCTTTTCACGCCAAGCCTGGCGTTTGCCACGTTTTCATCACGTATTGCGCCAGCTCCACCATGCACCAGCACAGTAGGCCTAAACGTTTGGGCATCCGAATTGCATTGTCTCGCCAGCATTGTAAAGATTTGGATGGTTAGCAACTTGTTGTTAAATTTAAAGTAAGTGTGCATATCGAACGCTTAATATGTTTGCTAATTGAAAAATCTGTTGGAATTTTTAATATGAAATATAGAAATTGCTCTACTTTTGAAATAAAATGGTTTCTCATATTTGTTGACGAAATACAACAAAAGATTTCCATTTTTATTATTTGTGTAATTTTTAAATTTATGAGAAATATATATAAATTTATTTTTGTTGACATTTGTTACCATTTCTTAGAATATTCACTTTTTTTTTTTTTATGGGAAACCCATCGGGTTTTCCTTTTTTCAATGCATCAAATACTTACTTGGAGAAGCTGAGTCGAAAGCATAAGCAACAAACAAATTGCAGTGTACTGAAAAGAAGAAGTGCATGCCTTAATGGGAAAGATACATTTAAAATTGTAAAATGTTTTTTGATCGGATTATGGATTTTCTTAATTGCACAATATTTTATTTTATTTAGTGGACGGCAACGCTCAGTGACAACTGACAGCTGTGTTATCAATTTTATAACTTACCTGCACCATCTCTACATATCAAATGAGGCAACTATTACTTTAAAGCATTAAAATTCATCTACCTGGTGCAACTGACCGAAATTCGAACAGGTTTGCATATAATGCGGTTTGACAAGCACTGCGACTCTCAAACTGGGGGCGTAGCACATCGAGAATTGGATCATGCCGGCAAAACATTCGTAAACAAAAAAGACACAACACACAAAACCTCAGCAACAAGAAGCTTGAGCAACATTAAGCAAAACTAATTTAGAGAAGAATGCTCGACTAGACGTTATTCTGTTATAGCTATTAGTTATTATTATAAGTTTTTATTTGTGTTTTGGTTTGGTTATAAATAGCAATTAGAAATAACTAAATATTTGACTTATTTTTTAGTTTGAATAATTAAAAGACTTACAAATCAATTTTTGTGTTTTCTATCTTAATTACTATAAAATTTTAGCAACCTCTTTTAAATTATCCGCACTTTATTTATTATGGGGTGTGAATCGAATTAAACTTGATATGAAATTGTTGAACCAAATTAACATATGCATATGAGCAAGGAATTCATTTGTATGTAACGGCACACTTTATACCCTTCACAAAGGCATCGACCAATTAGATTGTTGTGCAAGGTATAAGAACAAGAAATGACGAGAGAGCTTTTGCATGATCTTGCACGTGCGTCGCCTGCACGCCTGCTCGCCTGCTCGCTCACTTGCTCGCTCTTTGTCTCTCAGTCACGCACGCACAGCTTCTAGGCGAGAGTTCTTATTAAATGTTTACCGTTTCTTTCAGTACGTTGCGTCGTTCATCGGCGTCAGATGTTTGGGCAGCTCTACACGGTTACGGCTACAAGCGGAACAGTTTTCGGCCGTTCTTCGAATCAGTCAAAACGTGCGCATATTCTTTGTGTGTATTTCTCTGTCTCTGTTGTTTTGTTTATATTCACAATAATTGCGATAAAAAGTCAAAACTAAAAGTATTATGTACAAGCGTCACTGGTACTTAGATACACACATTCACTGGATATGTGTGTATTTGAAATCAAAATTTACGTTTGGAAAATTCAAGCCGAAAACGATTGAGTTAACTAATTGCTTTGTATATTTGTAATTGCGAAATAATTTGTTTACTTTATATTTTCAGTGAGGTTTCTAAATTTTGAATCTTAGGTGCGCGAAATCTTTTGAGTGTATACAAAGTATTACTCGACTGATGATACATAAATATATATGTAAATATATACGTAGATTGTATGCAAAGTGAATAGATATATATGAAAAAGATCGATAAAAATTAAATACTTGAGCATAATAGTATGATATTAAATGTATAAAAATCGAAAAAATGGCACAGTTCTTTAACCTTATACGCTGCGATCAGTTAAATGGTTCAGCACGTGCCACATATGATAATTTGAAAACCGATATTTGTGGCATAGATCGTGTTAAATACGTTTTAACTTGCGTCTGCATAGTTCTGCTGATTGTTGCATGCATTTATGTCTGTCGAAAATATGACAGGTAAGTTAAATATCTTCTGATAACTGTTGAATTCTATATTTAATCTTATTGAACAATACCACATAATCTATAACTGCAATAGTTTAATGATTAGCTTTATGTATTTCCTTGAAACTTTAGCATATTTCAGTTACTTCAAATACTACGTACATACAAATATCTATCGATCTATAAACATCCATTTCGATTTGAAATTCTCGCTCTCTTAAATTACTTTCAATTGTATTTGCATGCCAGATGAATATATGTATGTATTTATTTACGCCAATGAGCCATAAATCTGTATCTCATTGATGAATAATGTGTCCTATATTACGGAATACACAAATGTGAATGCTCCGACCATATTAATTTTCTATTTTTTTTTTTTTTTTTGTTTTCATTCCGCGTCAGCGAAGCTCATCTAAATGGGAAACTATTTTGAAAACGCATTGGAATATAAATTGAAAAATTTCGTGACTAATTGATTGAACTCATTGGCGTAAAAGAAATTCTTGATTTTAATTTTCTTCTTTTTGATTTTTTTGTTGGAATTTAACTAATTTTGTCCTGATCGAAACAGTGCTGGTATATCGAATCTCCAAAATATTCGGGTTGTAGTTATTTGATTAAGGGCCAAGTATTTTTGAAATGGTAGCGAATGATGCAAGTATGCATGATCAAAATCCCTTGTACTCCAACAGGTATCTATGGGAATTTTAGTTTGCTGTCATTTCTCAATGCATTTTTATCATCGGTGATAGTATTTCCAGATAGTTTTTCTAAACTACGAGTTGCTTACTGGTTATCGTTTTCCTGTAGCCTCGTACAGTGGAGTTTGGTCATATGCTGGCAATAAGCTAGCAGAGGTATTTATTTTGAGTTTTGCTCATTGATTCATCACCCTTGCCAGCTTATTTGAAATATTGGTGGGATTTGTAAAGTTATTTTTATGTTTCTAGTCACGTATTATTTGCTAATGTCTTCCACGTATTTTTTTATCTTTTAATTTCTAATTAACATTTTGGTGGCGATGGTTTGATTGAATTATGACAAATTCATTTAATGGTAGATTTGAATGCATGAATGAAATGCTTCAGTTTATTATTCTTACTTTAATTAATTTTTAATTATCATGTCGGTTTCTGTGCTAAATATAAATGCAAATGTCATTAAAATGATTGGAAATACAGTATCAGCTATTGCTTGGAAAGATTACCAGTTCATCTTAAAATATTCATAAGATTTGAAACACTTAATTCGTTGGTTTTTCTTCAATAACAAATAAAACCACTGCAATTATAATTCGACTGTTATTAAATGTCATATAAATATTCTGGACGTATAAGTAAATGTGAACATTTTGTTTAAATATAGCGCATGCGTTTATAAACAATGTGCAAAGACGGCAAACCGACGCAGTGTTTGTATATTCATGTGTTTTTTTTTGGGGCAAGAGGGTTGCGGGGCGTACGCATTACTCATGTGGCGCTTGGCCAGCTGTTGAATATATGTATTTGTATATGTATATATATATATATTATATATATATATATATATATATCTGTTTGTGTCGGTTCCCCAAAAACAGACAACAATGAAATTGAAAATTTGCTTTACGTATTATTTTCCATATAATGTCGTATCTGTGATGCATTTTTCTTAGTAAATCGTCGTGTTTTTATATTTCGTGAAAATCCCATGGTGCGATGTTTAAAATTGGCCTTTATACGTCCCCAGACACTTGCCTAGTGACCGAATGACTGACTGACTAACTGACTGCATGAAAACAATGACAAAACCGCATGTGCAGATACAGATACGCAGCTAGATAGATACCTAGATGTAAATATAAGATACATGTCCAAAGATACATTTTCATTTGAAGCAAATGACGACGCCGACATCGACACAAAACATGAAATCTAAATCGAGTTGCAAAATCATTTGAATTATTTACTGACAGCCATGGCATAAGTCAAACGAAAAATAGACTCCAACAATTTCATAAACACTATCTGCAGAGATTATATTAATTAAAAAGTCGACGCAAAGATACTCTAACATGGCTTAAGTACAAGAGTCATATTTTCATAATTATGAATTTTGTTTTAAACAACATTTAGAAGCTTGTTTAAAATGAGTTATTTTGTGTTAGAGTGGGTTAAGTTGAAGGTTGGGTTAGGGAAGGTTTTAAGAGACATTATGTTAAGGAATGTTAAGTTAAGTATAAAGTTCGTTTCACTGAGGCATTGTTGGGCTAGGTTGGATTAGAGCGGTAGTAACTTGGTTCTTAGGGTTTTTACAAACTAAAATAGAGTATGTCAATTGCCAAAAATAATATTTTAAATTATCTTCAATTTACTTTCAATTTAAATTGGGGATAGTTGCATTGCAGTTCAAAAATATAAATATATATATTATATTATTATTATTATATTATATATATTTCTGGCCACAATAATAGATATAATTAAAAAATGCCTTTTAACAACTGCTTTATTAAATAACAATTTATCTTTGAATTTGAGTTTAAGACTCTAACATGAATAAATCTCTTTTTTATTTCCATAAATAATTGCTAATTATAATTCAAAAGATTACGTTTAACATAAATCGTATCTTAATTTTCAACTATTTTATTAAAAAGCTTTTTGTCTAGCGATAACAGTTGAAGATGATTACATCCCTCTAAAAAAACACACCCATTTGAATATATAGTTTATTAATTATTGTATACTTCTTGTGGCAAGTGTATAAAAAGACGCATGTAGATCAAAGAACGATGTCGTCAGAGGTGGCGACGCTTACGGCTCTGCCCCACTGACAGTGGCTGTGGCCGTATCTGTGGCTGCACTGCGTCGTCATCATTGTGGTCTTTCTGGATATATTATTGCTTGTGTGTGTCTTGTATTGTATATACCCGCTCAATTAATAAAAGTTTACTCCAGTTTGCATACAGCCACATACATTTGTGTATGTAAACAAGCATGTAATCAAGAGGCGCACAAGAATTCATAGGAATTTCGTTCTGTTTGGGATCTGTTTTGGTTGCTTTGGATTGTTTTGGTTATTTGGTCTTGTCATCGGCTCACTGGCCATTCAACGCTCGTAAACGAAATGAGCTGCATGCGGCATGCGGCATGCGGCATGCATGTTTGGATGGGAGCTGGATCATTGGTCATTGGTCATTCAATATGCGCATATACATATATCTTCATCATCAGACTTGCCGCCAGCAGCTGCAAAATGAAGCTGCAACGAGCCAGCAATACGTTAAACAATTGTCCGCATTGTCATTTCAATATTTGTTGTCATATTTATATGTGGTCGATGCAATCCACTTAATTGAAGTAAACTCTCACTCAGTTGCCTAGGAATTTAGAACAAATATTTATACAGTTACAGAGGCTACAGTCGATTATGCACTGGGATTATTACAATTGACTTTAGTCCTCGTCTTGTGAGTTTGGCAATTAGTGAGCATATCACTCAAGCAACTGGACAGTGACAATTAGGGACTTAATTCCAGGCAAATGTATTGATTTGATAGTTTTATCTATATTCCATGCGATGAAAAGTCTTTGTGCCTATATGTAAAAATTGCACCTTAAAGTAATGAGCCAATTGGCTTAAATATATGCCCAGATCTCCGTATATTTGACACACACACACTTGAGGTACTTTCAGATTGATTCAAAGCCACTTGAATTCATTTCAAACATCATTGATATCCGGAACTAATCGAACTTATAGCACTACTGTAAGTGCTGGAATTACTCAACCCCGCCCTCGAAAAAGTAGGGATGTGTATCAATAATCCGTTTAAATCAAGTGCATTAAGAAAAACAACTGCAGCAGCAGCAACACAAATAATGCATGGCACTCGTTCAGTATACTCGTGAGTGCATTCATTGCGCCCTGCTCATTCACAAAAAATCAACTCCCGATAGCCATAATATATCCGGCACTTGAGAAATAGCGTCCCGTGCCAAGGCGCGAGCTGCAGATGCAACAGCAAAAAAAAAAAACAACTACAACAGCAACAACTGCAACAACAACTGCAACAGCAACAACTGCAACAACTGCATCAACAACTGCAACAACAACTGCAACAGCAACAACTGCAACAACACTTCGATGCAATTTTCTGGTATTTTTGGATCATTTGGTAAACAAATCAGTTGCTCCAATTTTAAAACACTGAGGTGTATTTAATTTTGTATATGCTGCAGCGAGCGGGTTTAGACTCGATGTATTTGTATTTCTTTATTTTAAACTCCTGCCTTACGTAAACCGGCCAAGAAAAGGTAGTGGGGGCAGCAGGTGTGCCACACACACACACACAAACACACACAAGCAGACGAATGTTTTCACGAGAACGGGGCAACTATAAATTGCATTTGTAATGGCAGACACTTGTGTTTTGATATTGTTGTCTGTTATTCTTCGATTTACCAAATATTGACTAGTTCAATCGAAAACTGAAGGTCTCGTTCAAGTGTTTGACGATCCTACGGAATCCAATCAATTCAAGTGTTTTATCATCAATTTCATTTGAATTATAATAGGCGATGCAATCTTTAATCTTTTTGTACTGGCTGCTCTTCACGGTAGTTTATATTTCTGGAGCATGTCTAACATGGAAGGGTCTTTTGGTAAAATCTTAGCACGAGTGGATATCAGGAGAATAACGAATATTATCGACTGCCTCGGATTTGTGGGTATATAGCTGAACATCTGTAAAGAAATACTTCCAGATGGAGAACATGTCGCCAAGTCTTGCGATAATTTTATTTGTTTATCAAGTTTATGCTCTCTCCAGCTTAATAGACACCAGCCTCATAGTTTATTCGATATTAAAGATATATTTTTCTTTCCACGTAGATACGGAAAATAATTAATTAATTTGTAATTTATCAACTTTTTGTACACATATGCAAATACACACAATCAAATAGCCTGCGAAGAAATTAAAGAGCTGCTCGTATTTTTTCAATCAACGACTATTAATTTTAAATACTACAACAAGCGCAAATAAAACAGTTCATCAATAGAAAATGAACAAATAAAAATAAAATGAGAAAAGTGAAAAATTGTAAACAATATTGAAAAAGGTTTCCATTTTTTTTTTTTTTATTATTCGTTTGTAAGTTGCATTAAAATAATAATAGAATAAGAATAACCAAAATATGCACATTGCGCACATATTTTCAAAAAATTGAAATCGATTATTCATGCACTTTTAGAGCGGTCAAAAATGTAATTAATATGTAAGCGACGTGTTTCGCTCTCTGTCGTCTGTCGTCTGTCTTCTGTCTCTCCTCGCCTCTGCCGGCTGTCAAGGCAGGCATTTTTCATTAAATTTATAGACTGCCTGTGTGCACAATAAATAAAACTCCCACCCACAAGCAAAAAAAAAATAAAAGAAGAAATATAATAATATACAAAAATTGGCGGCGCGCTAAAATATTAAAAACAAGCCACAATTGTTTGGTAGCCATACCGGTACCGTTATATTCGCAAGCCCACAATCTACATATATCAACTTATATGTGTATATATATATATATATATGGATAAATGCCTACTTCTGTGCACTGAGCACGACACTGCGCCAAATAGTATGCAACAGTGTTCGCAATAAATAATGTTTCAACGGCATTGCAGACGCAGGTTAGCTGTCTGTTACCCAAGCCCCCCTGTTCTTACCCGCTGTTCGCTCCTCTACTCCCGGTCTAAGTTAGTTGTCTTTTTGGGGCTACCATGTGCAAACGTGTAAATGTTCACATTGTGCAGCCAAAAAGTATGCCACATTTTTGCACATCATTAAATATATTTCGTGTGAAAAAGAAAACAAGCGAAGAGAAATCACTTTTTTTTTAATAGTATTTTCTATCAGTGAGTTGGAAATGGGTCTTGAGGCAATTTCTATTTTACTATTATCAAAGTTATTCTATTTTATATCGGGCAATTTGCAGAAAACGAATTTAGACTTGAAAGTTTAATTGGCAAAAGAAGATATATTATTTGTTTTTTTTGTTGAGTTTTAGCTTAGAATTTCTTTTTTGAATTGACTAACAAATTACTCAAATATCTGTAAGATATTATTATTACTATTAACATCGTTAGTATAATGTTATTATTATTTAGTTATTTTTATAATTATTATTTAAATATTATTAATAATACTATTATTATTTTTGAAGTAGCAGCATCTTTCTAACTCAAGTCAATAACTTTAATGATTACAATAATACGCGTCATTCTGCTTATTATATCCTTAACACATACTTTTCCTTAATTATGTTACTTATTTGAATAAAACTCGAGGGTTTGCCCAGCTATAGGATAATCTACAGTGGGAAACTCCACTTTATGCCAATTAAAAGTTTGTTAGCTTATTTTTGAATAAGCAACCATGGCAATGCAATCAAAAAGTGCGCCAGTCAAGTGGGCGCCATATATCACACTTAAGATTATGGCCAGGCACAAAGACAACAGACAAGCCGACAAACCGACAAACAGATGTGCTAGGAGCTCTCAGTGGAGGAGGCGTGCAAGTGGAAACTGAAATTCAGACCGTGTACCAGAGAAGCTGTACAAAGAGAAGCGTGATAAACACTTGAATATAATTGTGGCAATTACAAAGAACACTTGAACACACGCACAAACATTAATACATACACACACACACACACGCTAACACACACACAAAGCACACAGTCGACAGTCTGGTCCTTTGGCTAACTGTCTGTGTGTTGGTCTGTCCACCTGGTCGTCTGGCACTCCACTTAATTAAACTCAAAATTGTTGATGTTGTGATATTTATGCGAGCTGAGCTTTGTCCACTACTTAACTTGTGGTATCTTCTTCTGTTCTACTTACACAGCCAAAAGCAATTCAGATTAAAAGTAGTCCACAAATAAAAAAAATTAAAAAATAAAATAAAAAATCAGATTATATACAATTAAAACCGAGTAACTAAATTTAGATTTGAAATAAAATAAAGAATAAAATACCCTTTCGTAAATTTGTGTAAAATGGTCCAATATTCACTATAAGAATTGGGAAGAAACCCAATTAGACCAAAAATAGTTTAAAGTTAATAGCTTTGTAATAGGGAAAGTAAAACGTTAAGAAAGGAGAAAGTAAGGGAGAGAGAGATAGATATAGAGATAAAGTGCATTTGAATTTAAAATAAGAATATTAATAAATAATATCTTGCTTGCCTCTAAATCACAAATGATCATTATTTTATTTATTGTTATTATGCCACATCATAAACAAATAAGCTCAATATTTTATAAAGAATACCTGCAAGTACAATAATTAATTACTTGTTTCACTCAATAATTTATAAAAATTATTTATTTCCCTAGTGCAACAATTGAAGTTAACCACTAATCCCGATTACACAAAATATAAATTTTTTGTCTTGAAAATCAGTTAATTAAAATCATATAATTAATTACAAATATGATTTGTTAATAGTGTGAACAATATTGTTATTATTTTTACAATTTGCTTTTATTGCATTATTATTTTTAATTATGATTTGTTATTTTATAATTTATTTACAAACTGTGTTCTGAAGGCAGGTATTAAAAAGTAACAAGTAACAGAAAAATTTGTACAGTGTATACCTATGCCAACACTTTATCTATTCTCCTTTCAATGGCTCTTTCTGTGCGCTTTGAGTGTGTATGTGTGTGATTGTTCTTCTGTTTATGTTAACGTTTCTGCTTTCGTTGCAGGTGCCATAAAACTTTGCTAGCATTTCACAATATTCGCGCAGCTGTTTCACTGCTGCTGCTGGCCATTAACAGTCTGGAGCTGGCCAGAAGTCTGCTGCCTCAGCGTAATGATGAGCAGCTCAAGCGGCTCTTTGAGTCCATGCCCAGGGAGTTTAATGTTTTGATCATCATTGGCGATGGCGCTGTATGGAATGCACTTGCCGCTATTCTGTTGACAATTATGCTAATGTGCTTTCATCGCGTGCTGGAGCGCAAAAAGATGACAGGTGCGTATGTGTGTGTGTGTGTGTGTGTACCTGTGTGTATTGCACCGATATTTTGAGGGAAATTAATCAAAGCTGTCTCATTTCTCAGTCTTCTTGTATGGCAGCATTGCCATGGAAATGTTAATTTTTGTCCTGCGCTTCGATGAATTATCCGAGGCTGTTAACCAAGAGGACATCTTTGAGCTGGAGACATGCCTAGTCACCGTAACAGCGGTTTGCCTATTGACATTAGCCACACTCGACGGATACACCATTTATAAAGAGGTGAGTGAGATTAGCTGAGTTAAGTTTATTATTTTTTTCAATTTTTACCTTTAAACTAAACAGTTTTTATCAAAATAAAATTGAAAATAATGAGAACATCTAAATTAAAAAAATTGCCGACTCACATCTTCTTTAACTTCATACTTAATAATAATTTTTGAAATTGTATTTATTTAAATTTTGAAAAGATAATGAAAACATATAAATATTAAAAACTGATATGTTAAATTGGTAACTTGTATGCGTATTTATTTGTAAATTTAACTTACAAAATTTTCTCTTTAAAGTACTTCACTTAAGATGCAATTTGAAGTTGTGCTTAACCTGCTAGCAGCTTATCTTATTATAAATCGGCTTAAAACGATTTAAAAGTCAAACTCAAACTATGAATTTAGTTCATAAATCTGGTTTTTAGTAATTTAAGCAGATATAGCAAGTATCTTTTATATCTCTTTGATATTTCCACTTACCTGATTTTAAGTCGCAGTATCGAATTAATGTACCTCCATATAATATGGCCAAAAAGATAGTTAAATATTTAAACGGGATAAGAACGATGGCAAGCAATGTAGATGCCGAGGAAGCCTTTAGTCGTTGTGCCTCCTCATGCTTGACATTATTTCCGCTTGAGACCGGAAATCCAAAGTTGCCACACAGGACACAGCTTGCCACACAAATGCACAGACGTTCAGCCGTAACAAACCAAGAACAACAACAACAATAACAACAAGGCAGCTAAAAGAGGCGCAAAGCAATAAGCGCACCAAAGTAACAAAGCAAATAAAAACATTAAAGTTACATTGGGCGATTTTGCTGCTTACATTTTTGGCCATGCAAAGAAAGTGGTGCTGGCCAGGGGTATGCGGGGCAGAGACTGCATGGACTTCATATAAAACTTGCAGTTTACGTTGGCTTATGCCGTGTTGCCAACGCAGGTGCTGGCGCTGTGGGCCATAAGCGAGACGGCGCAAGAGGCTTTGGCCCAACTTGTATCTCAACTTGTGCCCGTCATTGTTATGCAGCCAAATGCACTAATGCTCTTGCATAGTTTAAGGCGAATGCGCATATGAGAGTAGCCCACAATAGCACTCTAATGCATCTGTGTGAGTGGGTGGCTTTGTGTAGGTTTGTCTTTCTCAAAAATGTGCATATCAAATATTAATGTTGAAAGTTTAAGGGAAATGTAGCATACTTAGTTGCGGTGTGTAAGAAATACAAGATTGAAAGACCTATGTTTTGTAGAAAATATTAGGGATCTTATCAGTTTTTCTTGGGTGAATGTAATTATTTGATTTATGAGAGGCGAACTAGCAAAAAGCCAATACTCAATTTGCTGTAGTAAAAATGCTTGAGGCATTGAAAGTAGTTTTGATTCGAATTCTAAAGATATTATTTTGTATACCCTGAACCCATGTAACATTGTTGAAAAGTTTATAATGGTTTTGTTCAAAAGAATACAAAATGAAAAGGTGAGATTTTAAATTGATATTTAATATTCTTTGGCACATTATTGAGCAATTGTAAGAATTTTATAAAGTTCGGATTAGAAGCTCCCATGATTTAGCCCAAAGCGGGTTTTTTATATTGATTCTCATACTATCAGCAAGAAGAAGGGGATAATCGACTCGAGGGCTAAAATATATATATTCTAGCTTGAGGGTATCTCTTCTCTCTCTCTCTCTCTCTCTAAAATATTCTTTCGTGTAGAGAAAAGACTCCTTTCACTATATACTAGCTAGTTTCTTAAAACATAAAAACCTTTTAAAGCAATTGATCTATTTTTATATATACATTTCCAAACAGAACAATATTAATAGTTATACAGGAGACTTGTTCTTTTTTTTGTTCTTCAACTTATTTCATTGGAATTGATTGAAACGCTAAAGTCATTCAGAGATACGAACATTTCTTTAAACCTTTTTTTCGCTTCCATTGGAAATATGCATTATTTGATTACTTTACTGTACATTTATGCAGATGTATGCTTCATTGCATATTCCCCTTTTTGATTATTCCTTGTTTAATTTATGTGTGGGCATGCTTGGTATTCACTTAACTTACAGGCAAGCTTCTTAACTTTTCCTTTGACATATTCGTACACATGTCGTATGAGTGATATTCAAACAGCAAATCAATGCCAGCTGAGGCTAAAAAGCCAATTGAAAGCCAAACTTTGGTTTCGGCAAACCTCCCCAAAAACTATTTGTGTGTTTGTACATATATATATATATATGTAAATTTCGGTGTTCACATGAAAGAGGCCCTGGAGTATGCTACACATTTCGAAAGTGGTGCCTTGTGATCCAATGGAATTACGTTGCATAAACGATTGGAGCTCTAAAAGCTGACTAGCTGCCTATGGCATATAATTGAACGATGGGCATTTGTCAACATTTCCCCCTCTCACATCCACGTCCGGCCGTTCATAACTATAAGCAACCGGAAACTGTGGCACTGACAAAATGCCGCTTCACGTGCTTTCACTTTATTCGCCACTCCTCGAAAGCTCCGTGAAGACCCAACCTAATTTGGGTGCCGCCATGCACTGCATAATTTTAATAAAGCCAGTTTGCGACGTTGGCCGTGATGCGCTGCTTGTAAAATGGGAATGCCAGCCGGGGACTGAACAAATAATGCCATGCAACGCTAAGCACAAACTTGAAAATGCAAACTATTGCGATAGGGCTACTATTAATTGAGCTTGCTCAACGACTGCTGTATACGCTGTATACTTAACAGAACTTTCTATATAATCAAAATGAACTAATTTCCATATTATGTATTATTTATTAAATAATGCCAACATTAGGCAATTAATGTTTTTTAAATAAAGGTTAACTTTACAGATGTGTAATAAGTACTAAACTCAAAATATTTTATTATTTATTTATTTATTTTATTTATATTCTTTTTATTTTTACATAATTGTAATTGAAATTATAATTAAACTAAAAAATACAAAAGGGTTAATTATGATAATTGTATGTTTTTTTTGTTGGATTATTTAAGATAATAAGAAAGTGACTACTTTATGTGTACGATTCAGAGCTACCCTAATGTTTTTAGGACTTGCTGCAAGGCGGATGCGGACTTTGATGTTGATATTGTTGTTGTTGTTTTAAAACGGATGTTGGGTTAGGCAAATAAATGTGTGAGTTGGTGTTTCAGAGAAGAAATAGGTTTGGAAGGGGAGTGGGTGGGGATTTTCAGTGCAGTTTGCATTTGCATTTTGGGCAGGAGAGAGGATGTGCGTTAAATTAGCTGAGCAAATAGACGAGGAGGAGAAAGTAAAGCACTTGCCTCACAATGACAATGCAAAAGGTTTATTTAATTTAATAGGGGATTAACATTGCTCGGGGGTAGCTGCGGGATGGAGTGTATAAGTGCAGGAATTGCAGCTGGATTTTAATATGTTTACATTTTAATTGAGGTTAAGCGCAGATTTGCTGCTCTCAAAGCATTTTGCGCTCAGCAAATATTTTATTTATGTCAGTTTTCCAAAGCGCATGCATACTTCAAGGCGTTGCGTGCTTGACCGCATGTCGAGTGCCACAAAAACGACTGCTTTAGAGTCGCTTAAGTGCAACAAATCCCACAACAAATGCCAGCTGACAAAACTGGCAACAGAAACAGCAACAGCATCAACTCAAAAGACTGACAAAAGAAAGGCCAAAAGTCTGCCCAGACGAAGTGCCATTGTTAAGGCGTTGAGCAGCACACAAAACGTGTTGCATTCCACAAGCAACACCAACAACAAAAACAAAAAAAAAGAGAAAAGAAGTGAATAAGATTCAAGTGTTGAGAGATAACAAAATGCCCTGTACAAAAATATAAATGGTAGCTCAGACATGTGATTACATTTGTATAATATTATAGTCCATTGCAGGAAATACATAATCCATTCAAGTTGTAGATACTTAATACATTACAGTAATCAGAAGTTCGGTTTTCATCACATATACTTGCTTAATGGAATTTGCTTTTTTACAATTACTGTCAATTTAAATGGATTTATTTTTGCCATAATTAAAGCATTTACTTTTAAATTGAAGCAGCAATCAAAATTGATTTTATAATAATTTGAATTTTATCGAATGCCGAGAACAATTCAAATACTCGTACAATTACAATTAATTATATGAGTAATTCTAATTGCTTATCACGAATTTCTTATCCTTTGCCTGCCGATATAACCTTTCGGGATTAAGTGCAGAGTTGGCAACAATAAGTGGCAGTAACACACGCTAGCCACGAGGCAACAAAATGCTAACTTGTCATTTTGCATGCGGCACTAGGCAACGGGAGTGAATGGGGGAAAAACGTTTAAATTCGCTCGCAGGACTTAAGACCAGTTGCCAAGTTGCTTTTGAGTTATGGTCTAGTTTCGCACAGCTTTGTTTACTTCTGGTCATGAAATGTGCAAAGCGCAGAAACGAAAAAAAAAAAAAAAAACACTACAAACTTTGTGAGCTGTCACTTCAAGCTGCAAGCTTTATTCTTAAGCTACAACTTAAATCTTAATTCGTTTACGTAATCCTAAAATACAGAGTTTATATTCTAAACAGCGCTATCGAGACGATTACCTGGAGGATTATGATCATATTGGCTATAAGCATACGCTTGCCACATTCTATTCAAAGAGCTGTTTTTGGTGGCTGACATCGCTTCTGTGGCTGGGCTATAAGGAACCACTCGAGCTGGAAGATCTGGGACATATGCGTTTAGAAGATAGTGCTCGAGCACATTACGATCGGTTTCTCTATATATATACGGAAAAAGTGGTGAGTAAATCCGAAGGAAAATGCTTTTTTTTTAAATCGATCTTATTGCAATTTTAAGGTACTTGCGCTGTGCTATTAATCATATTAATTATATAACATACTTATGAATAAGCATAATGACCTATTTGTTAACCCATTAAAGCGAGTTGTGCATTTAATTAAAAAGCACACATTTACAAAGGAAATTAAATAATTGATTGCCTCTGGCCAAAAACCGGTTACAATTGAGACTTCTATCCGGCTTGGGCTGGCCAACTGATTCTGTTGAATTACCATTAAGAAAATATTGTATTTAATTTGCAAAAAGCACAACACGCAAATTGCTTAATTATTTATTTAAATGCAACGTCGCCGTAGGATAAGGGCCATAAATTATTAATGGAAATAAAAAACATGTACAAATATATATGTATAGATGTAGGCAGACTTGCGGCCATTTGCTTGATAACAAAGTGAAAGTGTGGCCATTGTCAGTTTGCTTACTTTAACAGTGCCCTTTGAGCATAACATGACGCAAAATGGGTATGATGAATGCTAAAGTCAAAAGGATACATCTTTTTTTAACTGCTAAGACTATTATTATTAACTATACGATTCCTGGTAGACACATATATATGATAATATCATTTCGTTATCAACTTTTAACTTATTAACTTAAAAATAGGATAGCAGCCAGTCGAAATAAGGCCTTTAGTTAAACGATCTTATTTGGTGTATTTGTTCAATGTTAATTTATTTGCCGCATTTTGTGTGCAATTTTAATGACAAAATGGCAACTGAGCGTGTAAATTATAAAGGAAGCCGAAGGATATATTAAATGTCTGGCATTAATTATTTAATTTATTTATTGCTCGTAATACAAACCGAGCGGCGTATGCGTAATGGGTAAAGTGAGCATTGAATTGAATGCAAAAGCGAACCAAACGAACGTATTCATTTTAGTGTTTATTGATATATTAAAAATTCGCCATCAATATTGAAAAGTAATTAAAAGAATAATTACTGAGATGCACGACTCAAAAATGTTTTTATCATTATATTAAAGATAGTTAATGTGTCGGAATAATTGATTAAATAGAACATGAACATTTAATTGATTGATTCATTAAATTAAACATTATTTATAAATGGTTTGCGCAGCAAAATAGAAAAACAAAATTTTTATTTTATTATTGAGAATAAAGATATTATTATTGTCATCAAATCAAAGGGCACATCAAGAAATTGTGAAATTCATTGTATTTATACAAATGCAAAAGATTGGCAATTCAATCAATATTAATTAAATTATTAAAGAATATGCGATTGTATTTATTTTTTAAACAGAGTATTTCTACTAACCAAAAGAACAATTAAGATCTTAAAGGTACATATTAATTTTATACTATCTATCCATTTACAGAAAAAATCGAGTTCGCCGCCATCGCTTTGGTATTGTTATATGAAGAACAGTTGGCGTATGTTTGCATTAGGCGGCATTTTGAAGTTGACCGGCGATTTATTTGCACTGATTGGTCCACTTGCCATCCAGCAAATAGTGCAGTATATTGAAGGACTCTATGCGGCAGCACAGTCGGCTGCAGTTAATGGATCAATACAATCGGGAGTTGGGCCAACGAGTGCCCCTAATGCGACCACAGATGTTGTTTACTATGATGATGGTGATGATGGTGATGGTGGTGGTTTTGGTATTGGCATTGGCGATGTGAGAATTTACTATGCCAGATGGTCGGATTTGTTAACAAATGGCTGGAGCATTGCTTGGATGGTGCTTCTGGCTGCATTGGCACAGGCCGCATTGTCGCAGGCCTCCACGCATGTGCTCAATATGACGGGCATCAGGATTAAAACATCGCTACAAGGGCTAATTTATCGCAAAAGTTTACTTCTAAATGCCAGCAGCGGTTGTGCCAACAATGGCGCTTTTGATGTTAATGATGATGATGACGCGGCTGCTGTTGCCGCTGCTCCTATTATTGTGCAACAAAATGGCAACACTAGGTTGACACCCAACGATAAGCCGCCCGCAGAGGTGGAAGCCACATCACAACAAACGGGCAGTTCAGGCGGTGAGTGTTTGGCTTTGCCAACTTCCTTCCACAACCCCTGTATGCCACAATCCCTAAACCCCTATCCTCTGCGCCCTTATATCAAACTCAGTCGTGTTTGACAGAGGTAAATGTGCGTTTGGTGTTAATTGAAAGTTTTACGGCTGAAGTGTTTTCGGCTGCCAGCCAGCTGACCAATTTTCCACGTGTAATTGGCTTAAGTGGGCATGGTCCCTTCTGGCCGTCCATCAGTTGTATTGTTTTGTATGTTGAAACTGGATAGCGATTTGTTTTTAGTTGCAATTATAGTAGTTTTAGTCTCCGGTAAAGCCAAATTGCTTTTCGATTTGGTTTTATTGATACACAGGTTTTATGACGAAAATAGAATTCAATTTAGTAGCCAGACATTTATATATATGTTGTCAGTGGATTGATTCAACCGAAAAGTTAATTACACTCAGAAAAAAAATTGCAGTTTCAGACACACTTTAATTCATTAGAATTTGAAGAATATATATATAAAAAAAGTGAGATATTTTGAGTAGTTGAGTAGGTTGTTAATGCAATTAATTAAATATAGTAAGCTGTTATTATTTTTAATATAAATAAGTCTCTGAAAATGCTTCATAAGAGCTACAGTGAAGATCTCCCATTTCCGTCTTAACTTTTGTGTTCGTGGACTAACATTAATTTCCGATGGCCCAAACATGCAATATAAAATGTAATTTATTTGGACTGCTCCGCACAGGCCTCAGTGACATTGGCGCCATCACTAATCACATGACGGAGGACACTCTCAATATTATGCAATTCTTTTGGATCGCTCACTATGCATGGGCAATACCATTCAAGGTTCGTATCAAATCTAATTTACGAGCATCTTGTGTGCGACTCAAAGCTTATTTATAACACTTGCAGCCAGTTGTTGTTTTATGGTTTTAATCACACACCATACATTTATCTCATGTAATTGCCAATGCATTTGATTTGTATTTTATTTGTGCAATTTCTAACAAATTGTATGCAAATTTTATTAGCTTTTGGCATTTAAAATGTGTTTTTGCAAGCGTTGTGCAAATATTGAGGCACGGCTATTTAATACTTATGTACATAATTATACTTAGTTTATGGCCAGCGATTTTTATGCAATTGAACAAACTCGTTAATGATTAAAACAAATACACCAAACAAACAAACACACACACAAGCTCGCATAATTAATGCGTATTAAATGTCAGTGTGTGTGTGTGTGTGTGCGAAATACTGTATAATTCGCTATACGGCCGTATTTACTCTGGTCAAGGATTCTGTTCCAGTTACAGCTAAAGTCCAGGCATAAATTGATTTGTAAATGTTCGGGCGACTCGCATTCGTACTTAGTCTGTTTTAGGATTTGTGGTTGTCGGTGGTTATTGTTGTCGATGGTGCTGCCGCTCTGTGTGGCACTGTCAGGACAGAACAGATGCAATATAATTTACTAGTTTGCATGCAGGCCAAATCGGATTTACTATGTAGGCAAATTCGCATAGCATCATGTTTATCGTGTAAAAAATTAATTAGCATTTAAGTTGCACATATTTGGGATGCTGTCTCTGCCTCTATGCCCCATGTTGTGGAAGAATAATATATATTACAGTATATAAACAGGAAACTCTGCATTAATCGATTACAGGTTTAGTTTAATTCACCAATAATATTCGTACAGAGGATTAGACCAAATACTACTTTTGTACAATATTAAATTTCCGGATTGAGAATCGCTATTAAATCTAGCTTAAATGGTACCAAATTATTCAAATGGCCTGAAGAATTCAGGTCAAAAAACATGTTAGTTTTCTAATTAACTAAATAATTTCTATATTTTTTAATTAATTAATTATGAACTCACGCCATTTTTGATTCAGAATACTACAATTTGTATGTTATTTAATTAACAAAGATTAAAAAATAAATAAATAAATATTATTATTTTATTATTTCACGGAATTCGTAGTTGCTAAATTATTTTAATTAAACACCTTTGTGACTTTGAAGTTTAACGGAAATTGTGAAACAAGTCTTAATCGATTTTTGTAAATGTTAATTTATAATTGTATAACGTCTCAAAATAAGTTTAATTCAGTCTCATTTAATATTATGCAAACCTATTAATCTTTCACCAAGTGAACTCCTTCAAATTTGCACTTTCATTCTTCGACCCATGTTCATTTTAATTCAAACTTTATAATTGGCCGGTCGTTAAAATGGTTAAAAAAAAGTGCAGGCATAATTTATTTACCACCTGTCACTTTTTTGTTGTTGATAATTTTGAAAAACCGCTTTATAATTAAGATTAATTAGACTATAGGTGCTATCTTTATATATATTGCAATAAGTTGGAATATATTTTACATGTGTTGCTTCCACAAACCAGTATGAATTTGCCAGCTGTTGGGGGAAGTGACAACAAGCCAGTTTATATGGCCGACTCACTTATTGTTGTAGCGTGTCCTGTGACGACAAATCTGTCCTTCTTCAGGTTTGCAATAGGGGTCACAGTGCAGAGTTGTAATCTGTTGGTTTTGCTTGCTATGTTATTGCATGCTTGAACTCTTCACTATTGTCAACATTTGCCGACTTTACACATCTTAAATATTCAAATTGAAATTCTTGTACATATTTTATATCATTATGTTGATTATCCCAAATAATTTACTCACAAGAAATGTATCTTATAGCTGCGTTGCACACAACCAACATCAAAAAGCAACTGATATTGCAGTGACTGCATAATTTTGCATAAACAAAACATTTAAACATACTTATTTATTTATGTTGCCTTGCAGATATCTCTGGTCATCTATTTGCTGTACCTGAAGCTGGGCATAAGTGCTGTGATTGGTGCCATTGTGTGCATTCTCATTATGACACCGTTGCAGTTTCTCATCGGCAGTGCGATGTCAAAGAATGCCGAAGTGATAGCGGTAAGTAATAATAGGCAATAAATTGACCATTGCGGTGTGTATTGGGGTGTGTGTGTGAGGGGTTGATGGATCAATTGAATTAGTGCAAGAGAATGGACGAAATTAATTTCATTGTAAATGAAATGTACAACAATTGTTTAGCGTAAATTGGCCGGCGTATGCCAGGATTCGATTGCATAACAATTTATTTGACTGGCTATTGCAGATTCTGTTATTGTGCCGTCCAAACGTTAGATTTGGCATTATTTTGAGTTCTTGTTCCAAGTTAGGAATTTGCTTGGGGTCTTAGTCCTTGAACTTTTGACGAGTTGCTGTTATTGCTGTTAGCTCATTAAAAAGTTTTTTGTTAACAGATTTGTGGTCAATTCAAAGTTATTGCTGGCTGGTAAACAGCAGTTAATTGAATTTGTGGTTTTGGTTTTTGCGGCATGTTTAGAGTTTCTTCGTAAGTTTGGGCTAACATTTAACAGCTGTCTTGTAATTTGATAAATGCAAGACTTTTGTAATTTTGCGATTTTATTTCAATTAAATGAATTGGGTTTGGCAAATAGCTACGCAGCAAATCTGAGGCATGTCTTCTTTTGCCTTTGATATGGAATAAAATCAAAAATTAAATTTAATGAAAATGCAATAATGATATAATTAAAATCTCATTTTGGGACGGAGTTCAATATAAATTTATTATTGATTTAGTATAAATATTAAACCGTGCAATTATTGTTTGAATTTCCATTTTGGCTGATTGTGAGTAATTATTTATTTATTATATCAAATGCACATTTAAATTGAAATTAAGTCTGTTCTTGAATGTTGACAATTCAATTTTGCCATCATTTTGCATAATAACCAAGAAAATTATCCAATTAGCTAAAAAATGTTGAAGGCTAATTATTAAATTAAATATTAATTTAAGGTGCAAATTAAACATTTTCTTTAATAAAACATAATACTTAAACAATAAAAACAATAAAACTCAACTAGAAATACACCGATGAGCGCCTAAAGAAGATACACGACACCCTGGTGGGCATTAAGATCATCAAGTTGAATGCCTGGGACGAGGTGTTTTTGCGGAAGATACAGGCTGCACGCAAAAAGGAGCTCAAATATCTCAATAAGGACGCCATGTACTGGACGCTAATGAGTAAGTGTTAAACAGATTCAAAAGGTGAAGGTGATTTAATCGAAAATCAATTACTCTACTTACCACTTACTTAGCCATATTGACGCACATTTCGACGGTGTTGATAACATTTGTCACCTTGGCTGTATACATTTGCCTGCCGCACGATTCGCAACTCAATTTCGATGCCAGTCATCTGTTTGCGGCCCTGGCGCTATTTCAACAGTTAACCGTGCCACTGCTGATCTTTCCCATAACGGTGCCCATCATCATTGCGGCTCGAGCGTCCACGCGTCGTCTCGAGCGATTTTTGCATGCGCCCGAGATTCAAAAACAATTCGAGGGAATTCGGAATATGGCACGCATATTGAGTAAGAGTGACGCCTCTCTGGACATGTACGAGACGCAGGAGAAATCGAATATGACCCTGCGTACCGCCAAGGCGGAGAATAGACTTAATGAACAGCGTCTGGCATTGCGCATTCGTATTCCCGACCAGCAGCCACAAGCTCCAGCGGTGCCATCGCCAGCGCCATTAGCAGAATCGGAGCCGATTACACCGCTGCTGCAGAGCAATGGTGAATCGACGGAGGATAAGTCACAGGCATCGTTTGCCCACGAGCTGGGTCACCACAAGCTCGTCCAGCAGCGTCGCGAGCTATTACGCAATACGCCGTATGTTGCAATACGGCCGCCGAAACTCTTTGGTGCCACAAGCGAAAAACCGTTGGAGTTCTCAGTGTTGCGGGCCAGAAACACGGACAGCTGGCGTCGTGATTCACTGCTCCTCAAAATGTCTGACGACATAGCCGTGTCCATTAACGATGGTCTCTTCACCTGGCAGCCGCAGTCGCACTCGCAGCAACGCTTGCCCAATGTTCAGCTGCATGTGCCCGAAATGGCCATTCCCAAGGGCAAGCTGACCATCGTTGTGGGCAAGACTGGCAGCGGAAAATCATCGCTGCTCTCTGCCCTGCTCATGGAGATGCCACTGCTTGCGGGAAACATGTTCTGGCACAAGTAAGTACAACCTCTAATTTTCATATATTATTCATTGTAATTTTAGAGTGATTATTATACTCTTGCATTGAGGGGCTTCTTTCACACTACACTAAGGCATCCCATATAAATAAATATATACATATATATAAATATATATAACTAACCGTAGGTTAGTTTAGGCTTTATTCGGTTAGGACGGGATGAGAACAGACTTCCATTCCACAAAACCCACTTGAGCCAAGTTTGTGTCATTATGGAACCACATGAGCTGTAAATCTTTCTGAATTTACTCAGGTGACTCTACATCAGTAAAAGAAGCATCGTGTTCCATCGAGAGGATGGATGAATATAGCCATCTGATTTGGTAGGATGTCGGATAGGTCCGATATATTTGTGAAGTCTTCTGCTTAGGGTCGGATAATTACAAAGGACATCCTCTTCCTCTACGGCAGCTTCTGCGGAAATCGCTGTGGGGACGAACAATTAATTAAAAATTATAGATGCTATTTTGGAAATTGCTCTTATATGTAAAATACCATTAATCTTATATTATACATACATATTTATTTATATTGAGATGCCTGCAAATCCAGCTTAAGAATTGAGCTGAGCTGATATATAATATATGTATATCGATCAAATAAAAGCTGCATTAAATTGGTGTACGCTAATATCCAAATGTGTACAAAAAAAAATTGCGTACAAAAGCCAAAGAGAGTCGCATATGGCTGCTTGATATGTCAGTTAGCCAATAAATTTTGGCACTAACCAAGGCATTTAATATACATATGTATACATGTGTGCATGAAAGTAAAGTACTTGCTTTTTTGCATATAAAACGCATATTATGGCAATGCATTTCAATGACAGCCCAAAAGTAGGCAAATTCACTTGGCGGGGAATTACCGAAAAAAACGAGAAACTTGTGAATTGAAATGTAACACACACACACAAACACACACCCAAACACACACGCAGATTCATACACAGTTGTGTGTAACTGCATGCCTGATGGTAAAATAAAATTTATTGAAGATGCTTTTGCTACGATACAGAATAAGACTTATAGGGGCGCATAAGGCATAGGGGTTTGGGTGTGGGAGGTTGCGCAGTGAACGGGTAGAAATTGGATAAAATGGGTAGCAGAAGACGCGCAACGCTTATTGCTGCATTTTATTTATGGCCCAGTAGAAGGCCAAGAAAACTTGCAAGTGCCGCTTTGTGTGCTTTACCAAATTGGCAGCCCCAACGCAAAAAAAGTGTAAGTCAGAAGCTGAATACTCACACACACACACAAGCAGTTGGAAAACTTTAATTAAATGTAGCCGAGTGTGAAAAGGGTTTGAACTTGTGTGTGTGTGTCTGTGTGTGTGTGTGTGTGTGTGCATGAGTTTTCGCCTTCAGACACACGTGCGAAACATTCTGCTGGCTCCCCACCTTTATTGTTGATTCAAACTAAAACGAATTTGAGCGCTGTTTAAGTTTGATATGCACTTGAAACTATGTTCTATGTTCCACTATGCTGCTGGGCTGCGGGCGTTCGCAGTTCCGTGTAAATTAGAATTGGCTGAATAGTAGTAGTACCCAAGTCAGTTAGTTAATTAATTCGAGCGCAGCCAAGAAATTATGCAATTAAATGCCAGTAGATGAGCAAACAAACTAAAGGCAACTCACCTTTGGGATGGGTGGCAGCAGTATCCTGCCTGCCTTCGACTGCCTGGCTGCCTGTTGTTGACTCACCTCAAAATGCCACATAAATAATTTAAATATTTACATGGGGGCGTGTCAGCGCTGGCAGGACTCTGGCTGCTGTCCTTGTCCCGTCCTGTTGGCCTGCGGGCACACAACAAAACGTGCGTAATCTGACACACCAACAGCTAAATGGTAAATGAGCCACGTGCACCACAACAAACCAACAAAAAATAACAAATTAAAATGGAAGTGGCACACTAACTGTAAGAGTATAGAGAAAAAATTGGGTAAATCCAGAATAATTAGATATGCAATTAACCTAAACTATATTTACATTGCATTTTAGTAGATTTTCGATGCTATCAATTTGGGTTTTTGATACAAATATATAAGTTTCAGAGAATTACTCTTATTTATCATTCGAATTATAACACTAATTTAGTAATTCATTTTTTTTCTTCTCTTAACTGATTCGTATATATAGCTTTATTTATTTATCTTTCGATTGAAATTCTTAAAATCTTTAAATTAATCCGAACTCATGTCTCTGTATAAAAATCATTTTTATTTTACAATAACAATTTATTGACTGCAAATTAAGACGCAATTTGGTTCGTTAAATGTTTAATTCTAATTATTTATTAAGTCAAATGGAAACTCTACTCGATTTTCATTTGGGAATACCAATTTGAAGTACTTCAGCTTAAACTTAAAAGGGGCGCTCCTCAAATGTTAAATGTAACAACTAATTGGCGTATAAGTTAATAAGGGGTTTATACTGCTAAGCAGCATACATAAATTATTCCAGACAATATGGGTAATAGCAACAAAGTTAATTGCCTAGTCTGTTGCACTCAAAGAGCTTGGAATAACGTTACATACAAAGATGCAGCATGATGTAGCACGCATCTCGCATCGCGTATACGCACCGTTAAGCAAGCTTAAATGAATTGCATTGTGCACGGGCTAAAAGGCATTTGTTGCAGTGTCACGCAAAGTTAAAGGCAAAGTAAGACTGCGAACTGTGTGCTGAGAGACAATTGCGTCAGTCATCAGTCAGTTGTCGTCAGTGGCATGCAACTTGTGGCACTTAGGGCCAGACGAAACAACTTTTAGCTGTAATCACAATTTCACTCTTAATGTGGACAGAGAAAAACGGAAAAATTAAATGAAGCCACTGCCGTTGCAGTTGCAGTTGCACTTGCAGTCGCCGACGCACTCATTGAACATATTTGTGGAGTCGTTTCCAGGCACAGCACGTGATACAGTAATTTATCACAAAATGTCTGTATATGTTAATTTTATTGCGCATAAAATAAACGAAGAGAACGAAACGACCCACACGCCCACTTTGGGCACGCCCCCTTTGATCGCCCCCTGTGACAAAGTGGCCGTACAATCCGGAGGCGTGGCGGCTATATAAAAATGCATTTAACAAGCAGAAATCGCACAGCAGGCTACGAAAAGGGAGTGCAGCCTCTATGCCAAGATTCGCCTTTGCCTTGGCAAACGCAAAATGTGCAATAATTTCAATTACTGTAATAAATGTCTGTGTTGTTCAGCTGTGTATGTGTTTGTGTGTCTCTCTGCCTCCCTGCCTCCCTGCCTCCCTGCCACTGCCTCTGTCAGTTTTGTGCATTTTCCTTTTGGCTTACAAAATTTATTGTACGACTGCACATGTATATAGTGGTATGAATTGCAGGGGTCTCGTGAACTTAACGATTGTTAAGTGTGAGCGGTTTTGTGATTTTCAGCTGCCTCACATGAAACGACGTTGCGAGCATACGGACTTGCCACAAAGGGCGACGGCAAGGGCATCATCTAAAAAGGAACGCCTAACCACATTGCGTTCTAGTCAGCTCCGCTTGATATGAGGTGCAAAGTGTGATTTAATGTGGAAGTGTGTATATATATATATATATATATATATATGTATATATAATCACACATAGTCTTTGTATGTATGCGTGTATGCGTGAGTGTGTTTCTATGTGCGGTTGGCTTAAACGGGACAACGGGGCGCACACGTAATATGAGTTACGTGCCGTGTTAAGCAGCTGCTGCAAGCAAATTCACGAGGTTTAGTAGTATTCACTTGAAATTATTTGACAAGGCTACACCTCAATCTTAATAGACTGTTCATAATTTACTCTCTTGAAAATGTTCAAAATGTATAACTTTAAGAATTTATTTAATTTAAAAACTTGATTGTTCTTTTTAAAAACATTCTACATAAAATCATTTGGAATTAAATGGCACTTTAAGCATCAGCCGCATTGAACTCATTTTATTGAAAGTCGAACAGGAATTAAAAAAGTTAGAGCAAAAAATATTAAGCACTTAAATACTGCTTGCACTGGCTTTTACTTCTATAACATAATACATTTTTCTTCCATGACAAATATAACTTTCTAATCTTAAAACCAATTCTATTTTTCGTATATCTAGAAAGTATTGTTTAAAATAAGAAACACTGTCAGGATATATTAATTGAATCCAATTGAATTTCAGCCACAATCTCCGAAACTACTTTACTTAACGAGCAGGCTATTTCCCTTTACTATACTATGAATCAATTCAAATTGGGGCCATAGCAAATGCAATAATTGTAAATTAAATTATCTAAGATTGACCAGATCCGTGCATATTTGAAAATCTGTGTGTGAATGACATATTACAGTGGTCTTCACAACTTTGTGGTTTTGCAATTTTGCGGTCGCCATGAAGAACCAATCATCTTATGTGCATTTCACTGCGAGTCACTTAATTATGCCGCAAGTTTGTGTGTGTTATCTGTGTGTATCTAAGTTGGGGCTTATGCGCTTGTTGACCAAACACGGTGAAAGTTATCATATAAGCGGCTTAACTAAATTGCAGCTAATTAATTGAAGTCACCCGCATTTGCCATAATTAGCGATATCATGTGAAAAGCAAAAGCTTACACATCTCTGTGCAAACATCTATATGTGTATTTATGTCTATGCCGGCATAACGATGTCTGGCTTGATTAACGATCGAAGTTTGTAGCTTAAGAGCTATTTAGATAAAATGTAGTTTACGCGCACGAGACAAAGTTATTGGGGACTAGCTCACTTTAGGCCAATTAGATTTCTCATATCAGTCTAATACATTGTCAGGCATTTCAATTAGTTCACTAGTTCATGGAACTAGTGCACTATAAGCCACATTGCAATCTTAACGTTATTTATTTTCTTAGTCAGTTATCAGCATAATTCAGAAACTAGTTTAGAAAGTGTCCAATGAAATGTTTTAATCATTTTAAATTATCATTTGAAACTTTTCTCTTTGTGGTGAACGAATTAGCTTATGAGTTTTATTGAAATTCTACTAATATATTGTTTATTTTGGGGTTTTCTAATGATAAAAATAGGAAAATAAATTAAATTAAATCGAACTAAATTAATATAACGAAAATAACGAAAACGCTTGAAAGTAATTTTAAGTTATAATCGTCAATATTTAATGTCTATTTTTAGTTATTATAATAATCTATTTCACTTTTTTAAATGTGAATATTTATTAGTGACTTGTAGTTAGTATTCTATTAGCAGAAAAAATGTCTCAAAGTTAGGTCAACACCATAGGGATATAAATAAAATAGTTTGATGAACCAGTTCTGTAAACGTATATTTATGTTTTTATTAAAATTCAATAATTTACATGAACTTATTATTCCTTCCCCATAGAAACTGCACCATCTCGTATGTGCCACAGTGTCCGTGGCTGTTGAATGACACCATACGGGAGAATATACTGTTCGGCGAGTCTTTTCGACCCAAGCGTTACGATTTTGTGCTGGATGCGTGCGCATTGAGACCGGATATTGAACTGATGCCCACAGCCGATTTTACGATAATCGGTGAGCGAGGCATCAATCTGTCAGGCGGACAGCGGCAACGGATTGCGATAGCACGTGCAATTTATTCATCGGCTAATGTGGTCATAATGGTGAGTAAGTAAACACCAGGAACAAGGACAAGGACAAGGACAAGGACAAGTCGAAACAAGCTGTGCTGTAGTCGACTTAACTGCAAGCCAATCCGACGCCTCAGTGCACTTTATGCGAATGCATCCGATTATTCTTGATTCTCGTAACGTTACAACTTCAAATTTTGCCATAAAAAGTCAGCACTTAGTAAGTAGCTGGGTAAACAAGTTTTACGGCCATGTTGTAAGGTTTGTCATAAAATATGAAAACTTTGGTTTTTTGTTCTCTCTTTTTCTAAGCGATACGAAAACATTTTGTAGTATTCACCATAAAGAAAAACTATTGACTTTTGAACTAAAATGTTACTTGCATTTTTTATGGAAAACAATATAAAAATGTAGTTGCTTTTTAATACAATTAGGAGATGAGGATTTTATAGCAGATATTGACGAACCGAGAGACTTGCATTTAGGCATTTGTAGAGAAGCTGTGAAGATATTTGTCTCAAATTTAAATCTCTAGTCACCATATTTGTAGTGCAGATTGCTGGCCACCTATTTCGAAGATCATCCCAGAAGTTGCTTAGTCAAGCTAAATTCAAAATGATATTCAATATCTAGGTTAACTTGAAATATAAGTAAATCACAAATCGTAATCTCAAAAAGTTTAGAGCACAATAAGAACGAAAGACACTTCAGATGCCTGGGGTTAAAGCAAACAAACGTTCACACTCACAATAAATGTAATTAATTTATTCAATTCATGACACGACGAGGTGTAAAGGGAAATGAATTTATTATCGAAAGGTTTCAATGATGAAATGTAAAGTACCCCAATTATATAAATTATAATCATTTTATTGTGGCATATTTCTTGGAATCTTGTCATCTGTGAAAGTAATTATATTTTCTAGGACGATCCGCTGTCATCGCTGGACAATGAGGTGGCCAGCCATGTCTTTGAGCAATGTGTGCGTCAAATGCTTTTGAAGTCGAATCGCACCATCATTCTGGTGACACAGCAATTACAGTTGATCAAGGAGGCGGATTATGTAAGTGGCCCTGTCAAAAATTGTGCCAGTCCCTTTTGGTCAGACAGCATTTCATATTCAAATATCTCAGCACTGACAAACTGTCCAGTCCAGTTTTCAGTGGAGTTGCGTTTGCTCAAAATTGGACTGTGGTTGCTCTTCTCTTTTTTGTGTCTACACTCTTTGCTTGTGCTGGGCTTTTTACCAGCATCCGTTTGTTACTTTGCGCTCCAAATGCCGGGGCCATTTATCGCCTTTTGGCCATAAATGCAATTGCCTGGAAGGACCATTTGTTGCCGGTCTGCTGGCTCCCACTCCACTCCGCACAATTTCTACTCGTCGCTCTTGCGCTCACACACATTTTCACAATTATTTGAGCAGCAGCATTTACTGCAACGACGCATAAGAAAAAATAGCAGATGGAAAAAAATTTCAAATTTAAATTTGGAAATTGAATTAATGCCTTTTGTGCTGCACCTCTTTTCTTTGCTTGTTTTATCCATCTTTTTTTTTGCACATAGCCCTCAAGCAAAATTAAATTGCTTAACTAGGGTATTCCCGAGCAAAGTTCTAAAAGCAAACGATTTTCATACGCATACAATATCTTTCAGTATCGAATTAAAGTGTATAGTGTTTAAGGTTGTATTATTCTTAATATGACTACAGCCAAACAATTAAAATAATTCAAAATTCCAATTTAAAAATTATGACTTTATTAATATTTTAGTTAATATTATTTTGAAAATAGCTATAAATAAACAAGTCAAATAAGTAATGAATCAAACATTGCTAATGCAATTACTGCTGTGTCATGTGACGGCAATGGTCCTGAAAGGATTAAGAAATCATTTGATAATAGCTATTTTAATTATCGATTGATCATTGTTACAGGCTATGTTCTAGTCGATCACTTCTTAATATAAGATGCGTACTTAGTAAGTGCTGTCAATTTTTTTCGTCTGTTCATTTTCTTTCGTTTCGTTGTCGTTTCATTCGTGCGACCTTTCAGTTAATTCTGATGAAAGATGGCCAGCTGCAGGCTTGCGGCAGTTATAAGGACATTGAGCTAAAGCAGCCACAAATAATCGCCAAATGGAACTCAATAATTGCTAAGGCAAACGCAAACGCAAAGGATCAACAACAAAAGTGAGTATGACAGAGCCGTAGAGAAACTGTATGTTTTCTTTAGGTAGCTGTAGATTAGAACATGACTGAATGAGGCATTGTCACTGACTTATCCCTTTGTAAGGCAGAGAGTGAAACAATCCTTAGCACATTACGTACGACAGGCATATCTCTATATTTTCTTTTGGTTTTTCTATTTGGGCCACACTTTTTGTCCGAATCTCTGAACGGTATTCAGAGACAACTTGAAGACAACTTACGACAAAGCAACTTCTCTTTCCTTTTTGTTTGAAAAGAAATTTTGTTGAGCTGGGAAATATTTTTATCAATAAGAGAATCAGAATCAGCAGCTCTGAATTTTCAAAAATTTAATTTGTATGCGGTTTGCATTTGGCTATTCAAGTTTCGTTAAATTATATCTAAGCTATCCAAAACATAATGCGAAATCTAAATAGTAATAGCAATAATAATTATAACAAAATTGTACGGAACTTACTGTTTATATTATTAATGTTAAAGGTGCTTTATATACACAAGAAGCTCATTACTTTGCTGCAATAAAAGTCACCATTAAGCAGTGACCAAATATAATAACTTAATGACACATGAAATTATGTTATTAAATTAATTATTGACACTTCTCATATTATGACTACATATTTATTTCTCTGTTTTCTTTCTTGTTTCTAAGTCTGCGAATGCTATAATCAACATTGTTTTTATCTTCCGTCATCTGTTTATAGCACTGCGGAGCGCACGGCTCGGGAACGCTGGAAACTATTTAAGAATGTTAGCAAACTAGGATTGCAGCGCTCAATATCGATTACTTCGGAAGCAGGTGGATGCAATGGCTCAGAGCTGGATTCCGTTTGCGGAGATGGCAGCATTTCAGCGTCATTTAACAATGCCCGTAACAATCCTGTTGAGGAGGATGATGAGGACGATGAGCTGCCACCGGTAAGTTGAATATTTAATACAACTCCAAGTCTTAGCATGCAGCTTAACGAATCTCTGAATAATAAAGTATATAACTACGTAATGCATGCATTTTATTTACTCTTAAAGATGTTGGTTCTGTTAAAAAAAATGTTTACATAAATTAAAATTGTTTACATAATTTGATTAGGTCAAATAGTAGTAGATGTAGATGTATAAAATAAAAGGGTATAAAAGAATAAAGTATGATTTTAAGTGTTTCTTTTAAAACTTAGTGAGAATTGCTATTCATGAAATATGTAAGACTACATACTATTGGAAAAAAATTCAATTGAATTTGAGTTGTTTTACAATGGTTGCTCCTATACGGATGCTGTATATTTCACAACGGATAATCAAATGCAAGTAGACGGAATCACAAATCCCAAGAGCAAAAATACATAGACTGCTGCCAAAGTGCTTAACAAAATTATCTTAAAGCAATCGTCAATTATTCCTATCTTACTTGGGACGTTATCTAGTTAGGTACATCCTTACTGCTGCAAATGCGTCTAGACTCATTATCCTATCAGTTCGGTAGGTTTTATTACGGTTCACATCTTTATCTATCTACTTCAATAAATCTGTTTAAATGTTGTACTTAAAGTCATACTATGTATCAAATAAATGAATCACTGTTTTGCTTCCATAGTCCCTCTCGCTGGCCAGTGGCATGGGCTTGCAGTCGGCAGGTAGCTTTCATCTGCAACGCAAGCGTGCCAGTGTCTATGGCTCCCGGCATCTGATCTACGATGTGCCGCTGCCCATCGATGAGTGCCAAGCGGATGATGTTATAATGCGACCACGTCGTCGCTCCGGGCTGCAGCGTCGTGGCAGCAGCGTCAGATCGAGGAACTCGTGGCATCGTCTGAGCGGTCTGAGCACAGCGACGGCCACATCCACCTCCAGCACGAACAGTGGAGATTTGTTGCGTCGCAGCGTGCTGACCGCCAGTTGCAGCAGTTATGCGGAGAGCAGTGTGGATGGCGGCGATTCAAGTACAGGTGGGGGAGTGACGCCACCGCCCGAGCTTTGTCAACGAGCGCAATCGTGGCAGCCGACACAGAAACTGCATCATCCGCCCGTAACACGAAATGCCTCATCGCCGCCGGCCATGGAGGCGGCTGGGGATGTGGCAGTGGCTGTGCCAGCAACTGAGGAGGCGGTGGTAACGAGTCGTGGCAGCTTTCAGCAGTTCCTGCGACGTATGTCCATGCGGCGTTCCAACAAGCCCAAACTTCATCATCGACCGCTCAGCGCAGCCAACTCAATTAGGTAAATACTAATTATTATTAATTAACTAAATAATACTTAATCAGAATAGGTAACTTTACTCCTAAGAGAGTTGTGCTTGCAAAAAAAAGTCACCTAAGTTGAATCTCTCGCCACAAAGTGAACCAATTTATTTAACTGATAACAATTCAGAACAAAGTGCTTGATGCGTAACGAATCTTTATTCCCTTCTCCAGGAGCATCTCGGAGGAGTCCAGTGCCGCGGCTCTGTTGCCAACAGTTGAGCTAAGTTCAGTGCCTTCAGTGCCTTCATCGCCTGTCGTTGACATATCCAATCCGCAGCCAACAACAACAAATTCACAAACAACTACGGATTCGGTATTGAAAGGAAAGATGCAAGTTGAAGTTACTTCTCCAGCTCCCACTCCGGCACCCGCTCCTGCGGAGACTCCAGTGAAGCGTAAGTTATGCATCTGGCATGTTGTAACTACTAGACTGGTAGTTGCCTAGTTGCCAACTGGCTTAAGTTAGTCCTTGCTTGCTCATTGCCTGCTTTTGCAACATTTGTATGCATTGAAAGTTGCTCTGCACCATATGGGTCAACTTAATCGATGGCAGACTGTGCGCATACGTGATTTTTACTTTAAATAACTTTCGACTACAGTGCCGTTGAACACTTTGTTGTTATTAAATATTGGCATACTTGGCAATTTCAGTTTACATTCTTGCAGCTACATAATTTCACCATTTCAGTCTGCCTGAATTCCGTACATTTTTTAATTCACCCTTTGAGCGCAAGGGCGCTTAAGGTCAGTGGGAAAATAAGACTTTATTTTGAGAGTCAGTAATCACCTTGATAAGTCGTAATCAATTTTTTATCAAATAGCTTCAGCTAAGTGCTCTTGTTTAATTGAAGTCAACTTCAATTGACTAACGCTAAAGAAATAATACACAGCAGACAGAATGATAAAAAGGAATCTGACAACTATTTCGCATTTGGGGTAATTAAAAAGTATCTACAACGCGCTCAATTCCTCCGACTTTCAATAAAAGGCTGGGAATGTGCAAAAGAGTTTACAATAAATTTTGAATGCGAAAACTTTACAAACTGTTTGGGCGTTGGCTGTAAGTCGTAATGAATATTGATTAGATGGAATTTATTTGGCGCTACGTCAGCCAAAACTGCACAACAAATGCGAGTATGCAGCAAGATGTTGCAAACAATATATTGGCATATTTATCAGAATTTCAACCAGCATACATACTTATGCGTATACGACAATTCGAAAAAACCGCCGTTCATCCGGTTGTCCGCGTGAGTTTGTTGGTAAGAAAAACTTAAATCAAGTTTGATTTTAAAAGTTTTTGGCTCCCAGCGGTGAGTCGAAGAGACAACACGTGCTGACTTCGCCACCCAAGTTGAGCAGGGTGAAAAACTTTTACTTAACTTAATGCATTGATCTATCTACTCGCTGTCAATATTTGGCTGACAACTTGCCGAGTTGGTTTGCGCCTGCAGCGGAAACTTTCAATTTAATCAGATGCTCAAGTGTCACAGAAATCGTCCGGATTGCGACCCTTGGAAATTGAAATGAAAATTGTTTGCACTTTAGCACTGGAAACCGATATAAGCTTTTGATTTTATACAAACAATCATTTAAAGTTCATTGTGTTAATATAGAAGATAAAGATAAATTTACATTATTTTTTAATAATATTCTTTGCTTTCCATACAATACAATTAACAATTTTTCAAAAATAATCGAATAACATTTAAAAATATATATTTTCTTTACTTTAACTGCAAGCAACTGGTATTTTTCACATTTAACAACATGTTCAGGGCTCAACATTGTGTATATGTTACATGTAGGGCAATGTTTATTGCAAACATGTTGCATATTGCAATACAGTTGATATGCAAATACACAAAAAATAAACATTGAATAAATACAGATAACACAGAATAATAAAAATATATATTTTTTTGATGGCTGGGCGTGTGTGATAGTTGCCCTGTGTATGAATATAGAATTGAAATTATATTGAAAGAAGCATCAGCAAAGGAGCACATTCCCAACCTGACAGGTGATGAAGAACAGAATTTTTGTGGCCGCAACTTTTGTCCTGGCAATGCATACAAAAATAACACCAAAATTATTTTATCACAAGTACATATATATATATATATATATATATATTAAAAAATATGTCGACATTGACCCGCATACAAAAATATATTCGATGAGAGGGACATACTGCGAATATAGATCCATAGGGCGAAGAATTGACGGTTTATAATTAATTTCCATAAATAAATTGTTGCGCTTGTGATTGAAAATCTGATCCGCTTCAAATTAATTTTCAAAAGAATTGTACAAATTTGTATATAGATTTACATTTGTCATGTGAATGAAATCTAGTAAAAATTTGAGAAATTGCTTAATTGTTATAAAAGTCGGTCTTGAGCACTAGGTTAACATATATATATTTATTTTATTTATTGATTGATAAGTTTCTTAGTACATTGTGCAAGTATTAAGTTCAATTTTTTCTATTTTGTAGACGTTAAAATTGACTTTAACGCATTGCCAACAAATGGTCGCAGCAACAGTAACAATAACAATGGTCAAAATGCGGACAAGCCCAATAACAACAACGACAACGACGCTGAAAATGGCGTGGATGACGTTGACGTGTCAGACGTGTCGATGCGACATAACCTGGAGCGGGAGGGTCAGCAGCAACAGCAGCAACAGCAGCAGCAACAGCAGCAACAGCAGCAACAGCAGCAGCAGCAGCAGGAACAGAAGCATGTGCTGGATGAGGGTCGTCATCGGGCAGGTGCAATGCCAACGACGGATGTTGAACGCAAATATGGCCAAATCTCGCATCACATATATCTGCTGTACTTGCACGCCTCCGGTCGGCCCATAATCATTGTCTTTTTTATCACCGCACTAATTTGGCAATGTTTGCGTGTCTACACGGACGTTTGGCTGCAACATTGGAGCGACCACGTCGCACTGAATGTGGAGCATCGGGTGAAGCACAACAGCACAGACACAGGCGCAGACATGAACATCGATATGGATATGGATATGGATATGGGCATGGATATGGACAGCCACGAAGTCACGTACTATTTTCGGATGTATGCAACAATATCGTGTGTTTGCATTATAATGGCCATGATATCAACACCGGCCGGACAATGGGCCGGCTGTAATGCGCGCCGTAATTTGCACGATAAACTGTTGCAAACGATTTTGCATAAAACTTTGCATTTTTTTCAAGTGACACCGCTCGGACGAATTGTGAATCGTTTCAGCAACGATATGGCGATCATTGATAAGGTAAGATTTGTTATTGCTATTGTTTCGCATGCTATTGTTGTTGTTGCTTCCTATCCTCATATGTATGTACATACATATATATATATATATATATATATATATATTTCCGTATACATATATGTCTGCATAATTTTCGTTTAGCTTTTTGTATTGTGCGGCATAAAATATGAGCATATTGCCTACTCGTGTTGTTGTTTTTGTTGCTCTGCTTTAGATATCCCGCTGATAAGCACGCATTATGCACGCGCCTGTGTGTGTGTGTGTGTGCGTGTGTGTGTGTGTGTGCGTGTGTAATATATGAGTTTGTTGACGCCATTTTTTGGGATACTTTCATTATAGTTTTTTCACACTTTTTGACACTTTTACACGCAAATTTACTAAGCTTTTTGCGATATGCCTGTGTGTGAGTGTCCTTGTGCGTGTGTGTGTGTGTGCGTGTGTAGTTGACTTGATTGAACTGACAATCCTGACTGATTTTCGATGAAGTAGATGTAAACACATGTCTTTTCAATAAACGGATTCCTATTAATCACATTATTCTATTGAAACCGAATCATTCTCAAATTTATTAGCTTAGTAAAGTAAATCTTTTAAGCATCTTAGTTGCAAATTTAAATTTATGCATTGTTCATTATTACATTGAAACAAAGTCAATCTTGTTTCAGGATAAGCTCAACGTTGAATTAGAATAATTATACTACGATTTCCACTCCCGTTTTGATTTAAGCGCTATTTCCATGTTATTCTGCCCTCAGCCAAAAAAAGCTGGTAGAGACGGGTCAATATAAACTAATTTTCTACTTCATGGTTTGTCCCTAGATATTGGTGACAATTTATTTTGTGTATTCTACGTTGGTTCACAAATATTTGATACATAAATACATAAAGTGAAAATATTATTCAGTTATTAGTATTTTTTAAATAATAACTCACAATTTTAAGCGTATTTGCCAAAACGTATAATATGAATAGTGATAGTAATAAATGTAATGTGTGTTTTCAATTTAGCTGGCATTTTGTGATAATCCGTTTTAAAACGTTTGAGTATCCTAAATTTGTGTATGTGTGTCGCAAATAAATCTTCATGTACTGTTCGCTATCCAAGTGGTTTTGGCATTGTGTAAAATCGTAGTCGGCTCGCAAACCAAAGTTGATTATGAAACATTGCTGCCTGAGGGTTGGTGGCTCACATTTGTCGAAACGTTAGTCGGTCGGTATACAGATTCAATGGCATCATAGCAGCCTGCTTGCTGTAGGCAGAAGTGGACTCGTTCATTTTTGAGCAGGAAAGGGCGCCTGTGGCATGCACAAATTTAGTCATTTGTCAATTCGTGTTGCAAACGAGCAAATGTCATTTAAAAATGTCATCCAATAAAGCCACAAAACCTGCCTGACCAGGTAGTCAGCATGCTTCCTACCTATATATATATATATATATATATCTGACATATATACATATTTAAATACACTCGGAAATAAATCGCCATGGATTTTATAAAAACACAATAAGTTAATTTGGAAAGGACTTTTTTCTATTACTAAGAAATATATTTCTGAAAAACCTATGTAATTTTTGGAAATTATTCGTTTTACTTCTAAAAACAAGAAATACTTTCTAGCTTAAGGCGATTTTCAATAATCAGGGCGACTTATTTCTTGCCTCTCAAAACTCAAAATCCTTCCTAATTTTAATATATAATTTTCTTCATATCATTTGAAATTATTTACTAAAAAACTAGTCTGAGTGTATCTGCCTCCTTTTGCTACCTATATAAATAACCGACAAATATATATTTTCATTTACAGAAAATAGCTGCAACCAGTCAACGCTTGTTGCAGTTCTCGTTGCTCTGCCTGTGCGCCATATTTATAAATGTGAGCATTACACCCTGGTTTCTGGCCCTCACCCTGCCCATTTGCTGTGCCTACTATGCCATACAGAAGTTCTACAGGTGTTCGGCGCGGTAAGCGATGATTTCTTGTTCCGCATAATAATGCTGACAAAGCGACTTTCATAATTCTTGCGTTAAGTGTAACAAATATGTAAACATTCGCTGTTTTGATAGAGTACTAAGTTAGCTTTAAATATTTTTTTTTTTGCGGTTTGGAAATTGCTTAGAAAAGTTGAGAACAGACAGTTGCTGTCAACGTTTTAGAGCCTGAAAGTTTTTGGCCATAAGCACTTAAACTTGGCCATAACTACGTATCGCTCGAGCATAGTCAAGAGAAACAAAGGATTTTTGCAATTCATATTGTGGCTGTGCTGTTTGCAGCAGTTGTCTGGTTTTGTGTGTCTTTGCTGTTGTTTAGATAGTGCGAGTGGCACTATTAGCAGATTTCTATCCGAGCATTTGTTTCATTTAGTAATTCAAGCTTATTTTGTGCAAACCAAGCTTACTGAGTGTCCCAACAATGCTGTCAGACGACTGGACAACAATCCTTGCTTGTGGTGCTTGTTTTCTGGAGCGTTAAGCAAGCAAAATATATTTGAAATAAAAATATTTTCAGATTAAATCTCTTAAAGAGTTTTGCAGCTTTTCGCAATTTAATTGTTTAGAAAGAATATTGTAGTTGAAGTGTCATTGCTGAGTTTATTTTGAGACCATAAATTAAATTTATTTCTAATAAGAGAGAATACTTTAAATATTTGTTCATTTTGTTATTTAGGTCGGACTGTCATTAAATCATCAAGTTTATTGGCTTATGTGGCTTATTATACTAATATTTTTTTAAAAAGGCTTGGACAATATATGAATTCAACTTTATTATTCTTGTAAAACTTAAACGTAAATTACACTTTGAAATATTGAGTATTAATAGTTGGTTAAATATAGATCCAAGTAGAATTAACAGAGAAGAGATGAAGTTAAGTTTGCTACATATTCAATAGCTTTGGAAATATTCGAATATAATGAATAACACTAAACAATATTATATATTAATTGTAGCACAATAAGCTGCTTAAATGTAGATGTAAGCAAAATGAACATACATAAATACAAATAAGTTACTTTATCATATATAAGTTTAGCCATAACCTAAGTACGTGCTTGTGTGTTCAAAATAACACTTTCACTTCAAAGTCTAAAAAGTTCTAGTGGACTACACAAATGAACAAGTTTGCCGTGTTCAATATTCAATCTAAATGCAATTTCGAAAGCCACTCAACGCCTCAACTCAATGAAACGTATAAATTTGTGTATTTTCAGTGAGCTGCAACGAATTGAGAACTCAACAAACTCACCGGTGATATCGCATCTATCGGAGACAATACAGGGTGTGACCACAATACGTGCATACAATCAGCAGGCTCGTTTCACAGAGATACTCTTTAAGCGTCTTGAGGCGAACACAATTGCATTTACCATATTGAATACGAGTAATCGTTGGCTGGGCATATCACTGGTAAGTCTTTGGAGTCCAGCACTGCTTTACTGTGCACAATTCACACACACATACACTCTATACACACACTCTATATACATCCTCCCTGCACTCGACTCCCCATTCAAGTCAATATGGCATCTATGCACATTTGATTTGTGTAAAGTTTGCTTGTGTGCAAATAAATTCAACTAGCATTTAGCTTAAACAGTGTAGCTTAAGCAAATGTAGTCATATATATATATATATAAATATAGAAGTTCAATAGTTCGATATCGGATATTTTAAATCGGTGGTTGGTAGTTCAATTGATAGGTCTCACCCATTACGGTGGTTAGGGGGCAGCCCGCCTGACTGCTTGTGTGGACCTTGTCTATGTGTCTGCTTTGGATCTTAAGTGTCCATTTATTGTGCTCAAAGTGGGTTCTCACTGTGTTGTGTTGACATCTACATTCGCATTCTGTAGAGCTCAGGCTGGTTTGCTTTATTGTCTGTATTGACATAACGCACACAAATATATATATATATATATATATATATATAAATGTAATTTATGTTCTTAGTAAAGGGCATGACGGCTTAGGAACAGCCCTAGCCGCAAGTAGTACTTTAATTATCACTGGTGGATGCTTATAGGTGCTGCAAGGTTAAACAATGAAATTACTGACATGACAGACAACATTGACATAAGACTTAATTAAGCGACCATCGGAAAGAAATTAGAAATTAGGTAATGTATATTTAAAAAATAAATAGTTCTGTAAAAGTAAGGGGCATATATTGTAGCAGTCAAAACTAAATTAAATCTCTTTTCTAAACACGTCTGCCCGCTTTACGTTATACACAACGTTTGAGCTCTTCCTCTTCCAACCGGTGATCATACCAATGATATCGATATATATCGATTTCATATTTTTCATGTTGCATGTTGTTTTACTGATGTTATGTTACAGTCTTAGTACCAAGACACCAGTGGCCTGCTACAATATTTTGATATAGTTCATAAATTCAAAGCTGTTAGCGATAACCATGCGTTGTGCGATTTTAAACTAATAATCCTCTAAGCAAATCATACTCTAAACATACAATTTTTAGATGAAAACAGACGCAAGAGTTATTAGTATTATTTAAAGAAGAGTTGAGTTTTAATCGAGTTTGAACAACTTTGCAAAACAAGTTCGACCAAAATGTTAAAAAAAGAAAAACATATTTCTTTTTCTGCTATTGCCACAACTATATACATTGGAAATGATAAAGCAGAGCTATGCGAGAGGGCATTCATATCAGTTCTCTGCAATTGACTCTCCTATTGCTCTGTAAAGTAACAGTAGCAGTAGCAAAAGTAAATACTTCAAGGTAGCGGAGCATTTTCAATCACTGCACAGCTCACCCATCCCATTTCCACAAGAAGGTATTAGATTATTAAGCAGTCTATTTAGTTCAAATGCAGCGGTCTCACTGTCTTCAGCTGCAAATGAACTGACAATCGATAAGTTACGCAATAAATCGCTTTAAGTGATTGGTATTCCGCTTAAGCTGGACTTTAGGGAGACAAGTTCATTGACTATTATTTTGTAATTAGCGAACAAATTGGTTGTACAAATCTGCTCACTATGTAAACTAACAATCCACTTTAAAACAAGGAAGCATACATACACCCACACACACACACACAGCCACCCACTGAAGCTGGTATGCATGCCGAGCAAAGTCAAAACTGTGGAGCAACAAATGCAACAGCTTTGAGCGCACTCGATGGCTTACAAGCATACACATCCATATGAGGGCAATCAAGCCAGCGACAGCCTCAGTTCCGCAGAAAAGGCAAACAAAAACTTTTCAATTGTGGTTTGGCAGTTACCCAGTAAAACTTTCATTAAGATGAAAGATAGAAAAAGTTTTTTCCTTCTGGTGCAGCGCGCGGAGAGCGCTTAGAGGGCCACAAAAAAAAAGAAAATAAATAAAAAACAAACAGAAACCCGACACGCACGGACACGTGGGCTGATTAAAAAGTCAAGTGGAAAGAATCTTTACCAAAATGCCAAAACTAACAAGCACTCATCAGGGCTGTTGCTCTTTCTCGCTCGCTCATTCACTCTCTCTTTCTCTCTCTCTCTCTCTCTCTCTCTCTCTCTCTCTCTCTCTCTCTCTATTTATTGTAGGATTACCTGGGCGGATGCATTGTTTTTGTGGCCATCGTAACAGCACTGGCAACGGCCAGCGTCAGTTGCAGCAGCTACGCAAAGGAGCAGGAGGCGACAGCAACAGGGACGATGTCAGGAACTTATGCCATCAATAAGAGTTCCAGCCCCAAGGAGCTGACACCGACACCCTCGCTGGTCGGTTTGGCCATCAACTACACGTTGTTGGTGCCGATTTACCTTAATTGGGTTGTAAAACTTTTGGCCGATATGGAGATGTATGCGGGCTCCGTTGAACGCATTGCACACTACGCCCAACAGCCGCAGCAGCAAAGGGCGGAGCAACCGGATGCGGAAATCACCAACGAAGTCGATAGGTCCTCCTCTTTCGTTCCGAGTACCGTTGACAAAGCTCACCCAGACGCAACGTCAGCTGCCGTTGATGTCGATATCGATGCCATTGCCGACCAGGCTGCTGATAAATTAAATGCAAGCAATCACTTAAACTTTCAGCACACAGCATCAGCTGTTGACAAGCAGCAGCCAACGACGACGACGACGACGACGATTGCAGCAGAGACATCGATCCTTGCAGATAAGAGAATAACGGCATTTGCTGACAAGGTCGTCGCGCCATCTAATGAGCAAACGAGACGCATTAAATGCTGTGAGTATCTGACTATCCGGAGCAGTTTGCTTAACCCTTGGCGATTAACTATGTGCCAGACATTTTCGCTGAGTCACTGATTATTTTTTAAATGCTGAACCCGAGCAAAATGTTTAAAAATAGTCAATTTGTGCAAAAATATGTAACATGCATAGCAAATTGTTGTTTTTTTTTTTAAATGTATAACTAATTATTTTAAATATATTCAAGTTTGTCAGCATAATAGGAGTGAAGTATCCTAATTAACATTTAGCCATGGATTTTCAATATTTATTCAAATAATTAACAGCGAGAGCTTAGCTTATTTATTTAGTTACTTACAAAAATTGTATTTTTTGAGTGTTAGCAATTCATTACATGGAAATTGATGATTCTCCTTAGCTGTAAGTTAAGTTAGCACCTTAATCGTTTTTTCCTCATCCAGCAATATTGCGATTTCTTACTATTTTGCTTCAGACTTGTGACAAATTGGAAAGGGCCAGATTAATCGATGCTACTGAATGCGATTAGTGTTTCCACTCTGCTTATAATCATTAGTGTAATGACAGTTAGGTCTTCTATTTTTACATACATTTGCAGAATATTAAATTGATTTATAAATGAAATTTGTAGTTAGCCTTACTTAGATTTTATTTTCTCAATAATTCGTGCTCTGACTTTCGGGATAGATATCAAAAATATAATTCTTTTATAAGAGTTAATTGCATAAGCAATTTCCAGAAAATTATTGGAAATAATTAAATTTAAGCTGAAAATGTATTTTAAGATAATCGACTTGAGAAAAATGAACCCATGACAAGCAAATTGTTGAATTTTGCAAACAAAAAAAAAATATGCAAAACTTTCTGAGGTTATTTAATAACCCAAGAGTGAATATTATGCAAGCCCAAAGTTTGTGATAGACTTGACAGATTTGTAGCCTTTCTTACATAGATAAAATATTTGCGTAATTTGTGAAAAGAGTCTTTGAATGAGTTACAACTCTTATCGTATCATACCCTTCCCTATTGCAAAAGTAGTTTGAATACCGCTACTTAAATTTTAAGCTCTTAGGGCAAATGTTAACTCCGCTTTTACTCTAGTGTCATATTGACATTAGTCCTCTAACCACACTCGAAAACTACTTTAGAGTATTTGCTAAAGTTGACTTTTAAAGCATGCGCTTAACTGCTGTGTGCCATGATTCTGGATGAGGACCCTTTTTTCATTAACTTTTTTGTTTGGTTCGTGCCCTCATCACTTTTTGCCTAGCTGGTATAATTTTCTGGCTTTTATTTTGGAGCGTTGCTCAACTGCCAGTTTCGGGCGCAAAATACCAAATACTCTCTATATATGGGAAAGGGTCACAAATTTCATGCTTTGTCGATTTGGTTTTAAAATTTAATAATAAAAGCATTTGTCCACATTTATTTCATCTAATTTTCCTTTGTTTATTTGTTTGGGTAGACCAAACCGTTCCAATTTCGTGGCCACAACGCGGCGACATCAGTTTCCAAAATGTCAGTCTGCGTTATGAGGGACAAAGGCAGAACGTTATCAGCCACCTGAATTTGAAGATACCAGCGGGTCAACGGGTGAGTAGCTAACTATATATATACATATCCATTTTCTTGCTATTTTCCCTTAACCACAAAAGACCAAACGAGTTTGGGTTCAATGTGCGCCGTACTGTAAATAATCTGACAGAAATGTAAGCAATAAATGAAATCGAATGAAAGATGCAACTAGCCAACCTCAGGGCTCAGCAAACTGTAACAGCAGCTGCAACAGCATCCATTGACTACTGTGTGTGTGTGTCTGTGTGTGTATCTGTGTGTGTGTATGTGTGTGTGTGTGTGTGCACTTTGGCCGCAAACTAACCAAAGCCACACAAATCTAACCGAGCTAGGATAGCCAGACAGCGTAAAAAGTCAACAACTGATTGAATATCCTGCAACAAGCGATACAATATATTCTACAGATTGAATATTCTCACATCCATTATTATTATGACAAAGTGCACATACATATCGTGTGAGTGGGTTGGGCGCTTAAGCTGTTTCAGTCAGATAGTTTAATACCCTATACATATGCAACAATGGAAAGAAGAGAAGAAATAAGTTGAGTGCTATTTTCATTGAGTATCAAAAATGCTTTTCTAGTATAAAAATTGTATATATATAAATTTGTGTACATTTTTTTAAGTATAACTAAAGCAAGCTGCGTTTGCTTGACAACACTAAATATAAAATTAATTAAAAATAAAATAATTCTGCTTAAATGATGTGTATGGCATTGTTATTAAAATTTTAATTGCTTTTTGTTATATTTAAAATTTAATAGCATGCAAAAAATGTAAACAATTTTCGTTCTTAGTTTCCGTTTACTAATTAGGAACATGAATGACAATATATACATATATCGGTATACATATTATAATATATATTATATATATAGATATGTACTTGTATGTGAGTGAGTATGGGTGTAAATATAAATATATATAGATATATAGGCATGACAGCTAATAGTAAAATTACAACTCAACTCAGAACTTGAAGAAAATATTTTAATTTGTCTATTTAAAAAAAAAAAAAATCCATTTGGAATAGATTGAAGCCGTATATTGAGAGATAATTATTAACATATTGGTATTCGGGTATTAAGTCAATTAAAATATCCTATTTCAAAACAAAATAAAATAATAGTAATAAACATTTTGCCTTTCTAGCATTTTTAGTGATTAGCGTATCTATTGAAGTTTGCTTGGTGACATTTAAACATTTTTATATTTACTTATTTCTATGCGCATTTGTGAAAATTGTTCGGACAACTCGTTTTGCTGTTTGTGTTTACTGAAATCATTTCATTTACGCTTTTGCTAGAAAATATACATAATAAAAACAAATAAATCAAAAATCATAAAATTTTTGATTGATTGCGTGTATTGAAACTAACCGAATTAAAGGCTAATAAACAAAAATAAATTTGAATATTTTTATTTATACGTATGTGACTCTTCCAGAGTGCATTTTGTGAAAGAATTATGTAAACAGCAAAAATAACATTGCTTATTGTTTGGCGTGACTTCTAATTGTAATTTGAATATTTCAATGATGAACTTTCTAAGTAAGCTCAATGGGATTATTAGTTAAGCAATAGTTCTCTCAGTGTACGAGTTGTGTATTGCATATTTATAATGACTGTTCGACTGGTCAAGATAGTCTAGGCCGAAGGCTGCAGCTGGATATGTGGCATATTTTATTTGATTTTGATTTGATGGCTAACGGGCCTCGATACCAGATGAGAGTAGAGATACACAGAAATACAATATGTAATACACATAAATGCATAAAAGAACTGGTTGCATATATTATTTAAATTTAAAATAAGAGAGATAAATGGACATATGCAGCACTCTTCAACTATCTTTAGTCGAGCTAACTGATTCGTTTCTCTTGCAGATTGGCATCTGTGGCCGCACGGGTAGTGGCAAATCCTCCCTGGCCCTATCCCTATTTGGTGTATTACAGACGACAAGTGGCCAAATTTGCATCGATGATGTGGACATTGAGCAAATACGACCAGATGAGCTGCGTAGCCGATTATCGATAATACCACAGGATGTGCATTTGTTCAATGCAACAATACGTGAAAATCTCGATCCGCATGGCTATTATTCGGATTTGAAATTGTGGGATTGCCTCGAATTGGCACAGCTCAGGGAGTTTGTTAGAGATCAGCTGCCACTTGGTCTGGGTAAGTGCACAATTCACCCTTACATTGCAGGCGCCTTTTTGTTTGTGTTTCTCAATTTCCCAAAGTTTTTTGTTGTTCTTGTTTTTGTTATTTCAATTGCTGTTGTTATTGTTGTTGCGTAAACAAACCAAGAGCTGACTGTCAGTTCTGTGCACCGCGGCTCACTGACTCCGTCAGTTTGCTATCTAGCTTCATATGCGAGTTTGCCTTATGAAAAAATCATGTTTATTTTTGGCAGCAAACATGACGTTTGGCTTGGCCGCCTAGCCAGAATTTCAAACCAACCGCCAACCTCCCCTTTCAGCCCCATTCTCACACTCCTCCAGACTTTCAGTCTCCCAGCTAACTTGTCTGTTTGATGTTTGTTGAGCGCCAAAAAAATACAAAAAAAAAAACTAAACAAGAAAAAAAGTTTGATACGCGTTTTATGCATGTTTGATTTTTTGTGTTGATTGGCTTAGATGTGGCAAATGTTTGTAGATACAATACTACATTTATCTATCCATCTATCTATCAAATGGAATCCAAGTTGATTAGCCACTCATACATGTATTTATATATAACAGGCAATTTGTGGCAAACTGGCAATCTGCATCAATATACAATTTGTGTGTGGCATAAACAAATTGAAACTGGTCCTCATATTAAACTACAAATATTGAGCTGGATGTCGTTCGGACAGTTTGGTTAATAAGTGATTTCAGATGAAGTGCTAGTTGTCTGTATAATATGATGCCAAAAGCCTAAAATGAGTTTATGATTGAATTACTTCGTTTTTAGATCAGCTTTAGTAGCTGTAGTCTCTAATAAAGAAATTCAATTGACAATAATTAAAAGTTATGCAATTAAAGTCATAAGGTTTATATGAATATTGAGTTATTTAGTTAATATAAAGCTTACAGTAACATGATTACTTCTAGCACAATATGAATATTCCAACAGTTTTAACTATCAGCATGACAACATTTTCTTTTATCTTACTCTTGTCTCAATGCAGAATTTTAATCATGAATTATTTTTATTAAAACAACTATTTATAAAATAAATATAAATAAATATTATTCTTAGAGTAGTATTAAATCGCAGCTGAAAACTGATGATTAAAAGTGCTTTTAGTGACACATAAGAACTGACATCAAATTATGGAAATCTAGTTCGGAATATAGTTTTAAAAAGAAGAAGAAATTCAGAAGTTTTTTTTTTTTAATTATTTGTTTTTATTTATTTTCTAGTGTTTAAGTTACGATTTTTTTTATAGCAAAATTGAATTCTTGCGTTTCCTTCGACGAGTCGCTAAACAAATCCTTAATGCCTTACACTCATATTGGGTGCCACGTCCTTGGCACACGTTGCCTTGTTGTCAAGTCGTGCCCCATCACGCCACCCCTGCTCCGCTTAATACGCCTCGTTAAGGCTTAAAGGCGTGCTTAGTCAAGCGGCCATAACGTTACGCTTATTAAATACAACTTTAATTACGCACTAAACCGGACATTTTATTACATACTTACTTATATATATATATATATATATACTTTTCTTTTTTTTTTTATTATTTTGTTACGGCCACCTGCTATTGGCCTTGTTGCCTTGAATGCTGCAACTACCTGCGACAGACTTTGAAATAAGCGATGGCGGCATCAGTTTTAGTGCTGGACACCGGCAACTGCTTTGCTTGGCACGTGCCATCCTCCGAGGCTCCGCCTGTTTGGTGCTGGATGAAGCAACAAGTACGCTGGACAGCAGCACGGAACGGGCTCTGCTCAAGTCAGCTGACAAGGCGTTCCAGGGTCGAACAATTATAACGATTGCCGTGAGTTTTAATAGCTCTCAACTCATTTCATCTTTGAGTGCGTTTGTTCTTTATTGGCCTTTGTTTTGTTTTCTTTTTCTTTGTTTTATTGTTTTTTACAGCATCGCTTGAGCACGATTCTGGATTATGAACGTATTATAGTGCTGGAGCAAGGTGAAATCGTCGAGGAGGGCAATCCCAGACAGTTGCAGCAGCAGACCAGCTCCATTTTTCATGGGCTGCTGCACAAAGCTGACCAGTTGAACGGCGCCACCAGTTCTTAACTTAAATACACATATATATATATGTATGAACAATTTAATTGTCTGACGTAGATTGCTTAATTGTAGTGCTTATGTTACTTGTAGCGGCGAGATCAAATGGATTTCTGTGCAGTTTTGGGAGCGCCTTATTGTGTGCTTTGTAGTTGTGCGGCCGTGTGTGTCAAATGTGATTTATATATATATATTTTATACTTTTATACATATATACATATATATATATATAACATAAATATATATTTTTGCAGTATTTTTTTTTTACATAATAAAAGAAGCGGTTGTGTCAAAAGCAAACATTATATTTCTACCGCAATACTTTTTCGTCCTGCCAACTGTGCGTATGCGCTACGTGACCACGTGACAGTTCATACTTGGATGTAGATATATATATATATATGTGTGTGTGTATATATATGTATGGGATGGTGCATGCCGCTAACAGGCTGACAGCCAGATGATTTGTTCCCATACATTTGTGCGCACGGATATTTGATTTTTCTTATGAGCACATACATACATGAAATAGGTATGTTAGTTTTGGTTTATTTGTTGCAAATGCAGTGTGCTTATGTATATGTGCGCTCTTGTAAGTTTCCGTGGAGTAACCCCAATAACGTGAACGTGACTTTGGCCAACTGAACAGGACTTCAAGTCGGTTGAAGACTGTATTTGCATTCGCTTAATGTCACGAATACAATTTTTATTTAAAAAATTACTTCATTTGCAGTAAGACGATTAAGTATTTAATAAACAAACTGTTATTTAACAAAAATGCAATACAAAAATAAAAAAAAACACATAAAACAATTATCTTTCTTACGTCTTACCTAGATTTGTATATATATAAATTCTTTTACATTCTTCTGTTGGCTTATTTGTTTAAAAATAATTTTATTATTTTTTTAAGTAACCCACAAATAAAACAGAAATAAAAGTAAGTAAGTTCTTTTTGTGTTGTTTACGTTGCCTATTTTATTTTTTTTTTAATTTTATAGGCTCAGGATATTTGAAAAGCCAATTGGATTTGTGTGCAGAGTGGCAATCAAATGAGTTCATTGCAATTTCTCAATTGGTCATTGCGTTGAAGCTGTGTGCAACAGTTCAAAAATAATGTATGGCCAAATACTGGCACACAACACTCGGACGGCATCTAAATCAGTCCAATTAGAATCGAAAATTGGAAACGGAATCGTTTCGGCTTGCACTTAATAATTGCATGAATATGCAACGAAATGTGGCAAAAACATTTATGCCTGAACTTCAACAACCCCATCACCCATACAATTGGGGCTCACCTCAACGCTTCGGGCCGGGTCGATGGGGTAGCCGAGTTCAGTTGGCCACAACAGCAATATTATTGTTGAATAAATTGATTGTTAAATGGGCCTGGCCAAAATTGCTTATTGGGGACTGAGGGAGGCTGAAGCATTTTTGCGTTTTTGAGACCTCACTTTGTATGCACATTTCAAGTAGTTTGGCTTGAGGCCATTGAGCCTGCCAGGCAATTAAACTTAATTGGCAATGAGCAGCCTGCAAATGGGAAGGGATTTCTTTCATTTTTTTTTCGGTTGCTGAGTTGCTTTGATTTTTGACGTAGTTGAGCCAAAATGGGTTAATTGATGTGCAAGAGTGGCAAAGAGAACTCTTTGCGATATGCAATTTACCAATTATAATATGATCCGTGCTATTGTTAAAGTATTTCTCTTCTCTTCAACTGATCCAAATATCAAGTTAAGAGATTATTTTATTCTAATAATAATAACATCGAAATGGAAATAGTAAATTATGAGTGATAAATGATTTTAATACTCAAGAAAAAAGTTTGCTTATAATCGCCGTAAAGACGAGATAATTAATTCATTACATTTATGCCTCGCAGCAGATCCTTTGGTTTTTAGATCCAACATTTTTCGTCGATCAGTAGACAGTGCCTTAGAATTTTATTGATTGCTGTTATCTAAGGAACTCCATTCGGATTTAAATGTTGGTAGCTTAAATCCATTGAAATAAGAAATATAAATTAAATTAGTTTCTATGTGGTTTATTAGGCTGTTAAGTGCTAAGCGATAAATTATTTGCTAGACATACACATTTGACGCAGCGCGTTCGCATTAAGGGCGTGTTAACTGCTTTTGACTAATTGCCGAAGCGTCGCAAATCGCTGCCAAAACTTTGAGTCGCTCCTGCAAACCCGACCAGCAGATAGCCCGACAGCCACACAGCCCACCATTGTGGCTAATCCACATAATTGTCAGGGGCACTGGCTTCCTCCAGCTCAACCAGAAAGCTCAATTCACTTTCCACGTCCCACGTCCGATTCTCGTCTTCTTTACAGCGTTGTGGAATGCGTCTTCGCCAGCCCTGTTAATCACTCATGCTGCTGTCAAAATATACATATTAACATACTTACGTGCATGTGTGTGTGTGTGTGTGTGTGTGTGTGTGTAGAGATATAGCTTTATAGCGTGCTGTTGAGTTTCTACACATGTTTGTGCATGTTCAACGACTCTTTCTCCTTTGACGCTCCCTTAACACACCTATACATATACTTATGTATGTACATACATCCTGTGCATGTGTGTACATTGGCTAATTCATTGTGCTCGACGCGCGGCGCGATGAGACTCGTTTGTTTCTCAGTTAAGTTCTTTGATTTGTTGATTTATTTGGTGCTGCCAAGCATCTCTCTGTGTGTGTGTGCGTATGTGTGTGTGTGTGTGTGTTTGTGTGTGTGTGTAACTTCTTATGCTGACACACTCATCAAGCTTTGCTTATGCCTTGCTTTCTTTAGACGATTTCGTCCTTCTGTTTCGCTGGGTAAGGGATTTTTCTTTGCACTTATCTATGGTGGATTTTTGTATGCTCTAATATTGAAAATGATTGATTTCCTAGAAATTGTGATATATTTTAATTTAATTATTTTTGTTGATTTGTTAATAAATTTCCAAAAAAAAAAATCATTGCAAATCATTGATTAGAAACTTTAATATAGAATTTAGTATAGATGCATAAATGAATCATATTCCTCTATCTGCATTATTTATTAGTTGGATAGGGCTTTATAAGTCTCAATCTGATACCAATAAATTCGCACAACGATGTGAAACGTGTTGCAAAACGTTCATATATTCCTTTTTTTCTTTTTCTGTGCTAAGCAAAATTAAGTTGAGGCAAACTTTGATTCAGCTCGGTTCAATGCTTTCTGTTAGGGCTATATTTTTTGTTTGTGTTTGGGTTTTTTTTTGTTTTTTGTTGTTTTTGTTGGTGCTGTGGCCAAGTGTGGCGTAGTATCCAGCAGTAGTCTAGCAGAGACCTTGACTTTATTGTTTATGCTTGGCAGCGCCTTGAAATATGCTTCACTTTTGCCTTTGCCTTACTTTCTTTATTATGGCTGTGCTGCTGATGAAATTAATTGTTTGTGTGCACAAATTTAGATACACGCACATAAATGTAGATGTACGTGTCCGTGTGCATGTGTGTGTGTGTGTGTGTGTGGGTGGGTGGGTGTCAGAGTGCTTGAAAAGCACTTAAGCAAAAGTTGCAAATTAATTATTTCATTAATTAGGCGCCCAGACAAGAGACGCACGCTGTTGATTGATACGCTTGCGGCAAAAGTGTTGAAAGTGCTGCGGACGTCATCTGCTGGCTGACACTGCTTGCCCCACCTTTAGATTTGACGTATGCAGTGCTGCATACTGTCGTTTTTTTGCTTTGCCAGTCTGGTGCTTTATGACGTCTTTATGTGATTTTCTTTTTATATCAGGCAATCCCAATTGCGGCTTGCTATTATTAAATTTTCCACAATCTTCGCACACACACACACATGAGCAGGCATATAGAATTAAATTTAATATGCTCGAGCGCTTGGCAGTCGCCTTCAGTAACTCAGTATCTGTATCTGTATCTATATCTGTATCTGTCGCTATAATAAAAGAAATCTGTCAAACTCAAACGCTCGTAAATGTCTTTCACATTCTTTCAAACATTCAAGCAGGCAGCCTGTCACCCAGTCAGTTAGTCAGTCAGTTCCCGAAGAGAGCTCTATGCTCTTTTCAAACTGTTTACCCGTTTCAGGCCCATGTTCTTCATTCTGCCTTCAGTTTCACTCATGTTAGCTAATCATAATGTGTGGTTTCCTCACAAATTTTACAATTCAATGCTTACTCAAAGTAAATGCTATCCGCATCTTTCATAAGCCTCTTCCTCTGCTGTTCCTAAAGTTGTGCATAATTATATAAAAGGCACAAGGAAGCTTCTGCTAGCCCATAAGGTATATTTATATTCTAAACAGCATCTGTCCGTCTGTCTATCTGTCAATCCGTATGTCCGTAGAGACTTGAAGCGCTAAATACCTTAAATTTAGAAGATAAGTAATCGAGCTTATATCTTTTTTTAATTGATAATTAAGCACTTTTCACGATTTTCTTGAATGAATATGCCTTTATGGTTAACGAGAAACCCACCTTATTAGCGAAAAAGTATATTCATAATTGAAAAAACTATAATCATAAATTGAGTATCTGGGAATTTGGGAATAAACCTAGAAGCTGTGTCTTAATTGATTCATTATATTTAACTAGAGTATCCAGGACATCTCCGAGTCGAGCTCTTGCGACTAAAACATTCTTACTTATTTTCCGTATTGTTTCACTCTTTTCCTTTATGAGTTTCTGTGTGCATAAATCATAAAGCGCAGCATGTGCGTTAAGTTTATGTGAATCATGGCAAGTGCCTTAAAATGGGATTACAAATAAGAAGATGTACACAAAATTATTCTCGAAAAACCTTTTCAACTAGACTGAAATGCAACCTTAAATATTTTTGCTGAAAAGCTACGTCTTTAATTTCCGAATCTAAAGTTAAAGCTTTTGTTTTTAATCAGAGAAGCAATATTTGTGAACATGATTTGATTGATTGATTGATACGAAAATAATTGGTGAGTTGAGCCATGAAATATATTTTAAAGTTAAAAGCAACCCTGAGAAGCTTATAATCAAGCTAGATGACAGCATTCAACTAATACTATTGAAAATATGTCGTAGACTGTAATTGAATTAAGCATGCCACATAATGTCAGCCATCGGCTGCAAAGTGTATGTGATTAACCCAAACGATGACTCCACAAATGCCTAAATGGAAATCCACTTAATGTCAATTGGAGCATCTTGACCCCCAATACCATCCCCCAGTTAGCCTTGCCTTGCAA